ATGATACAAAATTTTTACACAAACAAACTGCATGTTGGTTGTTAACAGAAGATAAAAGTAAACTTTCAAATGATCGATTACTTCGCGTGCAACAGATCAATAAATGATAATATAAGTTTTTTTTTCTAGTTTTGTTCGACTTTTTTTCAATACAGGGTATACTATGTTTGCTGTAATTTTTTTATTCACTCAATGTGTTGTGAATGGATGGTACACAGATACTGTGCGTCCTTCTCAAAATTGGAGCTAGTATCTGTTTAATTCTATATAACAGGTGATGAGAAGCAAAATCAATATACAAGTGTATTATATATCTATAATATACTTGAAGTGCTCTACAGAGTTTCAAACGACTTCACTGGACTCCATTGGACTCCATTGGACTCCACTGGACTCCACTGGATTGGAGTCCGCTATTTCCCCCTTGTAAAAAATAAACGAGATTTATTACACTTAAAAGATACATATTATCTTACGGATTGTGCATTAAATGCTATTTTTCAATATATGCGAAGTAAAAAAAACTTTATTCCTTGAAAGAGATCGAAAGACTTAGAAAAAAAACAAACACAAAATTTCCTATTTTATTCACATCGACAAGTGCTTATGTTAAGTTTGAGTACGCTTTACGTACAGCTATATTTGTTGCTCGTAAGCACGAACTGAAACTCGATCAGTTTGACACGCTCACTATTCGTTTCAATATGGATGGTACCTTGATAGGAAATAAACATATAGTTGCAATATCTATTAACTGTATTGAAGGTGGTCGTCAATGTCAAACAGCAACAAACCTTGTTCCTCTAGGTCTTTTTGAGGTTCAGAAAGAAAACACTGAATTGTTACGTAAAACCTTACCTGTAGAATTCATTAATGATATTAAATCAGTTAAGCACATTTCTATAGGAGGAAAAGATATTGATATTCGTGTTCGATTAGGTGGTGATTTGATGAATGCAGTCTATGTGTTTGGACTTGCTGGATTTAGCTCTAACTACCCATGCATCTTTTGTACTCAACATAAAGATGATCTTCACGTAACTGAAGATACAGCCTATGATAAAAATATTACTGAAGGAAAGGGAATAAATAAGAATACAGTAACTGTCCGTGTTGGTCCTACTTCTTACCATGATCCAGCTAAACGAGCACGATCTCTTGCTTAGCAATAAAACCTAACGATTTAGGATATAAATGTGAACCACTTTTTGGTGACCTGTTTAACTACCAAGATTATTGCGTTGACACTCTACATTTGAAACTAAGAGTTTTCGATGTCATTTTGAAAGATATGTTGTCGTATGCTTCTCGTACTGGTAAATATGGAGGCGAACATTTAGCGATTATCGAAAATAAAATAAAAATTCTGAATAAACATTGTGAGAGAACTGTAGGAAAACGTTTTTTCTTTCAAGTCGATTCAGATGATAAAAATAAAACAATTGCCTCTCATGGAAAACTTTCTGGTCATCTTCAAGATCTATTTTTTGTTGATAGTTTTCCTTATAAAGAGATTCTTAGTGATGAAATAGCAAAATCAGCCCGAGCTGTAGTTAACAAATTTAAAGAAATTCTTAATGAGCTTAAGAGTAGTTCTATAAAACGAAATGGTGTTCTGAAACGTTTATCACTCGAGTTCGTTAAAGAATTTCGTCAAAGTGGTCTTCGAACGACTGTTACTCCCTATATTCATATCATTGGTAATCATTTATTTGAATTTCATGAATTAAATGATCTCAGAGATTACAATATGCAAGGCGTCGAGAAAAGCAATGATCTACTTTCACGTCTCTATTTTTCATCTACTAATCCAGCTAAAAATCCTCTGCTAACTATGCTTCAGAAACTGTATCGAATGCTAGAAATGAACTTTCAAGATGAGAAAGAACGAGACGCGATGACTACATTTGCTCGCACAGGTGTTTACGATTTTGTCGAAGATTTAAGTGAATGTGAATCCAATACTGATCATCAAAATGTATCTGGTAGTAGCGAAGAAGATTCTGTAGAAAGTGAAAGTGAATCTGAAGAACAAATTGATTCTCATATAACAGAAGATGAGGAAGAACATGAAGATGAAATTGAATTAGAAGAACCACCAGTTTGGGCACCAGAAAAGAGATTTTGTACGAAATTCTTATCTCGGTCTGAAAATCGATTTAAAAGCTTTCGAAGATCATAAGTAGTGCATGATCGGGGAAAATCAGAATTTTGTTGCTTTTTTAAGTACTTCTAATAAATTTATTATTCAGCATCATCGTATACAATTGTTCTTGTAAATCTCAGTTTAGTTCAAAAACAATATTGAAATTAAATTTTCTGAATATAGTTGTTCAGTTGAAATTGAAAAATATGCTATTGTTTTCTTTTAAATCCTTTTTTAGACATGAATCGTTGCTACGTCGATAATTTATGCACCACCAGCATTTCATCTCATTGTGACCACAGATGTGAACAAGAAAACCACATTCCACCTAATATTCCTATTTATGATGGTCATCTACACCTTAATGAAAATATTTCTCAAAGTCAATCCGATCTGATTTCTCTCCAACAAACTCCTCCTATTCGAGAATTTCATTTGATAAATAATAATCATAAGCCTCATCAATGGCTAATTACTAATATTCCCACCTTCTCCTCCCATGTCCATATCTACTCCACAGTTGGTGTTCATCCTAAGTACTTCAATCCACAATCTGTATATCAAATCTTAGATGATCTTAGAAACAACTTAGAAATATCGAAAAAAAATCCTAATCATAAAAATAAACTTGTAGCTGTTGGTGAATGTGGTTTAGATGAAACTAGTTCAACGACTATTGACCAACAAATATTTGTTCTTGAAAAACAAATAGATTTAGCCATTGAATTCCATCTACCACTCGTTCTTCATTGTCGTGGTATCCATCTCTATCGAAAACTCTACGATTGTTTGAGAAATCGAGTACAGGATAAAAACATACCTATTCATTGGCATTGTATAAATAGTAATGCAAACTTGCATATAGTTGATCTATGCTTAAATGAATTTCCTAACTCCTATATTGGTATTAACGGGTCTATAACTTACGGAACAAATACCGAAAATGCTTTCTTGTTTAAAAATTGGTTAGTGAAAAGATCTCCATTTCTTCCTAGTCAATTAATATTGGAAACAGATTATCCTTATCCGCCACCTCGAAATCTATATGGTACATATGATCCATCATGTGCTCTCGTTGGTACAGCTGTATACCTTTCGAAAATCGTAAATAATCCGAATCAGAATGCTCTTTCGTACATTCATTCATCGAATGCGAATATTGTATCTATGTATAGCTTGTAAATTTTGTAAAAACATTATTCTGTGTATTACTTGTTGTTCAAAACAATTATTTACAAAATTAGTAATGAAACGAATGTACATGATGTAATTCATCGTTTTTAATCAGTGAGAAATCAGTTTGAACGATAAGAGGAAAAGAACAATTTGTATATAGCTGAGTGGCTAAGAGCGTCGATAACGCGATACAGGTTCGAACCCTGTGCGAAGCAATTTTTTTTCGTTCTGTTTATCGCACTTTTGCATTGATTATTGCCAAAAAATTTTTTGCTTACCGTCAGAGGTACCCTCTCGAGATCTCAACGGCGACGGGGGTAAATGACTACGCTGATTCCGAATATGCTATTTTTGTCAACCGAGGACACTTCCTTCTAAACCCGTCCGGGGTGATATGCGTGTTAATAAATTGATATAATGTACATGTTCAACGTCATACATGTCGAGACAATGAGGATGTATATCAAAACAATGTTCAATGTCAATTGTAACCAACGTTCCTGAAAATTCAACTTCATACGACCATAAATTTTCATCAAATGAAATTGTGTTTAACATTTCGGCAATGATAGTTGTTTTTTCTTGGATATTTAATAGACGATGAATCTGGCAAAATATTGGAATTTCTTCAGCATGTGCGAGATGATGAACAACAATTGATCCAGTTCTAACATTCATATGATGGTAATAAATCGAAGTACATTCATATATTAAATCAGTTTCATTTATAAAATTTATCAATAAACGTCGCACAGGAATAGAAAGTTTTGACCATTTAATTGATTTAGACGATCGAACTGTTATTGATGATGAATAGCAGAATGAATTGGAATTGTTCAACATGCAATAACGTAATTGATGACGTTTCGTGAGAGTAAGCAGAGGATTTTTAAAATTAAATGTGCGAATAGCAATTTGCTTGAAATACAAATGCTTTGCTTCGAATCGCATACATGAGTTCAATATAGGGAGTCCATGCATTTCAATAGAACGAGTATACTCAGTTAAAAAATGTACTTTTGGTGTTACACGATCAGGTAAATGTTCGATCATAAGACAATGAAATTGTTTACATAAACCATCTAAGTACGGCAACCATGATTTTCTAAGTGGATTGGCATATATATAGCTTATAATTTCACGTAAAATAGTGTATAGTGGAAGTAGAGTAAGATCACCAATAATATCGTGAAAGATGATAGGAAATAAACGAAAAAAACATAGTTTTTGACTAGCAGTGCCAGCAATAGTTGAATGAATTAGTTGTTGCCTTTTTACAGGTGGTGGTTTATTTGATGAATCATAGAATCCATAGATGAAACATGATGTGCGTTGTTCAATATCTGAATACGTCAAAAGGCGTTGCTGAATAACTTATTTTAATAGAGCATTTATGATGAGCGGGCACACACCTCAATTTAAAAACAGAATTTTTTTGTATTTGTAACTACTGTCCTACTCGTAGTATTACCTTCAGCGATATCATGCATAATGTCTGGTGGAAGTGATTCAGTAGCATGAAAGCCAATAAGATCTTTCAACCAACTTTCATTTTTGACACCTTGAATAATTTGACCATCATTATTAGCGATAACTTTATTGACAATCATGTCGTGCTTTATACGAGTTCGTGGTAAAAATGATATCTCAGTTAATGGGATATGCCTTTGTTCATAAGTAACGAAACAATGACGGCAGAAGCTCCCAGAGCTAAAGCTTTTCTGAAAGCCTTCAACTTCGTTGGACGCTAAATTATCACTAGATAAAGTAGAGAAAACGAAATAAATTCTACTGAAAAGACAAGGAATTGTGATGCCTTCAGTTTGAAGTTTATTAAGATCTTCCACAAGTATATTCATTAATATTGACCTATTGTTATCATTGTTCAAATGTTTTGTATAACATATACAATGTAAACCTATTGAATTAACTTGTGATCGAACGATATCAGGTAAATCATCCAACAAATAATAAAAACAAGTAAACTTGTGCGAATCTTTCTTAGCACCTATTGGATTAGTAATACCAATGCCATCTGTATATAATTTCAATAATAAAGAATTAGAATTTGTTTGACGAGAAAGATTTGATTTAACTGAACGACTTTGTCGATTGGATAATATTAGATCGTTGTCTTTAGCTGCACGAGTTGATAACGAATTAATATTATCAATTGTCGCCTGTAGTAATTGGCCATTTTGAAGCATGCAAAACAAGCTCTGCTTCAATGGAATATAATAAGCAAGTTCTTCATTTGTAGTTAATTTGATTTCAGTTGGTGGTTGATAGTCGAAATCATTTTTACATTGTTTTAAAAAGTTATATTCGCTTTTACTAACAGAATTGATAATAAACCTGACGTGTGTAAATACTGCTTCCATATCAATAATAGAAACGAAGGATGATGACACTTTTGTTTTAAATAATTTGATAATTATGTCAAATAAAGAACAAATTTTAGATGAAATAGATTGTACGACGTTTTGAGGAAGAAGATGATATTCACGAAGCTCGAGTAGAAAACGGGTGTAAAATTGCGCAAGTCTGCCAAAATTAACTTGTTCATTAGCAATAGACACGACGGTGGAATCGAAATTAAGTAATTCACGATCTGTATCATCAAGTTCTTCATCGGGATAGATACAAGATTCATGATCATTAATAGCATCTGATTCATCACTAAAAGTAGGATGAGAAAATATATTCTCAAGATCATCGACAATATCATGGATATTCGATGAAGGAGTATCATTATTGCCAAATGAATCGATTAGAGAACGATGACATCGGTAGATATGGCGGCGGTAACTATCAAAAGACGAATAGCGAGATCCGCACGATACGTCTAATTCACACTGAATAATGAAAGTCGATTTTTCACAATGTTCTTTGCGAATATGTGTAAATAACGTACGATAATTATGGAAAACGCTTCCCAGGTCGATCAACCTGAGCCGTAAACGGCCGTATACCTAACATTCACGGTGAAAAACGGCGACCGTATTTTGTAGTCGTTTACTGTTGCCGTAAACGAAGTTATACGATGAAATACGATCGTCGTAAACGAGGACCGAGAAACATCTCCCTAAACGGTCATCNTCAAGGTTTAGCATAGAACCATAAAAGGATCTTCCCTCGGGCACACGGGAAGAACCCTTTTTTTAGAGTGTGTTCCATTACCTTCAGTTATAATATACATCCATATCCCTGTTGTTCATGTTCACTGTTATGTTTTTTTTACTTTATTTGTTATTCGAGCATTATTGACTGTGAAAATAAAACACATGATTGACACATACGAAAGAATAAAAGCATAGCATGCACTCTATTTGATCGAAATGGTATCTGTATATTTGTGTAGCTATGTTTGTTCTACTCCTATGTAGCTCGCAATCAAAACTCATATCAGTATGGACAAATGCATTTTGTTTTGCACTTTCAATACTTTTTATTGGCTTTTCCTGGAAATACAGTGTAAAATAAATGAACTTTATAGCTTACATAACAGAAAGTTGCATAGAATTTAACAACTATTTAGTTAACTTACATAGAATAGTTAAGGATTTTTAATGCACATAATATTTACTGATACTTCAGTGAAACTTCAGGCTTCACCAGCTACTGCACATTATCAGAGGCAGAAGCAATACCAGAACAAGTGAAGGGGGATTCTCTTTTAATAATAAATGATGTACGCATATGAAGGTAGCAGCGCTCATATGAGCGGGAGCGCCTATCGCTCGCGCTCAAAAGAGCGCGAGCTGTACACCCCTAGTTTTGATGACTCGTTTCTCTTCTCTTGTTTTTATAAAGAAAAGAAGAATAATAATCATGGAATTACAAGAATAAACTGTTAAAACAATAATAAAGGGTTCTATGCTTTTTCTTTAAAATTTGCTCTACTATTTAAAACTCCGACTGAAGATTAAAACTATATAGACCTAAGGGTATATTTGAATGAAAAAATTCATTCTAAAACCAAAGAATGGTATAAAGAAGAAATTTTCATTAGCTTATTATTTTCTCAGGATAATATTACTGTCGTTCAAGAACATACGTCTAGAGATCAGCAGTGTAATTATCTGTTTCAATTTCAAATTCCTCAAATGTGTCCGGTTGTTCCAGAAGAGAATAAAGGCATGAGTGGCGGTGCCATATTTCTCATCACGTAAATTATTATTTTGAATTTCCGATTATTATCTTTCATCTCTATGATCATTTTTGATTTTAGTATTTTCTGTTTCGCATGTGCTTATTTAGTTGGCGGCTTTTTATTTATGCGTTTGAAGCGTGGCGCTCGTGGCATTGATCAAATACCGAATTTGGAAATGTGGCGTAAATTAGGCCATTTTACTGCTGACGGATGTGATTTTTGTTGCCGCTGTAAGACAAATGTACCCAGACCAGGATATATTATTGATGAAACAGAACCAGATATACATGGTGATGATGATATTCTTGCGCCATAAGTTTTATAGTAACAAGAAATAGAAGTGAATGGCTGATGATAAACTTCAACTGACTTATAATGATATGCTTTGATCTGTTGTATAATTACTTTGTTTGTATCGTTGGTCTTTCATAAACTTCCTTTTACTGTTTTTTTTTGCTTGTTATATTCTTCGTTCTTCCAACACGCACATATCTATTTCTATTCTCAAGCGCGTAACATCAATGAACAGTAAAATACAGCAAACCAAAAATCTCATAGTTTCTTTCTTCATTGGTTTATTGTTCCTAATTTTTTTTCTTTTATAGTTTTTAGTAATGCAAACAGAAGCAACCTTGCAAGCAATACGATATCAACGTGGTGTATTATCAATTCTAGATCAATTAAAATTACCCGATGAAACAGTCTATATTTCTATTAATACAGCTGATGATGCATGGAAAGCTATACATACAATGTCAATTCGAGGTATAACTATTAGTACTCGATTTTTCTACAATAGATTTTTCCGGAATGGTTTCAAACCTAAATAATAAATATGAGAAAATATTTTTAATAAAAATTAGATCATGGCAAAATTATACAAATAAATGTGTTCTCTTTTTGTTCAGGTGCTCCAATTATTGCGGTATGTGGTGTATTAAGTGTTGCTGTTGAATTGCATAATTCAAAATCAAAATTTGATTCAATATCATCTGTTACACAGTTTGTTACCGATCAACTTAATTATTTAGTTACTGCTCGACCAACAGCAGTTAATATGACTGATGCTGCTAAAACAATAATTAACTTTTTAACACCATTACATATTAAACAAAAAAATTTAACAATATACATAGATGAATTACTTGATTTTATGGAACAATTTCTTCAACGTGATCTCATTGGCAATCGATTAATTGGCCAATATGGTGCTGCAACTATTTGTCGAAATAATTCAAATAAAAAGAAATTAAACATTTTAACACATTGCAATACAGGCTCATTAGCAACGGTTGGTTTCGGTACTGCTCTAGGAGTTGTTCGACAACTGGCTGCAAATAATGCTCTTCAAATAGTTTATTTTACTGAAACTCGACCCTACAATCAAGGTTCAAGATTAACTGCTTATGAATTAGTACATGATCGTATCCCACACACAATGATTTGTGATTCAATGGCTGGTCTTTTAATGCGTACACAACCAATACATGCTGTTGTTGTTGGTGCTGATCGTATAACAGCTAATGGTGATACTGCAAATAAGATTGGTACCTATCAATTAGCTGTACTAGCTAAACATCATCAGATTCCATTTTATGTTGCTGCACCCACAACATCAATTGATCTGACGAAACGTTCAGGTGACGAAATTATCATTGAACATCGTCCTTCGAGTGAAATGACAACTATTAAAGGAATAAATCTTGCACCAGAAGGTAAACTATTCTTTTCTTTTCATTGATAAACAGAAAATATCAGTTTACTTCTAATTTTTATAAGGTGTTCAAGTTTGGAATCCAGCATTTGATATAACACCTGCTTCATTAATTACTGGTATAATAACAGAACATGGTGTATTTCAGCCTGATGAGCTTGAAGAAAAATTATTAGGTTTACAGCAATCGTTAACTAGTCCATTGTAGTGTGTTCTATTATGAAAGAGAAACAGTGATTTGTTGTTGTATTGCATCTTGTATTTCGTCTTTACTATCTTTTATGTTGGTAAAATCAATATGCAAATATAATGCGGTGATTTTAAACAGAGTAAAATTACAAAGATCTGAATCATTTTGTGAGCTCATTTTAATTTAATTTTATTAAAATACATGATATTTATTTAACAAAATTTGATGTTGTAATGCATAATGATTTTATTGAGAAAAATAATAAGTATAATCTAATGTTCAATGCATCAATCACTAGTGAATATATCATCCCAACACAAGAAGGAAAACTGAGCATGATTGGTCGATTTTATATTTATCGTTTATGGAATGTTCTCAATGCGTATTCAAACAGGATATGGTGTAATTACTTATTATGAATATATAGTATTATAATTGATCCTATTGGGATTCGTAGAAATCTTAATAATAAAGCCAACTAATGTTTACCAGCATTACTGTTGAACTCACTTTAGGAATATAATTTTTATCTGATTTTATCAAATTATAAAAACAAAATGAAACTCAATTGAAATCACATGAACATCCAATTTCAATTGTCTTCATCAATATAAAGATTAATGTCCAATAAAAGTAACAAACAAGAAATAAATGTAATAGAATCAATATGAACTACATTTAGTCTATGAACTGTTTACAGAATTATTTTTAAATATAAATTATGAAATCAAATTTAACTTTTATATGCATGATTCGTAGCATGGTTTTATTTTACACAAGGATAATAACAAACAAACAAGCAAACAAACAAACAAACAAACAAACAGACATTTTATTTACATGATTTGTTTTTTTTTCTAAGGTCGACTATTTCGATCACATTCAAGTTGACATTCACGAACAAGTACACGAGCTGAAGCAATTGCACGTCTTAAACGTTCAGCTGAATTTTTATTGCCTGCGTATGTTGGTTTAATATCTTTACCCATTTCTTCAATAACATTAAGTAATTGAGCATATTTTGATGGATGCATCCCGCGTTGTTGATGTTGGTGTTGAATAACAGGTGGAACAGGAACGTATGAATGAGGTTGCTGTTTGATTTGTTGATGATGAATTGAATTATGCGTAGGAACAGTCGCTGTTGTTGGTGGTGGTAAAAGAGGAGAATTTCCACCAGCAGAACCTTGTAGCATAGTAGTGGGCGCAGCTGGATTTAAAATAGGTCGTGATACTGGAGTTGGTGATGGTTGCTGTGGCTGCTTGCGAATCGATAAATCCATTTTATTCAACAAAAAAAGTGATAACCACTTAGTTATACATCTAAAAATATAGGACCCATATATAATAAATATATCTACATATATATTAATGAGAATTCGTATTTTCGTTTTTTACTAGTTGAATATAATAGAACAATTTCAAGTAAAAGAAAATATTATATGGAAGATACAGGACGAGTAGGTGGTAAACGAATAGGAACAGGTAATGAATGTTGTGATAAAATAATTGATGGATGATCTAATTCTAATATTTGAAGTTGACAAAGTAAATTTAATAATAGTTCCATTTCTTCTCGAGCATAAAAACTATCCATCTATATTACAAAGAGATACGTATGCAGAAAAGACAAAAATATAACACTCTAAAGTTAATTATAGATCTTACTTCTTTATGAAAAAGAATATTAAATCCATCACTCCAACATGACATATCATAATCATTTTCACATAGTAATGTATATGTTGTATCATTTTGAAGAACGATTGTTACACTCATATTTGCATTACTCTATTGATGAAGAACGAGAAAGATTCTTTTATAATTATACTACTCAATTCAGTAAAAGAAAAACAATCAAATACTTACATGACGAGGAATTTTAGGTAATCTTTCTTGATTATTCAAATTACCAGAACGTGATTGATCAATATTACATTGAACATCTTTGATATTTTCGAGGGGAACTAAATGAGATAACAAGTAGAATAATTCATGGATTGTAGCTAATAGAAGGCTGTTCTTGTTAGAAAATGAAAACGGCGTTTTTTCCTTTATTATATATTGATTATTAAGTTATTTTAATATAATTTTGTTTTGACTTATTTTCCTCACTAATTTTAGATGTGATAATTTGAAGATAAAGTTTTCTCGAAAGTCAGAAAATAAATATATCTTGTCAAGTATTAGCTCAATAGTGAAGTCTACTTACAACTAAAGCCGCTTTAGTCGAATCTAAATTAGTCTAAATAATTAAAGACAAGATAGAAATTGAGTATGCTATCATTATTAAACAGTAATAAAAGAATAAAGACAGTCTATGCATTTTAATACTCATCATACGAGAAGCTAAGATAATACAATTAATAGGTATAAATATCGTCAGTAGCAGTACGTAAGTCTAAAAAACAGTCAAAAATGATTTTAATAAACTAATTTTTTTTTCAATTCTGCTACTTTGAGAGAATACGATATAAGCAGTTTTTCTCAACTCAATCGGCTCATTGAAACAAAAATAGAACCCTACAATATTTTATGACCATTCGAGAAAAAACAAAGTTACTCTATATCAACAGTAAGATATCTAATATGTCTAAGGCTCAATGTGACTGTGTGTCCTTCCAACATTCACTTAGGTCTTCTAAGAGTTTTAAATAGTAGAATAGTGTATTTGCTCACATCAATTGTCATATTAGCGAGACTAGACGTAAATAAATTAACATACTCATTGTTCTAGTAAGACTAGTTGTCGAACCATCTCTTGTATTATTTTCTTTCATAATTGTTGTAGGTGATTCACTACATTGCACATGTTTTTCATTATCAAGCAATTGCCAATACATAGCACGATCTGTTTTAAAATCGATTGAAAACTAATACTATGTATAATTAAAAAGTAGAATAAATACTTTTTGTTTTCTTTGCACCTGAACGACTTTCAATAGTAAAAAATATTTGACCTTTTTTCATGGTTTTAAGTCGAGCTTGACGTGTTAAAGATTGAACATGTGATCTTAAACGTTCTTTTAATGTTCTAAACAGTCAAAAAAAAAAGGAACCGGGGGAATATTATTCTCTGTTTGATATGTAATTCAATAACAACAATCATACTCAACAATAGGTAATCTCATAATTGATTCTTCTCTCTTTAATTCTTGTTCATCACGTCGTCTACATATATCTTTATAATTGTTTGCATTTAATCTTTCAGAAAAATAATCAAATGTAAATCTTTGTAATGCAACTGATGTCAATGATATATTCATTGTTGATTTCGTTGTTGTTGGTGATGATATTGTTTGATTTTTTGAAGGCGAGTAAGAAGCTATTATGGTTTTATTTGCTGATGGGTTCATGAGACAAACATCATCTAGCGATTGTGAAATCTGTTGATATACAACTGAACTAACCTAATATGTAAACAATTTGGAACGGGTTTTGGTTCTATATTTATAATTGAAATCATACCACTTCAAAGTCGACATCACAGGCGCGCATTTCTTTCCATGTTTTATTAAATAAAAGTAGACAACGAGCAAATGCTTGTTCGAAAAATGATGTACTTGTATAGAACAGTAAAAAGTAATCTTTATGTATTTGATGCCTATTTGCTAAAATATTCTTTTTATCATTTTAAATATTTAAATCAAACAAGTTTATTTACGTTCAATGCCAATATTAAAAAGTCTACAAAGTATTCGTGTTATTTCAATAGCTGATTTAACTAATGGACATTGTTGTTGAAGTGTTTTACATGAATTTTCAAGTACAAACTAAAAATGAAATAATATAAAAACAAAGTAAAAAAAAATGATGGTCCTTGAACATACTCGAATAAAATCATGTTTTTGATGAATACAAAAATAAAACAAATTTTGTAATGATAGAATACCTGGTGGAATTAATTCAAAATCTTTTATTGGTTCTCGAAGATCCTTAAAAAGATTTGTTCTAGCTTATGAAATTCTTCTTTTTTCTCTTTTTCTATTATTTTTACTTGAAATCCAAGTCGTTCATAATCACGCTGTAATGCTTCAACTCGACGATGATTGAATGTTAATGTTGTCATTGATTCATTTATGTTTCCTGATGATAATCGAGTAGTTAAATCTTGACAACTTTGATCGGATAATAATAAATCTGTATCAAATGCACTTCGTCGTAATTCCGTAATCATATCACGATATTTCTGCAGATTTTTTATTGAAATAAAGAAGATTTTAAAAACAAATCTAACTCGATTCTAACCGTATCTAAGCGATCTGGTGATGTATTCATTGAATTGGTGTATAATTCATTGAGATAAAATCTTTGTAAGAGCCATAATTGTTGAATGAGAGAAGAGCGTGTGAGATGCTAAAATTGAAAGCATGGACTTAGCGGTAACATCAACGTCATCTTCTTTCTACTTGCAAGAAGCAACATCTCATACTAAAAGCGCTCGTTCACAGCAAGTACTATACTCATTGAACTTAAAATTCAAGAATTGTACAAAAATACTAACTCTTGATGATTGTATTGCTGTATCTGTAGATGTAAATGAATCATTATTTGAATTTTCATCCTTTAAAAAAGTATTAATTTACAGAAGAATCATAGAACAAAAATATAGATCCATACTCCAATGATTATCAATTGTACAAGCTCGCGAAGATTGGTTGTAACAATTGTATGTGACATAGCTCTTACTAATGACTATAAAAAAAATATGATTGAAGATTTTCACAAAGAAAAACTAAAACGGTACTTACAGAACGAATCGTTTGATCACTTTTACTCATAATTATATTAACTAAAGCTAATGCATAATATTGTGTTTCGATATCATGCTGTCTAAAATAAACTATTACAATAGTATATGAAAGAACGAATGATAAATATCTACTTGCTACAATAATCTAGTAAATTGGAGATTTGAAGTGTTTGAATAATTTTCAATGAGTATTTGGATTCCATACTTATAATTGAATCAAGAATCATCATGGCTACTGATGAATGTAGACAGAAAAGTTTTGATGCGTTAATACCACAAATTAACTAAATAATAAATTGATATGATTCATTTCAATTTCCGAGAGTTTCTCATTTACTTGATCAACAATTTTATCAATATTTTCAAGATCATCCCAACTAATAGCTTGTTGATTTATGATTACATTATGAAGTGAACGAAGTAAATTAGGTGTAAAATTTTCATAACTAAATATGAATGAACAATCTATTGGTATACAAATGAAGAAAAAAAAGAACCGAATTTACTTATTCAATTTTCCATCATCAGTAAATAGTTTTAATAAATATTGAAGACCATTTTGTTTAACAAATTCAAGTGCAAATGTTTCATCTTCACCAGCTAATTTTAATCGTTCGAGTATTGTGGAATCATACCGTTGATAATCGTTTGATGACAGATATTTTAATATATCTTGAACTTCATTTTCCTTTATTTTAAGTAGAAAAAATAAAAATCATTTAAAAGAAAATAATTTAATTACATGTGAAAGTGACAGATAAAAAACTTGACCAGTAGGAATTTGAAAACGATTCTAAAATAAAAAATTTCTAGTATGTAAACGTGCAACACATAAATTTCCTACTTGTTCAGTAACAAATTTATGAGTATCATCGTATCGAAGTGCATAATGAATTGAATTCGATAGTGGAATTTTCCAACTATGAAAATAAGAAAAAAAGAGAAAAATCAATTGATGAAAGTATGATGAATCAACGTACTCATCACATATTTTCGAAATATAATCATCTAAGGGAATGTTCTTAACAGATCAAAAGATGAAAATAAAAGCAGATATATTTTTAAATGTTTAATAAACTACAAACTGGATCAAGTTCGATGAGTTTAGGATGACGAGGACTGTTTGAAGATGGTATTTCAATTGATACCGTATTTTTCCAATGTACACCAATCTTTATTTTATTGTTCGATGCTCGTGCCATTCTTTTTTTCTTCTTGAATAATGGAGTCTTAGAAAAGTAGGAAGTATAATTCAATATGATTATGAAGAAATTTAATAAGATAAGAGTATAAACAGAACGAATTTTATGAACTATTGATTGATTTTTACTTTTTTTATGTTTTTTTAATAAACCAATCATTGGACATTACCTGTAGTTGGCGTTAATAGCATGCAAGAGATGTATGATCTTCAAAATTATCGAACAACGAATCGTTTTTATTTTTGTTTGTTTCTAGAAACTTTTTTTTATGAATAATTTATTACATGAAACATTCCATTTTGATGTTGATACATAAACAACATTAATTGATAACAGAGTTGTAATCTGGCATCGCAGTCGGGCTATATTTCCTATATTTGTCAAAAAATTGAAGGTTCTTGTGAAAAGAGTCATATATTCTTCAAATAACCGTCTAATATATTGTTTCTATATTGTCAGTAGCATTTATAAAATCACATAGATGTGGGCGACGATATATATGTGATGATGCTTACTTTTTCTTAGTTTATCACGATAATCCATAAATATTGCATTTATTGTCTTTCTACATATTTTGAAAAATAGTCTCATAAGATAGACATGTGAGTCTACTTTTAGAAAATATAAACAAGGATTACATTCTTCATTTGTCGCTATTGTTTCTTTATCGTTCTGGGTTTCACCTGTGATTGAAAAATAATTAAAAAAAAAAGATTCACTTGATTTAATTGATCATCTTTATATATTAATGCAGAAATATACTAAAAAAAGGTAACATTGCCAGTTGTCGGAGCGATTTTCAGTTGGAACCTTGCGCATATTGTAACCTTTAGCGAACTGAGTCTATGGTAAAGCAAGTCCGAATTTCTGGCTTATTTCAACCGAGATATCGAGTTTTTAGCGATTTATTTTCTATAGCGCCCTACTTTTGCAGCAAAGATCTATTTTTGAATTTTGACCTGAAGCCTGGCCCCTATAAGAGTCTCAGCTAGACTAGCTTGCTTACAAAATTCCAGAATTTTCTGACAACGTCTCTTCGAGATAGCTAGATTCGAAAAAATGCATACTGCATATACTATCTATGAAAAAGGGTCTGTACATTTATAGTTCCATATCTCGAAGAGGCTTTTTCCGAAACTTCGGAACTTTTTTGCAAGATAGTCTACCTAAGACCTTTATGTGGGTCAAGTTTTAGGTCAAAATTTTAAAATATAGCTTTGCTGCAAAAGTGTGGCGTAATAGAAAAAATCACTAAAAACTCTATATCTCGCCTGAGACGAGTCAGAAACTTGAACTTGTTTTACCATAGAAACAGCTCATTAAGGTCTATAAGATGCGCAAAGTTCCAACTGAAAAGCACTTCGACACCTAGTGGCGTTCCCTTGAAAGTTCAATCAAAATGAGTCGGGAAGAATAGATACCGAAGGTATTAATGGATCTAAATGGCTGAAACAAGGGAGAAAGGTATCAAAGTTTAAATGGATTTTATGTAAAACAGTAATAGCATGGTATTGATAAAAAAATATCGTTTGCTTTCTTTGAACTCTAAATCATTTTTTTAATGATCTTTATTCGAAGGAGTTTTGTATTATTCATATGACGTCTATGCATAAAATAATTGAGAACAGATCGAACACAAATTTATTTTGGATGTGGGTGTGGGTGTGGGTGTGGGTGTGACAAAACATGATATCATCACTCTCACATCCCCACTCACCAACACTCACCCACTCTGTTCATTCCATTATTAAAATACAACAATTTCAACCAAAGCTTAATATACCTGGTGTAGCGCATTCATAATTTATTGAAAAATTTAAGATTACAATAGGAAAAATCATCCTAGAAGTATCGAATGAACAGGGGAACAAAAAAATGCAGAAAAAAATTGTAAACGCATAGTAGCTATGATAGATCTGCGGCATCATAATCTTGAATTGTCAATTTTTATTTTCAAATTAGGACAACACAATAGCCTGAATGTTCAAAACGATCAAAACACATTTTCTTATCTCCCATACTAGTATGATTATACATCCAATTTTTTGTAAAAAATGTATATATCTAGAAACAATCTATACAATATGCAGATAAATATAAGAATTTTTTTCAAATTTAATACATTAAAATATACTTTTTGATATGTGTTTTATTTTTTTCAATGAATATGCTCGAAATAAATACTGGAATGTATTTTTGAAAGAATTTTCATACTCTTTAGTTTTTAATTTTGATAATATAGTATTGCTGAAGTAATCACAATTGGCTCTTTTCACAATACAGAAACTAGGAAATGAATCAAATACTTAATCAAACAATTATATGGTGGTGATAAAAAATGCTAATTTAAGAAGTTCGCATTTAATTATGCAAAAATGATTCGAAAATTTTTCAGCAAATCATATTTGACATTATATTGATATAACAGGATAGATATTAGTGAAGAGATATTATGAAATTGATCGGGTTTATCTTTAATTCTATAATTTTAACTATCAATCCAATACACAGTTAAATATAAATTAGATCAAATCTGAATTTGAATTATCATTTACTTTTATATTACTATCATACAAAATTTACATTTTCTTTTTCTGTCATTTGATAATGAAAAAAAAAATTCTTCTATTGATATGTCATTTGCAATCGAAAGAAAACAGTTAAAAATGAAAAATTGGCAGAATTACATGGGTTAGATGCAACAATCCATTTAATTATTTAGAAAAAGAAAAAGCAATGTGACAGAAACGAAGAATAAAAAGGAACCAAACATTGTGATTAAATCACTGTCCCTATATTAGTTCGTCGGCTATGGATGGCATACGATTCATTACTACATTTGTTCCTTCACCACGTGAACGTTGACATAATTCTTCCAGTAATGAAATAACATGATTTGTTTTCTTTTCAAGATCACTTATTTTAGTTTCTAATCGATATACGCGCCCATTTAATGTAAGTTGTTCACGATCTTTATCGGAAAAATTATTTGAATATGATTTCGGCGTGCCTAATGATTGATCTAAACGTCGTTGTATATCAGTAATTGCATACATAACTTTAATATTTCCTCGTGCATTCTCATCCATAATATCTTTAAAATCGTATGGTTTATGTGCTTCCTGGAAATTTCTTCTAGCTACATGATACTTAATTACACGTATCATTTGTATAGCAATGCGTTGTTTCTTATGGAGATCTCCGCCATTTTCAACTTTGCGCCATGAAGTTTTGTCTACTGATATACCATTTGAAGAAAAATTTGGCGACGGATTTTGTCCATTACGTAGACGTGATGTACTATTTTCACTATTCGAGGTATTCACAGAAAATGCTGAACCAGTATGACGACCGAATTTATTCGTTCGTTTAGTTTCAACACGATAAATACGCCATGTTGCTCTGTGATTCAAATCACGAGAAGCGATCACACGCCACCAACATTGAATAAGTGTAGCAGCAGCAGGAATCAATCGGTTATAGTGTTTTTCACGTTTTTTCTGTTCAACCTTCAGTGCAAAACCTGAACCAATGATGCCAGATGGTAGCGTCCAAAATGCTACACCACAAATACATAAACATGACGTTATCATTTTGCCCATATGAGTGCGAGGATATTTATCACCATATCCGATGGTCGTCTATATGTAAGATTAGATAATAATAATAAAAAGAAGACGATTATTACGTTTTGTTTAAAATTCACCTTACCATTGTTACAATTGCCCACCAAAGCGTATCAGCAAAACTATGAAACATATCTTCACTGGCTGGCTTACTTTCATCTTTTTCAACTAACCATATCAAATAAGCAATACTAATTAGAAAAATAAAACAAAAATAAAATGTAGCACCCAATTCATAACGATGATCATAAATAACAGCGCCAAGCAAACGCCAGGATGTAAGACGTCGATCGACATGAAGAAATCGAAGTATTTGTAATATTCTAGCATATCGCATAATTTGTACATTAAATTGTGTATGATTAAGGCTCATACTTAATAATATAGCATAACCAAGAATAACAAATAAATCAACAATACACATAGATTTACGCATAAATAAAAATCGACCATGATAACCTTGATATTTCATTCGACAACCAGATGACCAAATACGAACAATATACTCAATAAGAAATAAAAGAAAAAGTATTGATTCCACCCAAAATAATAATGAATCTGATTGATCAACATAAACTGTTAATATTGAACTGTAAACAAGACAACCAATAATAACACTAAATACAGTAAAATGATATAAAAAACAAAATATACCACTTGGCCGTTCAAGAAAATTATAAATATGTGTTTGAAGTCGAAGATTAAAGTGTGTGTATAACATGAAACGACTTAGTGGTGAATTATCATCGCAATCTTCATCAGAAATAGTTGTTTGTGTTGACAGTCGATTTAATTCTCGAGGAGCTACTGACGATAGGGATGTAAAATTTTCATTAATTGGTAAAGGTATAAATCGATGTAATGAACTATTCTTCATAATTGATTTATCATATCATATTACTGTAGAATAAAATAAAAATAAAAAATAACAATATTTTAGATATCTGCAACAATGAATCTCTAATATATCATCTAACTAATTTCAACGATTTCCCAGGAACAGTAAAACAAATAGTTTAACCTTAAAAATTTTTCTCGTTTTGAACTACCGATGAACAGCTCATTATTTTCTATTATTTACACCTGTGTAAAATGATGATTTGTTATATTGTATAATTTTTCAATAAAATCATCATTGCATCCCTGTAAAATATGTCTCACACCATTCGACGCATTTACTGTTGAATGGTGAATAGATTTTTTTTCGTTCGTTTATTTTTTTTAAGGCTCTCGTTGACAGTAGCCTTTTCTCTCATTACTAGAGGAAACTGATCTGCATTTTCATTTTTTTTCCCCATTGGCAATTTTTTTCATGAGCGAGAACAAGCAACACCTATGAAATTTATTTTTTCATCATGATTTCTCTTCTTTGATACGTTCTAAACACACACAAGGAAAATGTGTCAAATAAATTTGTAAACAAAAGACTGTCAGTGAATTCTCGTTATTTGATCTGAATTGAAAACATATCTAAGTATGTAGAGTATGTGTTTTACACTTGAAATAGAGAAACGCAATTGTTAATGGTACCGTAGAATGCAAAAGAAAAACTTACAAATTTCTTATTTTAGCATGCCCTTTGATTTATCATACTGAGTCAACTTTTTGTAAATAAACTGTTTTTTTCTGCATACTTTATGTATACCCTACTGCAGCTTTATAATTTTAAACTTCTTATCGTTTTTGTTTGTTTTAATGAGTGTTAAACTATTAGTAAATATATGAAAATAATGCCCTCGATATTTCATTGTTGTAACAAAAACAATAGACTGTACAGTAAGAAAAACAAAACAGAACAAAGTAGAAAAAAAAATTATCATAAAAAGTAAAATCGAACAGCATAAAACAGTTGAATATGAACCATATATATTTTCTATGATGAAAAGAAAAATTATGAAGATTTCATAAAAAAACAAAAAAGTTTATATTAATTTAACTTACACTTATGTACTTGTGAAAGTATTCGTTGCCGAGCATTAGCAAATGCTAAAATATCATCATCAGTTTTTTTATCACCCGTTAATGGAAAATTTAACCTAATGAAGACAGAATAGTTTTAGAAATTTCTATTAAAAATTCTATCTACTGTTGAGATATTTTAGGAGCATTGTGTGATACAGATGACATATCTGATTGAACCTATAAAATTACAATTTTATTTCGACTAGAGTGTTAGAAGAAAAAAGAAATTCTTACTGATGATGTTGTTTGCCTTGATAGATTACCATTAGGTTTTGATGGGTTCATGTCTAATAATTGACGTTGTTCTTCCTATGATAAAATTATAAATATAGATTTTTCAAGAAATGATCCATTTCATACTGCTTGCTCAGATTGTTGTTCCCACCAATCATCGAAATCTTTTAACATTTGTAATCGATCTTTTTCAATAATATGTTGAATATGTTCAATTTCTTGTTTCATATTTTTTAAACGATTAAAACATTCACGATATCTTCAAACAATAATTTTTATTGAAACGAAAAGAAATTTTTCTAATAAAATTTTCTTTACTGTATTTGTTCTTGTTCCATGGTTGTACGTAATTCGTTTAATCCTCGATGTTTTTCTATTTCATCTTGTGTTAACTGTGCAGCCAGACGTAAATGCATTTGTTCATATTGTCCTTTCATATGATCTACAATATTGAAATACTTAGCAGTGTGTTAAACAGAAAATAGATTGTTTACTAATTCGATTTCGACATTGATTTACTTCTTCGCCGAGCGTTTTTGCTTCTGTAAATCGTTGCTTTAGTATACGTTTATGTTCTTCAAGTTTTTTGTTCAGTTGATTATCACGTCGAAAATGATCAAATGCTTCTTGACGACCAGCTGACATATTCTTCACTAAAAATGAAGAATCAACAAGATGATGAGACTGAATGATTTTAAATAGAAACATATAGATTTATATTGATTCTCTGGAAAAAAAATATTTTACTAAATTATTGAATGGAAAATTTAAAAAAGATATAGTTATTGAAATGTTTAAGCAAGATGTATGAACAGATAAATTTACAATTATAAAGCAGCTATTTGAGACTGTCGAATAAGCTAGATGAAAATCATACAGAAGAGACTAGTAGTAGTGTAAACTCAAAAAATCTGTAAATGCTTTGAAAACAAATTTTTTCAGTATTTTTGATCTGAGTCTTCATCGGTATTGATTTAACAATTACAATCAAAGTAAAGTAACTTCACATTTATAAGGTAAAAGTATGCAATCCTAGCAGAATATGTTAAACTCTTTTGGGTCTACAAAATGCAACGATACCATTCTAATTCGTATAAATAATAAGAATTTATAAAAAAATAACTGATTGACTTGACTTCTACAAATGTCGCTGTTCTAAAGAAAATAGTTTATTATCTTTTTTCTTTTTTTTCATTCAAGTAAATTCTTTTATTGTCTTAATTAACTGTATTTTTTTCTTGAACTTACATTGATTTCCAGCACGATCAGTCGATGAAAAAGAATTTTCAGTGGGCGATGCCGTACTAAAATTTGGCAATCATTGTTTTTATAAGTTAACATTAACAAAAAAATTTATTACTTTTCACTAAGTGATCTATATTCTGTTTTCTTCTCTTTTTTTAACATATTCACCAGTATACTAATTTCATTATCACGTAATTTAATAATTGCTTTTAATTCTTTAACTTCTTTACTATCATATGGCGATATATCATGTGTTATATAAATGGGTTGATTGTTGTTTATTGGTTGTGTTGATGCTGTTTTTGCTTGTTGTTGCAATTCAAGATATAATTTCTATTAAGAGAAAATATAATTATTTTAGTTTAGGTCAAAAAAAGAAGATATATATCTATATATATAAATTTTTGTCTACTTTAAATGCTCGATAACATTGCTCAATTTTACGCATATCAGCGCCAATATTTAATGTGGCTTCATTATCAGTATCAGCTAAATAAACTTTAACTTGTTCGACTAATCTAAAAAAGAATAAAGAAAAAGAATTTTTTAAAGCTTTTTGCCTGGTTTTTTTTTAAATGTTACTTTGCCATCATTTCAGGTGTTAATGATTCATTAAATTGTTCACTACCATTTTGCATGGAAATTTGATTACGTAATTGTAAATTTTCAGCTCGTAGTTGATTGATTAATAAACGTGGATCTAATTCTTCATTAAGTATAGCATCGTTTTTAATTAATGCCACACGTTGAGAAAATCGACAAGTTGATATTGTTTCCTAAAAAAAAGAAATTTTCAATAAAAAAAACTAAAAAGAAACTTTTTTCTACTTCAATATTTCGTTTATCAACTGAACATGTTGCAATCATTGTTGTCATACAATTTCCACCAAGACTATCTCGCAGTACGGATGTCATCATAGAATTCCGATAGGGTATATGTGAACGATTTTTTTCTGACAAAGCAACGATGACTTGTTCAAGATAATGTAACGATAAATTAATATATTTTGCTTCAGTTAACAATAAACCATTTACATTTGATTTAGATACACGTTCCGAACTGACAAAATAAAAACAAGTTTTTATTCTTTTTAATTTAAATTAAAAAACTAAGAGAACAATTACAAACCCAGCTAAATCGACAAGATGTAATTTTGCTTTACGTACTGTTACTGAACCAATTACTTTACTGGTTATATGAATCGTAAATATACAATGTGAACGTGTCGATGCTTGATTCATTGGTGTCTAAACAGAAAAATAATTCTATTAATTTTCAAAATTTTAATTAATATTTTACTTCAGCAATCATTCGATTTGTATCACCAAGAAATAATAAATTGAGTGCTTCTTCTTCATTTTGTGCAGCATGTATTGATAGGTTTTTCAAATGCATATTTTGATCTTCATCTTCCAATAGAAGCACTTTTCTACAAAGAAACTATTTTTAAATTAAATTATTTAAAACAAATATTTACGGTAGATCTTCAAGTTTAGATGCTTCATGTTTAGGATCGAGAAGGTCATAACCATTTTCATTATAAATTTCCAAGTAAGATACATGAACAGTAAAACTTTGATCAGAATTCTTAAGCATGAAAATGTTTTCAATAAAAACAAAAAAAAACAATTTATTTTATTTACTTGTCCAAATTGTTGAAAGATATGTGAAAGTGAACGTGGGATAATACCACGATCAGCGTAGCGTTCCGGTCCACCAGTTATCGTAAATGTTTTACCTGATCCTGTCTAGAATTTTTGAAAACAAAGACTATGTAAATCTTAAATTGAGCAAAGTCTTACTTGTCCATAAGCAAATATTGTTCCATTGTATCCAGCAATGACACTAAATCACAAAGTAAAGAGAGAAAACCTATACTTTTGTTTTTGAAATATTAATAATCAAAAGCGTCACTGAACATGCAAGAGTAGAGAATAATCGAATCCCGAAACAAAAGCGGATGCTACATAAGCAACATTTAAAAAAGTCGCGTCAAGCTTCTGTTAATAATCTTACTTATCAATAACTGGTCGAGCAACCAATGAAAAAACATCTTCTTGTTGTGCACTTTGATCAAATATCTGACGAAATCTATTGAACAAAATAGTTATAATAGGCACAAATTATTTGCATGTTAAATTTATTTAACAAACCGAAAACGAAAATCTTCTCGTTTATTATTTATATAGCCGTCTGTCGCATCTTTTGGTATAACAATCGATAGATTAGCTCCATCATCTACTGGATTTACTTCATAAACCTGTAAAACAACATGGATGTTATCATTTTTGAAATATGAATAAAATTTTCAATACCGATGTTTTGGATTTTGTTGGTTTTATCCGGCAAAATATTTGAATTGTTTGCTTTACCATTTTTGCTCAAAATATTCAATCCTTAGAGTTTCAATGATTGATCAAAGACGTTCTCTTTCTTTCTTTACAAAATGCTATGACAACTGCCTCCTTCAAATCGATTATAGTGATGTCGCTGTAGATGTAGAATAAAAGTGTTCTTCTTTTTTTTTAACCTTATTTATTATGTTGGTTTATGTTATTCGGATGAAACAACAAAACTACATGCATCACAACAAAAATTGATGTATGTAGAAAACAGAAAACAACAGAAAAACACTGAAAAAATTCTTTTTTTCAATCAGTTTTTTATTTAATCGTCGTCATCGAATTTGATCTTTTTACTAGTTGCTTCACCAGAATTAAAACCATTTTCATGAGAAGTACCAAAGCTACGTTTTGGACCACCACCACGAGCTCCACCGCGTCCGCCACCACGGCCACCACCACCACCACCAAATGATGGTCGACCACCGGCTTTTTTGGGTTCTGAGCATTCGAATGATTTATGACCATCTTGACCACAGTTGAAGCATGCATCTAAAATAATTCTTTATATATTTTAATAGTTTTAAATGAGAATAGAAATTACTTGAACGTTCGCCGCCACCACCACCGCCGCCAAATGATGGTCGACCACCAGCTTTTTTGGGTTCTGAACATTCATACGATTTGTGACCGTCTTTACCACAATTAAAACAACCACCACCGCCACCACCACCTAAAAACAAAGCAGTTCATTTTTTTCTAAATACAGCATTGATATAACATACCGGATTTATTGCCACCATTTCGTTGTGAACCATTAGATTCAGGACATTCCCAAGATTTGTGACCTTCTTTTTGGCCTAAGATAATTTTTAGAATCATTTTATACGGAAATCTATATAGAAATCATGATAACTTACAATTGAAACATGCGTCTATAAAATTAGAAAAAGAAACAACGATAAAAAAATAATTGAAAAAACAAATCTATGAATTATTCTTACTTGATCGTCCAGCATTTCTATTACCGCCAGCACCACCAGCGCCACCGCGTGATGGTTTATTACCACCACGTGAATAGCTGCTATCATTCATTGATGCTTCATCAAGTTCAGGCAATTCTGTGATAGGTCCCATTTGAATTCTAGCACTATCTTTCCAATAGCTTTGTAATTGTTCATCAAGTTCACTTGGTAAATCGAATACGGCACTCTAATTAAAATAATCACGTTTTATTTTGTCGAATGAAACAGTTTTAGACTCTAATACGTACTAGAAAATCTTTCGTAAAGGCAACTTGCGAAATAGTGCCTTTGGCATCAAAATCATCACCAAAACATTTACGTAACATTGTGAATACGAATCCCACACTTTTTATTTCTTCACTTGATGTCAACTGATACGTTGTAAAGTTCTATAAAAACAGCCATAAAAAGAAATGAAATTTGTTTCGAACAATGTTTTGATTTACTTCTTGTTTTGATAAAAGTGATTTAGCGGCTCCATTGGTTTTATCGGCTCCATTAGCTGATGAACCATTCATAGGTTCGTCACTATCCTAAATGAAGAAGAAGAGGAACAAATGATTGAGTAAAATATTGGTTTTGGCATAAAAAATCTCACTTCATCATCATCATCTGATTCTTCTTTTGCATTTTTTTCAGCCATATTAATCGTAACAGCATCGTTTGTCAAATATTTTTTAGTTATTTTACGAACTGTATCAGATATCGATTCAGAAGAAATAATTAATTGTGCTTTTGTCTCTTGACCTATGTGAAGTATGAGAAAAAAGAATTATTAACGCGTAAAACTTTCCTTGATAATTACCTGATGTAAAAACACTTTTAAGAATTGCTTTAATATGATCAATCACAGGTGATTCAAGCATAGATGCGATTTCATCGATAACAACGTGTTTTAATTGTGATAAATCAACTTTTTCATTGTCAATAAATTCTTGTAATCGATCTGGTGTTGCAACAAGAACATCACAACCATTTGTAATAGCTGTTTCTTGGTCATCAGATTTCTTCTTGGTAGTAAAGATTGTTGCAATAGACAAATCATTCACAATTGATTGAAATTCGTCTGAGACTTTTTTAGCTATAAAAAAAATGTTCTTTTATATTTAGTTTTTGTACGTTGAAATTTACTTCAGACATATCAAAAGTAGTGTCAAAAAATGGGTTCATTTCTTATCAAAAACAAGATTCCTCATTATATTATCGGAAAACAAATACGGTGTACAACATCTCTATGAGAACTGATTGCTATGACATCTATCGCTTTACAATAAGGACTGACACAAGTTGATCTGCGGAGTCAACGTCGCCGATGAAATGCTCTGACTATATTAGCACTTACTTGATTCTCGTGTTGGTACTACAACAAGAGCACGTGGACCTCGTCCAGGTACTAATTGAACGGATTTATCGGATTGAAGTAATTCAACAATTGGAATAACGAAAGCCAATGTTTTTCCAGCTCCATTAGATGCTTGAATTAAACAATCTTTTTGCTCATAGATAGCTGTGTAACTTTTTACTTGAACTGGATATAAAAATTCAATATTATGAGCTAAAATTAGAATTTGTTTTTATGAGTATAATAAGAAAAAGACGATCGAATTTTACCTTTAAGCTTCTTGATACTTTTCTTTGAAATGGTAAAATTTTTTAAATTTCCTTTTTCTTTATCTTCTTCTGATAGATGACCATTTGTTGTCTCGTTTGATCCATTATCTTCTTGCGAATTTGATTGATCTTGTTCAGATTCTAAATCGATAAAAAAATAATGATTTATTATTTATGAGATAGAGAAGTATACCTTCTTCAGCTACTGGTGTTTGTTTTTTATGTTTCATTTTATACGAAAACAATTAACCGATAATGGAAAATTTAACGAGATCTAAAACGATTAGTTTATCATTTCTTTATATCTTTTTTTTTTAAAAATCGTCCTTAACTCATTTTACTATAAAATTTTATAAGAGTAAAGATAGTGTTTCAAAAAAAATTATAAAAACATTTAACTATAAGTTTTTTCTAATAAATTCGAACATTCGATCTTCCATATAGATGCGTTCATCCAGTTTTCTTGGCATATGTCGTTCATCGGGAAAAAGAATCAGTTCATACGGTTTATTTGCTCGTATAAGTGCATTTATAAGACGAGCCGAATGACGAAAATGAACATTTTCATCAATTAGACCATGCACTATCATCAAGTGACCTACTAAATTATGTATATGATACATTACACTTGATATTTCGTATCCACGAGGATTCTCTTCCGGTGTGCCCATGTATCTCTCAGTATAATGAGTGTCATATCTAAAACAATTTTCATATATATATATAATTAGAATCTTTTTTTTCTATATATTTACCCGTCCCAGTGTGTAACCGGTGCACCAGCAATACCTAGTTTAAAAACTTCACTTGCTCGAACCAATGCCATAGCTGCCATGTATCCCCCATAAGACCAACCATAGATACCAACACGGGCTTTGTCTGTAATACCTTGCTTTACGAGATAGTTTACTCCATCGATTTGATCTTCAATTTCTAAATGGCCCATATCATATCGGATAGCACTTTCAAAAGATACACCTCGATTTGGACTACCACGGTTATCTAAGCGTATTACGACATAACCCGATTCAACTAAACGTTGACAGCGCATATCTGTGCGCAATGACCAAGAATTTATTACACTAGAAAAGAAAAGAACGATGAATTAAAAAAATAAGCTAAATATCTCTAAAAAACACATACCGTTGAAGATGTGGTCCACCATAAACTGATACAAGTGTTGGATATGGTCTTTGATATCGGCCTTGTGCATCATCTGGTTTATATACTGCGCAATAAAGTGTTTGATTATTTCGATTTTGTATTTTTAATAATTGAGGTTTAACAAAATTAAATTGTTCTATACTTTGCACTTGCTCTTGCTGTAAATGATCTAATGTTTTAAGAATTTCTTTCTTTTTTACATCTAATATTCTTATAAGTGGACATTGTTCTATGGAACTCCATTGTGTTATACAATATTCGTATGTTCGATTAAAAGAGTAAACAGCATGACAACCAACTTCTTGTGTTATACGATCTATTTTCGGTATATCATCATTATAATTAACACTATAAAGATGTACTTCCATGGGTGTTTCACGATTAGCAAGAAAATAAATAGTAGAATTAGCTTCATCAACATCAACAACACGTTGTACAACCCAATCGCCACTAGTCAATGCTTTTATTAATTTGCCACTAGTTAAATCATATAATTCTAAATGCATAAAACCAGTTCTTTCACTAGTCCATATAAATTGTGTTGGTGTTTTTTTCAATGTACGAAAAGAGTCATGTAAATTAATCCAAGATTGGCTTATTTCTTCGATTAGTAATTTTAATGATTTTTTATTTAAAAAATCATATTGATATAATTGTAATTTTGTTTGTTGTCGATTTTCTATTTGTAAAGCAAGGCTATTGTCAGGGAAAAAATTTACACGTGCTATATAATGATCATGAAATGAACTTAAGTCAATCCAATCAATGTTAGGTGTTGTTGTTTTTTGATCGGCTAGATCAATAATACCAACAGTAACTTTAACATTTGTTTTACCAGCAAATGGATATCGATGTTCTTCAATCTAAATAATTTTCGTACTATTTAAGAAAAGAAAAGACAATTTTATTTAGTTGCTATTTTACTTCATCAGGATTATCCGAACCAGAATGTGGAATACGAAATACTGGCACATTTGACTCGTCAACTTGAGTGAATGCAATAAAACGTGAATCATCAGACCACCAAAAACCTTCACTTCGTTCCATTTCTTCTTGAGCAATGAACTCTGCAACACCATTCATTTTATTTGGTTGGCCACGTGCATCGAATGTCAATTGACGTGGCTGTGAAAATGATGATTTTGCTGTTGATACACAATAAAGTTCACAATTTTGAACGTATGCAACAAATGAACCGTCAGGTGAAAGTTTTGGATCAATTATTGATGGTTGATTAGATCCATTAACCAAAAGACGAATTTCTTTACCATCATGAATATAAAGATCACTACCAATGGGTATAAGCATCAATGATTGAGTTTTATTTTTCGGCCATTCATAACGAGTTATACCAGTGATTAATTGACGTTGACGCTTAAATTAAAAAGAAAGCAGATTTTAACAATTGTTTCATTTTGATGCTGAATACAGCTAAGATCATTACAAAGGAGATAACATTTTGAGAGAAAAAATAACTATATTTCAGACTGTACATGAGAAACATCACAGATAAAGAACATTTGCCTATGGATAGTTCGTAGCACGAATGGTTTACTATCAAAGATTTACATAACTTTATGTGCTCGTATCCTGAAATATGAACATTGATTTTTGTTCGTCATTAATACAAGCAATTTAAAATACACTTTATATCTTAGATATTTCTTAAGATAGAAAAAAATCACATTGATTTGGATCTTTTATCAGAAACTATTCTATGTAAATCTTTAATACACAATTCGAACACCAGTTTTTTCTTAAATTGACGACAGCACTCCGTTCAATGTCTCTAACAGTCCACATTACTTTGTCTGCATGATGTACATATTTCTGATTTGAAAATAATCATTTCAATCCAAGACTTTTCTCTTGCCATTATTTTCTGATCTGATACAAATAGTTTTATATATAATTATGTTTATATGTAGAATTTCGAAAAAAAAACACACTTCTCGTCGTAGTTTTTCTTCAATTGAAAGATTTTCTTCTGTTTTTCCATCACCTACACCAAGTTCGGCATAAACAAATTCTTTTTCTGTCTGGATATTATACGCATAAAGTTGTCTTGTTAATGTTTGATTAGGTGAACGAAGATATGTTAAAAATGTATCATCAGGACTAAATTTTATTGATTCAGCTAGATTAAAACCAGGCTGTGGTAATGATGCCACATCTCTACTTGTTATCGATCGATTGGGCATCTACAATGTATAATCATATTTCATTCAAATTACATATATATTTTCATTATTGCACAATAACAACAAAAATATTTCAGATCATTATTGATTGCCAAAAACAAAAAGATTCAATGTTTGACTTTGCGAGTAGATAAACAACGCATACAACATATAAAACTGAATAGAAGCAATATTTTAAAAATTGATAAGGTTAAAAATATATCTATATATTATCATTGCGGATTTGATCCCACTGAGATTTAAGTATGTTTCTTTTCTTGGAATTCATATTGCGCTTGTTCATAGGATGGTGGCATTTGATAATTCTATATTTAGTTAAAGTAAATAATTAAATGTTAAAAAGAAAATGATAAAACAAACTTGTTTTTCATTAATTTGCCCACCAAAACCATTATTTTGATAATCGGAATGTGTTTGATATCCATTTGACATTGAAGGATATTGTGGAGTGAATTCTGCTTTTGGTAAGCCTGTTGATTGTCTTTGATAAACTCCTTCATATGGTGCTTGAGATTGCGAAACATACATTGTTGTTTCTATAATTTGTCGAAATAAAATTTTATATAGAAATTTGCGTTTTGTTTTTCTTTTTGCATAATTTACCTGCAAAATGATTATTCATAGATTGTGCTGATTCATATGATGGTGGTGGTGGTGGTTCATAGAGATTAGCTGCAGCTATACCATAAGATCTACAAGTAACAAAATCAAAAAGAAAATATAAACATTAATCAAAAATGAAATACACGACATACGGTGGAACTTCTTCAGTTTGTTGATGAACTGTTTATTGTGAAGAAAAACAAACATGAACTTTTGATGAGTATGACAATAGTGACTCACAGATCGAATGAACGTCACGTAATGCTGTACTCGCATCAATGGCACCACCAGATGAATAAGTTAATTGAAATTTGACTTCACCTTGAAATCCACCTAATCAATAAAAGAAAACAAAAACCTTGATAAATTTTAGTCAAAACATATATTCTTATCAATTGATTGATTCGAAAGGTAAATTAAAACAAAGTAAAAACGAGAATCAATTCAATGATGAAGATGAAACAAATCGTATACGTATTGTTTCTCGTTGCCATAAGCCATGTCCAGATTTGTATTAGTACTAAGTCTGAAACAGATTACTATCGATATTTAGAACAGTTTGGCTATACAACACAAGTTCAAAGTCGACTTTATTCGAGTCATGATAAATCGTACCACAATGAAGGTATTAGAAAGTTTCAGCGTCTTTATAAATTACCTGTAAGTTAGATTTACTCAATCGATGAAAATATTACGTATGTAGATATATATTTAGGAAACGGGTGAACTTGATGAGCAAACTAGACAATTTATGAAACGATCACGTTGTGGAAATCCTGATATAGGTAGCTTTGGAAATACTATGCAAGTTGAACGACTTCAATCGGCACCATTAACTCAAGGACGATCTATGAAGGAAAATAATCCTGTAAGTTATGTTACACAAGAAAATGTTTGGACAAAAAAAAATCTCAAATGGTTTATCGCGGAATATCCAAAACAACAGAAACAACTCAAATCAAAAGATCAACTGCGTCGTATACTGTTTCAAGCATTTAATGATTGGGAAAAATATTCTGGGCTTAAATTTGAAATGACTTCAGCCAAAGAAACAGCTGACTTAAAAGTAAGATTTGTTTCGAAAGATCATGATGATGGATACGCATTCGATGGTCCAGGCAAAACATTAGCACATGCTTTTTTCCCGAAAAGCGGTGATATACATTTTGATGATGATGAAATGTTTTCCGATGATTATACAGATCAAGATGAACAGTATACATTAAGACTTGTTGCTGCACATGAAATTGGTCATGCACTTGGTTTAGGACATTCGTTTGAAGAAAACTCTTTGATGTTTCCTGTTTATCAACAATATAGTGCAGATTATAATATTTCCGATGATGATCAACAAGGTATTCAAAAATTATATGGTAAACCTAATGATAGACCAATAATTGAATCAACAACAACAAAAACAGCATCATCATCATCACCATCAATAAAAACAACTACTTCTTCTAATGGATTACCATTGAATAATTGGTGTTCAGGAGATTTTCAAACTGGTTGTGAGGGTCCTGATGGCGAACTTTATTTATTCAAAGATAATCATGCATGGAGATATCGTGGACGAGCTAAACATGTATGGGATCGTCAACCAAAATTAATTAGTGAACATTTTCGATCTTTAACAGATACAACAATAACAGCTTGTGTAAAGTCAGTAACTGGTTATACATATTTATTTCGTGATCATGATATGTGGAAAGTGAGAACACTTTGGTCTATTGAAGGGCCACATCAAATCAATGGAAAAAATTATCCACAAAATCCTCACATTGCTCTATTTCATAATAATTCAATCTATTTAATAAAAAATAATTTCGCTTATTATTTCAATGAATTGAATCACCATAGAGATTTACCACAATATCCCATTCGCAAACTATTTGATTCGCCACCAAAAGAATCTATTCATTCAGGTTTTACATATAATAAACGGCATTATATATTTACACGAAATCATGTTTATGTTTATGATTCAACATATGGAAAGACAATATCGGGTTATCCAAAACAGATATCAAATGGGTGGTTTGCATGTGATACAACAGCACAAGCACAAAAATGGAGCAAAAAAACAACAAGAGGTTATAGTAGAAATGGTTCACGAAACAAGTATAATCATCGTGAACATGATTATCACCATCATGATGAGGATTATCGTCACGGACAAAAACGACCACATCGTATTTTCCGTCAAGAACATGATCATAAACGTCATCAATATCAATAGAATCATGTAGTTTTCAAAATTAAAAATAAAATAAAATAAACTAACCGTTTGGATGTGCACCTACTACACCCGAAATATAGTTTGCACCAAATAAAGGCTGTTCAACATGTAAATTTTTCATATACATAAAAGCCACTGCAAATGACATCAGATTATCACGTTGATCACTACTAAGAAATATCATTCGATGAGTTGTTACAAACATTATTCCTTTATGTTTTCCACGAAATAATTCATTGCATTCTCGGCTAGCATCATCAAACGATAATGTTACATTTTTAGAATGATTTACAATTCTAATTAGAAGAAAATAAACGAGAAAATAGATTAAAATATCATAATAGTTTACTTACTGTTCACCTTGATAAAGTAATAGACCATTTTGATAATGTGCTTGATTAATCGACATAATAAAAGTCGTAGTTTACAAGTTAAAATTACAGAGTATGAATGTTTTTCTCTCGGAGTAACGAACTGTTATTCTTCTTTCACAAGTGCACAAATGAACCAATCGATGGACACTTCGCAGTTCATCTTCATATACCTTCGAGTAAATCATTATGATCAGGAATTTTTGAAATTTTGAATATTTTCCAAATAATTCGATAGAACTAAAATAGAAAAGTTAAATTTAAATATTTCATAGTTTATATCAATTAGATGATGGCGTCATCTATTGAATTCTATGCTTGAATATTAATATTCTATTTTGAATCGGCGCGCAAGACATACATATTTTTTTAAATACTGGTGCTTAAATGTCTGAGCAACGTAGTCGTTCATCACCAGGAAATGTGACTATTAAAGCATTTGATAATATAAGTCCAGAAGAATTAGAAGAACTACGAGAAGCTTTTCGTGTATTTGATCAAAATGGTGATGTAAGAGAAACAAAATTTTTAATTGGATTTACTCAATTGATACATAATTTCAGGGAAGTATCACACTTTCAGGTTTTTCGTTTAATTCATGTTAAGATTTTGTATGCATGATCATATTCATAATAGAATTACGTATTGTTCTTGATCAAATGGGTTTAGATCCAAGTGAAGAAGAACTACAAGATATGATCCGTGAAGTTGATGCAGATCAAAGTGGTAGTATTTCATTTGTAGAATTTGTTGGTAATAATAAACGAAAAAAGATTACCTAATCTATTAATTAATAGATTTTAATATTAAGATATGGTTAAGAAAGCAGTTGATACGAATAAAAATTCACGTGAAGAATTATTTCGGGCTTTTCAAGTATTTGGTATTGATAAATATTTCGACGAAAGAAACATTGATGCAGTATTTTTATACAAGTAGATCTCGATCGAAATGGATTTATAACAATGGAAGAATTGCGGACAGGTATTTAGTGGCTATTCCATGATTATTATTATTATAGAGAAAGAATCAAGTCAGTTCATATGATTATGATTATGATTTGAAAATTCATTGAATATTATTATTTCGAATGTCATTTTTTGTCAACAATAAATATTTCATAATTTTTCCTATTAAAAATTTGTTTAGCTCTGTATTAGTTAAGTTTGAAATAATCCAATTTATCTATTCATATTTAAACATGCCTAGAATAATTAATTACTAATGGATCCGACATGAACGCAGTAATTATAATTTTGTCCCAAAGTTTGTTTGAAAGGATCAACCTTTTCTTTTGTTAATATCTGTAATCATTTGTTTCTGAAACTTGACTTCAAATGAAACTATCCTATCTTATGTCTAATGCAAATTCTAAATTCGTCTAACTCTGGAATGTTCACATTCTAGTTCTTCAAGCAACAGGCGATCGGCCGACAGATGAAGATGTTCTTGAAATGATCGCTGAAGCAGATATTGATGGTGATGGGCGAAGTAAAATTTAAAATAAAACATTATTCTATGGAAAAAACAAAATGTCATCTGTTCTTATTTTCAGTAAATTACGATGAATTCGTACTAATAATGATAAACAATACAGCACCGAGAAAATAATCATCATATGTATTTCATGATAAAAAGGAGAAAAACGAGAACTGAAAAAAAAGTAACAAACAAAATTTCAGAGAATTAACGTACAATTCAACAGAAAAAAGTTTATATACAACTGAAAAAGTTAAACTGTTTAAGATATTCAAGAAAATAAATTACGCTTGTTCCAATCAAATATTTAAAAATATGAAACAAAAAAAGAAAAACAACAAATCATTATTCGACTCTGTCAATCAATTAGAAAAACAATAGATATGTATACATATATAACAGATAATGGAGAGTCGAATAACGAGTAAAAGATCTTTTAGTAGTATTTTTCGTTTAAGAACGACTTCCACAACAAGTTGATTTTTTTATTGTTTTATCTAAATCAATACCGGGTGATCGATGAATTTCTATGTCTTCATTACATTTCATGTCCCTACAAAAAAATAAAATTCATCACTTTTCTTGACAAAAATTAATTGTATACATACCGAGCTAATTCAATAAGAGCTTCGTCGGAATTAGTACCATCTTTTGCGCTGGTTTCAATAAATAACGCTTGATATTCCTAAAAAATTAAAAAACATTTTTTCCAAAATTTGTATTACTCTTTTATGGCGAAAACAAACTTTAGCTAATTTTGCTCCATCATCATATTCAACAACTCTTCTTCCTTCTGCACGCATTTGATTTCTTAAATCAATTTTATTTGCAACCAACATAATCGAAACTTTTTTTGGCGTTGATTCAGTGATTGTATCAATCCATTCGCGAACATTGAGAAATGATCGTTCATATGTAGAATCATAAACAAGAATAACACCATCACATCCACGAAAATATGATTTTGTCACACTTCGAAATCTTTAAGAAGAACGAAAACAATATTAAATTTCAAATGTCTCATATATTCGAAATTCGAGCAACACTTTTTTGCACTTTGTTGGAAAGAACTCATCCAATTACTGATAAAAATTATATTTAGTTACATTCAAACGATGGTTAGGAAAGAAACTTAAATAAAGAAAGTTTAATTGCCATATTTAAAAAAAATATGATTTGATTGGCGAGAAAATTGAATTTCTCTTTGTTGTGAATGTGAGATTGACTAAAATCTATTTTCTTAATACTTCAAATTGATATGCTTCTATATGCACTGATTTGTTCTTCTCCTGATTTCATTTTACTAATATGATAAAAAATAAGATTTTCTTCATATTTAAACGCGACTTTAAAAATAAACATGGGCAATGTTATTCTAAGGACATCGAAAGCACCAAAAAAGTAAACAACGAAACTAAAGTGACTGGATACTTTTAATGTACATAAATTTGTTTTGAGACTTCTCTGATTTCCTTAATGAGTTCTGTTTCACTAGCAAACATCGTTTGAATATATATTTAGATCAAAACTTTTCTGGGTAACTTTATGATCTCTATTCAAAAATCGAATAGCTCGGTATTTTACCAAATAAATAAACACAAAACATTTCGATGTATATTACCTTTCTTGTCCAGCTGTATCCCATAATTGTACGGCAATACGTTTTGAATCTAATTCAAGCTGTTTATTTTGAAAGTCAACACCCAGTGTAGAATTTATGTTCGAAACAAATTTTCCTTTACATAAACGCATTATTAATGTACTTTTACCAACAGCAGCATCACCACAAAAAACTACTTTAAACATCCGACTGAATCAAAAGAAAAATAGATTATGACAGTGTTAGAAGAATTTTTGTTTTACTTACTCAAATGGATGATTTAAGATTTGTTGATCTCTTTGAACATCAGTTACTTTTGGTCCACCGTGTTTTCGTGTTGATCTTGAATTAGATGGTACTGATGAATTAATCAAAGTTGTTGTTGATGTATGCCCATTTGGAGATGTTCGCTTTAATGAACGATGTTGAGACCATCGCTTTGGATTATTACGATCCATCGACTTCTAGTAAAATTCATGGAAATAATTTATATTTTTGACAAAGCTATCAAATGTCGAACTACTACCTCATCAGAATCAGTATCATGATTATTTCGTTTGACTGGCATGGATCGATATTGTTTTGAATGTCTCGATAAAGATTCTTTATTAGGGTTCACTTCCCGATCTGATTCAAGTTCGGTTGCATCACGTACGGTTGTTATTGATAAACCACTATCTATTGACATCAAATGGAAAAACAATATCGTTAATAATTATAATAAACATGTGTATATATAAAATTGAATCAGGTTAAAGCCTCAAGAATAGAAGAAGTCTTTTTTTTTGCTTTTCCAATGAATCACATGCAGATTTTTCATCACCACATTCATATGTAAAAACAAAAACAAACCGTTCATAGTATTGTTCTTCGGAGCATTTTTATCAAAAGGAAATACACTTGATATTGCTGGTAAATTTTTCGGTGATAAAATATGTGTAACATCTAACCTGGATTTAGATGAAGAATTGTTTCTACGTATACCTGGTTCGTCAGCTGAGTCGATATCGAATGAATCAAATCTTCCAAGCGTTGGTTGCTGTTGAGTTGTTGACATATAGGATGATGACGCACTAATTTATACAAATATAAAGTTTATTCTGATAGCAGTGGATACAGATGTAGGATAAGTGAAATTGGTCATGTATGCTCATATCTTCAGACTTACATCAATCCTTACAACTTACCATTCTGCTTTCAAATGATTATTCCAATAGTTTTCAAGAATTGATCCACTTCGAGACATTGATCTTTTTGATACCAAAGCAATCTATTATAATGAAAACGAATTATTATTTTTATAGAAATCTTTTGATAAAATGCAAACATCGGAAGATACAACATTATTGTTATTTGATTCGATGATAGCACGTAATGAGTCGTTTTCATCACGAAGCTTCTTATTAACTTCTCTAAAAAATTACAGATAATCGAAGAATAAAAAATTCAAAAAATTCTTATTTATTTTACATACACAAGTTTATGAACATTTGATTCTAATGATTCTTTTTCGCGATGAACACTTGATGATATTTGTTTCTCTCTAAATCATTTATTTATGTTATATTTCAACAAAATAAAGGTACAGAAATCAAAGATTCTATAGATTTCATATTGTATTATTATATAATTAATAATACTATATTATAGAAGAATTAAATCGAAACACTAAAAACAACATTAATATCATTTGTTTTTGTTCGGTCTGGTTTATTATTTTTATCATTTATCTTTAATATAGACGAAAATGACTTTGTCTGTTATTGTTGTTACTGAGAGGTCATGAAAATGGGTATTTTTTTTTATAATAGAGTAGTATGTTGCCTAGAGCATCTTAATTTTGACTATAGAATATTCATGTCATTGTAAACTTATTGAATAAGTACTAATCGCTTGCCTTGGTCAGTTTTTCGGAGGTCAGATCAAACTACGTAGCAAGCACGGACATTTTACTGAGAAAACTGGTCATAAAAGTTCTTTTGAAACTTTCTTGGAAAAGCAAATCAAATTATAGTTTTAAATGACAAAATCAATTTATTCCATCATATAGATTTTACACTCAAAATTCAAATACTATAGTTTAACTACTTTCTAAAATACAGGCATTAACAAGTCACGAGCCTCTGAAATGACGATGTGACCTATGATAATTTTTCTATTCTATGGAATTTTAATCCAATATTAAAATTAGTAATTGTGTATAATGTATATGTTGATTGTCGTGCTATGATTTCTAATCTCATTTCATCTGCTACTCTTTCTATTATTATTTTAGCATTTTCAGCTTCATTGTTTACTTCATTTTTGTCGGTTGTAAAAACGAAACTGAGAAATAAATTAATATATGAAACCAAGAAATGAAATTGCATCGCTATTTTTATAGTATTTTTCAGGTTTCTATAAACTATGTATGTATATACAAGCTATCTGTTTCGATTTCTTCAACATATTTTTTTTTGTGTCTACAAATGAATATTTTCATACTGTAAAAGAATTGATTGGCGGTCGTTTAATTGAGTTTTAAATGATTGTAAATCACTTTTTAAAATGGCAATTGTAGTTAATGAATCATTTAATGACGAATTTAGTGTTTGATTTTCTTGTGTTAATTTAGAAATTTCTTCACGTAGTAAAACTATCGATGAATTTTCATTCGATTGACGATCAAGGTAACATTGTTCAATCTGAATAAACCAAGAAGGCCGATATGAATTTTCTCTAATAAATAAACATGCTGAACTGTATATTATCGACTGAAGTGATATTTTGTCTATTAATACGACCTGATGAGGCTAGAAATATGCTAATAGAATATTTCATTTCAATAGAACTTTTGTGTAGGATTGAAATTATTTGTATCAGATTTTCGGTTGATGACAGCATTGTTGTGAAAAAGTAAAGTCCCGTCTCTAGATTTTGAATTCTAACGAATAGTTATTTTTATGGCATTTTGTGACATATGTTTTGCCTATTGAATATTCATTATTTTGCTGAAAAAAAACCATTCGTCTTTGGTTGAAAATTTCCTATGCCTAATTTTCCATGAATAGTTTAGTATTCACTGAAAAACAACAATCGTTGTACAAGAAAAATCTATGGAGGCAAAGTCTTCTAGGATTTAACTAGTTCTCACTAGGTCATAATTATAGATAAAATATCACTTCGATCGATGATAGACATTCAGATATGTTCTCTAATTAAAAACACAGAAGAAGAACATACAGTTTGTAAACGTTGAAGATTTGCCTGTAGTTCAGCAATCTTTTTTGATGCACGCTGTTGAATTAATTCTCGTTCTGATTCAAATTTTTGTTGTTCCTATTAAGAAAAAATATTATTTATCTTTTTTTAAAATACATACATAAAATAGTAGAAGACTAACTTCTTTACGGATCTTAGCTTCTACTTGATGCATTTCACGTTCTTGATCTTCTTCAATACGTCTTAAATATTTTTCATTCATATCCTTTTCTCTATTAAATATGTAAGCATATACTGATGGAAATTTATTATAACAATGATAGTTTATTAATTACCGTTTATAAGAGTCTTCTAACCGTTTAATTTCCTTGCGATACTTCATTATATCACCAACGAATACTTCAAGAATTGATTGAAATTGTCCCATTGATTCACTTGATCCATTGCGTAATGTGTCATAAAATTCAAAAATTTGTTCTTGACTAAAAGCAAATAAACAAAATAAATTTCAATTAATATGGATCAACCCCGTCCTACAAATTAAAATTGCCACTAGAATCAATAGATAATTCTTTTGTCTAGTAATCTCATCGGCTCGTGTCATACTATCTTTTTTGGTGAAGGCGCCTATTTAGATCATATTTCAAGTGTTATTAATAGTTTGTTTGATTGATTTTGGTATAGTTTTCAAGAAAATATTTGTCCTCTCTTTTCTTTACTAGTATCACCAAAATAGTGCTGTATTTTTATCTTTTCTACTCTAAAGAACGCATTCAATCGAGAAAATTTATGTCTCGCTACTTACTTGGAAAAGATATTCTTGGTGATGCCATGAGCGTTGCTTAGATCCATCACACAATTTTAAACAATCGAAATTAGAAGTATTCAAAAATAAGAAAGAAAAACTCTGCAGTTTGTGATGAGAACAAAATAACAAGAATCGTTTGTCAGGATCGTTGTCGTTACGACTGTTTTTCTCCTTCTCCTCCTTCTTCTTTCCTCCTCGTTTCACTCCTTCTCTTCTCTGTCTCTTTCTCTTCTTCTTTTCTCTTTACATATACATAATTCCATACACAATCATGTTTATGCAAACAACACGATATTTATATAACTATTAGACATGATTCGATTCGGCTCTATTTCTTTTCGCTCAGGTGAGCGTATTTAATCTTAAAATATAATTTGAAACAAGGGAATGAATAACAATTAGCTATAATATATTGCAAGTATTAATAGCTACTGTCTCGAATGGTACGAAAAGAAAGTTTTTAAAAAAAGAAATTGTTTTCAATATAAATGTATTGATAGACATCTGAGTCACGACACATCGATTTATGAGCATATTTAATTCTTATGAATGAATAAAATGACTTAGAATTATTAATATTTGCTTTTCTTTTTCATACCATGATAGGTTATTGAATACTTCATTGATTTGTACTGGTGTTATATCTGTTGTTAAATTTTCTTCTTCTTCTTCTTCTTCTTCTTTATCAATAGCATTATCATGATTGATCAATTTGTTTTTACATATTGCATGATTATTATGACTTGGTTGAATAAGCTCTTTAAAACCATTAGTAAATTCTTTTAAACTGATACGATTATCATGATCTATATCAAGATCAGTAAATATGATATCAATATCAGATGGCGATAAATGTGGACATATACGTTGAAGTTTTTCTTTATTGAGATAGCCACTTCCATCCGAATCGACTATTTGAAAGATTTCATTGATGTTATCAGTATCACCCATTTCTAAGTATACTGATCAGAGCCGTCTAAATCGTAGTATTCTCTTTTTTTTTGGCGCTATTACTTGGTTTTTATTTTTTATTCTTTGCAGTTGATATCAACGACACGTTGTAACGATTGCACCAGATGTTTGCTGTATGCTGTGCAAAAAGAAAACGAAAAGGAAAGAGCACGAAATAAAATAAAGATGAAACACAATTGTGAATTACGAGCACCAAAACAAGACTACGCCTATTTTCCTTCTCTATCTAATCAATATAATATGATTACATTGACATTAAAATACTGAAGTAAATTTTGAGATTGTGAATAAAACCTCTGTAGAAGAAATATTTGAAAGCTATACTCTTTATAAATCTGTCATGAATCAAATCTATCTGAGAATAAAAAGAACAATATTTGTATTCAATCTTGACCTTAATATGTTTTGTATACCATAAAAATTGGTATATTTTAAATGAGAAAAATAGCACGTTACTTGTTCTTTATTACGAACACAAGAAAAACAGGAAAAAACCTTGGTTATTCATATAAAAAATTATTTGTATCAAATTGATTTCACATGTTGTTTGATGCCATATGTTTTTCGTGTAATGTTTACTTCGTTTTTGTTTATCAACTTGTCAGGTTTTCAACTTGAATAATATATCTACATAGGCTGTGTTAAAACGTATACTTAATATTTTTATTTTGCCTTCAATAAATATATATATATTTATATTCTCACACTTTCTATTCAGTATTAGTCTGTATAAACTGCATACGCAGTCGCCACAGCAAGCATATCATATCCGAATGTAGCTTGTGCAGTTATCGATCCATCTGTTTCGTGATCCCATAGGCATCTTGATATAATAGCCATTGATTGGCTTCTTCTGCCATCAGATATTGCTTGAACAATAGTAACAATCACAATAATTTTATATCGCATACTGTTTAATGTATCAGATTTAAGAACACGACGTAAGCGTTGTGACAAAGCTTGTGCAAAATTTAAACAATTCTTCGGATCATATCGAATCAAGTTTGATATGCTCGCACATCGCCGATTGAGTTCCAATTGAAGAAGTTTTTGCGCACGTGCAAAATCAAAATTTCGAGAAGGACGAAGTGGATATGCTGTTAATTGTAAATTTTGATAAGTAGGATTTGTCTTTAGTCCTTGAATTTGATCTAAATTGATACCGGTCGAAAGATGCCAATTATTCGTCGGCAATAGAGCAGTTAAGTTTACTGAGGATTGAAAATCATTAGCACGTTTAGTTAGAGCCATTACGCGTTGAAGCATAGTACGAGTTCTTATACGTTTCGATTCCATCCTGATTGTTTTTATTGATTTTTCTTTGACGTTTAGTAGAAAAAAAATGTCTTTATTAAAAAGGAACTGAAAATCATAACTCTTGCTTCATTTAAATTGAACATGTAAATATTACAGTAGAAGTCAAATCGGCTAAGCTTTTGTGCTTGTCAATCAAATTTTTTCTATTAAATTTACTCCCTTTCAAGGAACATTCAATGTGACAAACACAATGCATTTCTTCCATTTTGTCTATTGTCGTTATGCAGAATCTTCTGAGCAACAGGAAGAGTAAGAATGAAACAGTTAAGCAATCAATTCAAAGAAAGAAAAAAAGACGAATAATTATTCAAAAGAAAATGAAAGTGATCGTCGCGCCTGGTGGTCGAAAGAACGCAAATACACAGCCTAGAAAAAGAAAATAAGATAAAAAAACCACATTAAGTTTTAACAGAACAAACGTAGAAGTACAAGACGATGAGCCATCAAAGAATGTCAAGGCAACCAACCATTTCTTTTCATTTTACCTCAGAAAAAATTCTTTTTTTCAAATGACTTCACCTCGTCGACAACAACAAGTGCCTGAACTAGAAACAGCAACATTACATATGTCTATATCACCGCGAACAACACCCGTCGATTGGAAATTACGTTATGAAACATTACACTTTGAACATCAACTTGAAATAGAACGTGTACGTCTGCATTATGAACATGAACTTAAAGATAAAATCACAGGTAAATAATTTGTACAAGATCTTAACTTAATAAAAATACGACAAAGAAAAACATATTTTTTGTAATGTGTAGAAATGAGAATACAATTGAAGCGTGAATATGAACATCAATTTGCTGGATTTCGAGCCCGTTTACATGAACAACAACAACAGCAGCAGCAATACTTACTTAATTTAAGTTCAAGTAGTCTTGGTATTGATCAAAGTATAGGTGAAAAAGTTCGAGAACAAGTACGTCTTGCTCAAGAATATGAAAGTTTTGATGATGAACGTCGACAAATATTATTACAACAGTCAACTGATAATGATGAGTTGAAACGGCTTATTAATAAATTACACACTGAAGGTAAAAGAAAAATCAATAGAAATAAAACGATGTCGTGTAGACTGCTGATTATTGAGTTTCGGTAGTATACTCAAGTGTGTAGTTCTAACTAAACTGTGCATAGAAACAATATTGACGATGAAACCTTTCAAGAAACAAAAAAATACAAATACACATATACGCATGTGACAACCACAAAATTCGACTTTTGGTACATTTTGTTTTAGTTTACATGTACCATTTAGTAGATAACATTTCATTTTTAAATTTCATCTTATTAGTAAAAATGAAAGCTAAACTATATTAAGACAGCTACGATCAATTCAAGTGTCCAATGAAAATAAAACGAATTTACGATCTAAAATTTAAGTTATAATATTAAGAGAGGTAAACATATAGAATCAACATATTTTGTGTTGCATCCATTAGTGAACTCATATTATATGATTCGAATCCAATAGAAAAATTATAAATCACATTATTGATCGAAATATTTACAAATATGATTCAGCTTTCGATGCTATCACTTAGACTAGAACGATAGGCTTCGAAAGCAAACTATCATAATTACAAATTGCTAAACCAATAAAGAAACATATAAATTCAACTGAAGTCAAAAATTAAAATATCGAGATTTAGAAACCTTATTAAATCGTAGTTGGAGAACTCTTTTTAAAATTTCGACAAATAGAATACTAAATACGTCGACATCAAATAAGTAGTGCAGTTATGGAAAAGATTTATGGTTGAAGAAGACTTCTATTTTCAATAATTTTGCACCCTTGAACAAAGATCAGAGTATCTAAGATTACTCATAGATAAATATACGTTCTTTTGAAACCCTTTCTATTTTTCGATGCCTCAGAAAATATTATCGAATTTATTTTTAAGAGTATTTTTAATCAATACAAAGACTCGTATAAATTATTTTTGTTTTTATTAGGTGTACATGTATTAACATTAAGTGAACTTCTCTCTTTGCGATTAAATGGTGTTAATATTAGTACAACAGAAGATTCGATACGTTCATTACAAAAGTTAAACGAAGAAAATTCATTTCTTCGTTCACTTATTGGCAATATGAATACCAATGAGTCAAGTAATAAATTAATAAAATGTATTGCCGATGTATTTCGTTGTGAACAAGAACGCCGTTTAATACAAATTCGTCAGCATCCAAATTTTACACAACTTGAACAAGAAATTCATGATATGTGTAAGTATCAACGGGATGCATTAGCAAAATTTTTCTCTGAAGATCGTCTATTATTGATCAATGAACTTGAACAAACAAAAGAACAATTGAATTATTTAAAAGTTAAATTTGAACAATTAAAACAAACACAAAATCAAACCACATCAACTAAATTTTATTCTAAATATTTACGTTGTGATAATTATCGAAAAGCATTAATATATCAAAAACGTTATTTACTTGTTTTATTAACTGGCTATGAAGACACAGAAACTTATGCATTAAATGAAATTCGACGTTTAACTGGTGACACAAGACATAGTTCATATCCGTATAATTACGATAAAATGAAACTTATTCGTCGACAACCATTTCAACGACGTTTTACTGACTATCGATTTCGTTTTCGATATTACGCTCAAGTTGTGATTGCTGTATTTCGAATGCGTTGGCTCGTCAGAAAATGGGTCCAGAAATTAGCTGATTTTAAATAGATTTTGTTTTTGTTTTTTGTGTCTGTTTTCATTTCTGCTATGAACATATAGTATTAGTCTGAGTGATAGCAAATAAATTCTTTAAATCTCATCCACATTCTAAAGAATGAAGCTATTCTTTGTTTTCCTTTTCAAAAGCATGAAGTAAAATTGATATTATGAATTTAACAACTATCAAGCTGTCTGATTATGAACTGCATGATATATGAGAGTTATTTGTCCATTTGATATGATAAAGAATGACTACTGTCTTCAACTTTTCATGTTATAGATTAAATGATTGAATAATGTTTGTAAATAAATGTACTTGTGATATCTGTATTCTGTATTCTTACTGATAATTTACGACACACATAGATAGACGCCGAAATACATGACTGATGAAACCATATATAAACAGTAGAAAAAAGAAATTCTCCTTCTTTTTGTTTTCGTCGAGCGCATAAAAGTCGATATAAATCAGAATTATATCAGTAGATTTGTTTTGCACGTCGAAATTTATTGACAAATTCTATCGGGTACCAATTACTATTTCGAACATCGTATAAGTAGATCACTGTGACGTTATTCTATCATGGCTCGTTTTCTTTTACAAATACTTATTGTACAATTAATATTCATCGGTAGTATCTCCGGACTGTTTTCATCAAAAGTAAAAAATGCAACTAAATATGAGCTTCGACAAAAAATTCTTACACTTGGCTCATCTTATACAGTTAAAGATGATCAAGATCAATCGATTTATAAAGTAAAATTAAATATTTGATTGAAAACTTTCTATTTCATGTGCGTATCTATTAAGGTTGGTTTTAAAAAAGTCAGCCTTGGTAAACATCTTCAATTAACTGATGTTAGTGGTGAAAAGGAATATTATGCTAGTAAATACATGATTAAATTAATATGGATGATTCCTAATTTTTTTTGTAATCTTAGTTAAACATATTCTTAATCCACTTGGTTTAGCAAAATATGAAATTCGCCAAAATGATACAGTTGTTGCTGAGGTTAAGTAAGTGGATGAATCTATATGAAATTTATTTTGGCAACTTAAACTTTTAAATTTTAGTCGTAAAATGAATCTTCTTGGCGGTAAAAAATTTAAAATAAAATCGAAATATGGTAATTTCAAAATTGACGGCAATTTTGGTTCACATGAATTTACAATACAAAGAGAATATAAAATTGTTGCTACTATTTCAAAGAAATTCTTTACAGTTGGCGATAAATATGATGTGAAAATAGAACAAGGTCAAGATGTACCATTTATATTGGCTTTAGCTATCATTGTAGATGAAGTCGCTCATGATTAAATGAATTATCTGTTTACAAACCCTATCTGATTCTCTTTTTCTAATATGAATAGGTACTTTTGTTTTCTTCTATAATTATCAACGAAAAAAAAACTAATAATTACCAATAGCCACAAAAAATAAAATAAAATGAAATGACAGCAAGCATTTTGTTTACTTCTGTAATATTAGTTCGATTCCAAACGATAATATTTTAGAATTGAACATATTAAGATCTAACGAAGAATATTTAAGTAAAAAATAATGACTGATTTGATGTCGAAAACTTTCATTTAGCATTAAAAAAAATAAAGCATAGTTACACTTGTATATAAATGAATTATAAATCAATAGAGAACAACCATAAAGGAATGGCCAAAATGGCAGATTTAGTAAAAATCAAAGATTTTCGGATTGGAAGTGGACTACATGCATAAAAACATCTGCTACACTTGTCTGTTGTTTTTTTCAAACTTTATTGGTTTCGAAAGATCAACTTCTCAAAATTCTATAATACATCATGCATAAAAATCATTTAATTCCTCGAGATCGAGATTTATATATATATGTCACAATTGACATGAGAATTTCAGTTGAGATTGGAATGCGCGAAAAAATATGTTTTTCTTTTTTTTTCTGCTCGTGATAATAGATTATAGAAAAACAGAATAGAGAAGAAATATTTCTCAGATAAATTCAATGTCTCCATAGTTAAAAAGATAGACAGAGTTGAATTATTTCAAAACTCATTGTAAAAAGATGCAAGGAATAATTCTCAATATAAAAATTTCTAAAGTCAGATCTCAACAAAAGTTCTATTAAAAAAATTAAGAAAAAAACTATTCCAAACTCGCCTGCCACATACATATGTACATGTTCTAGTTTCAATCAATTGATCTAAACCCTCAAAATTATCATACTGTAGAAAACATTTAGATATTTTCTGATATTGACAAAATTGTTTCTTCAGGATTCTTTTTTATTATTTTTCAAATCCATTAAAATACTGATATCAATAAGAATGAATTGATTGTAAATGTGCGCTTGACAGTTCTCTAGATCTTCCATATAGCTCACATTTATAGAACATCGACAAATTTTCTACAGACTCTAAAGTAACACAAGGAAAAATTTGTCAAACAATTATAATTAGTAGATGTTGAATTTTAAATTGTGAAAATTCGATTACTCTCGTCGGCTGCTTAGAATCATAATATTTATTTTATCCTATAGGACATTGAAACTCATTTATAAATAATACAATCATATATTTGATTCGTACGCCAATTGATGTTGAACATGTGGCATCCATTTGGTTCAAAATTTTAAAATTAGTTTTAGCATGTTTCATATTTATATTTCACGAATAGCTTTTCATTGTCTCTATTTGTTTATTATATTGGAATACTGATATATAATTTCCCTTTTCCCAAACTAACATTGAGATTACCATCTTTCTTAAATAACCATAACCCTTTATACCAATAAGAATAAATTTTTCTAAATATGATGGCGCTGGATCATGTTTTCATCGTTTTTCAAGAATATAAATTGTTTTTCCGTGTCTTGATGTATGTTGAATATGAGAATTGAATAAAATTTCTTTGACAAAAAACCATTGATCTTCTTCAAATACATCTTTGACTTGATTATATAATGTATCGAACATAACTAAATGACTAGAATTATAAGTATTCAATCGTTTTTTTAACGATTCAATAGGTCGTGAGAAGAATTGATCAGCTTCATCCATATAATCATTGTTTCTACTATCTAAATTTGGTTCACATGTTAAAAAATTTAATTGTATATCATTTCGGTGAATAAAACTATAGTATGGTGTTGAATGGCATGGCATAAGAAAATCAATTGCAAGATTTTCTTTATTATTACTAATTAAATTTGTTCGTAAATATTGCATAACTGATATTTGTCCTTGCCGATCAATTAATGAAAAATAAATTCCAATCATTAATTGTCCAATAAATGATGCAAATATAATCCATCGAAATCGATTCCATTTAAATATTTTTAAACATCGATCTATTCCATGTGCTTCTAATATGAATAATATTGGTAAAATTTGTGTTAGAAATCGAAATTCTTTATGTGTATTTAATGTGTAAATAAATATTGTAAATAAAATTATTGATGTCAAACGTTTATTAGCAATAGAACCAACAAATATAAATGGTAAACGATAAAAAAATATCATTGGAAGACCATTTGTTAAATACCATAAAATATTATTTATACCATAATGTGATGATATTGATTTTGGATGAAGGAAGTTTATGTAGAAAAAATTTAATGGGACAAATGTCCACCGATTGTACATATAGCTGTCTAAGAGAATGTTCAACATATTTAATAGAATAAAACATAAGAATGCTTGAAATAGAAATTTGAATCGGCTAGAACTTTTATATAATAAATATGGATAAATAATAACAAATGGAATTGCAGATGTTGGACGAATGATAAATGACAATGAAACAAGTGCATGAAACATCATGTTAGATGATGATTGAAAACTACGAAGAAAATTTACAGAAATGTATAAATAAGATTAGAAATATTTGTGAACTACTCGAACACTCGACAATCAAGAACAAAACTACAAATGTACACAGTGCGAGTGCCCTAAATTAAATGGATTCTATTTTAACAATAGAAGAGAATTAAATAAATTAGAAAGTCTCTTCACTTGAATGTCAAAATTTTGATAAGAAGTTCACTGATGAATCGAACAGCGTTGTCAGGTCTTTTTTGTGACTAAATTCAAGGATTAATTTTGCTTATTTATCAAAAAATAGCGTTCAAACGCTTATAAAGCTAACGAAGAACATTAGTACAGGGAAAGATATTACATGATTTTAAGATGAATAACTACTACTCATTATTTGCTTACTTTTTAGCAGCAGCAAGACTACAAATAAAAAGTATTTCTTCTAAATTATTAATAATTAATCTTGGCGATGAGTACATTGTATACCAGCATGAAAATCGACATAAAAGAATTAAGAATATTAATTTATGACCTTGCAGAAATTTCAAATAAGCTAAATCACCAATAATAGCCAATAATGTTTGAAATAATGTTGCTGCATTCACGAGTATCGATACAGTGTCAAGATGAAAAATAGCAATAATTCGATAGATTAATGAAATAATAAATGGATAAAAATAGCTTCGTATAGCAATATCTGATTTCCATTCCCATGTTTTATAACCATAACCAAAGGCAAGTGAATGAGCTATTTCAAAAGTTTGCCAATATTCATCGGCAATAAAATATGTACGTACGATCAACCAAGAGAGCAAACGAAATATAATAATACCTACAAAAACTTTCGATGTCTTATTGAATAACATCTGCAAAAACCGAAATTTATATAAACTAGTTATGAGAGAAATATATTTTTATCCTATGAAGAAATCAAGTGAACAGCTTCTGTGTTGGAGAAGAATAATGTTTTAAATATTCAAAATTGACCAGCTTGTATCCAGGATGAATCAATGTTTTTATTGATTGCACCTATTTATGCAACGTTATCACCACGTATTATACAAAGATCAACAAGCATTTATTCTACACTTTCAGTTGTAGAAAATGCACATTTATGACTACCACCAAATATAACATGTGATGCTTGATCAAGGCCACGGCATGTTGCAATTGCAATTTATCTCTGACATCTACTTATACTCACTGTCCTATTCACATACACATAAAATACGTAAGTCACTCGTACTTTTTTCTTACTAGTAGTGCTAAAAACTTTTTCCTGTACATTTACAGATAGCCTACCTAATATGAAACAAAACGTCAATGTAAACTAAAAAGAAAAGAACGAAACAAAGTTATCTAATTCGTTGTCATATCCGTGAATCAAATGAACGGCTAGGCAATATTATTTATTATTATATTATTTTAGAAATCATTGCTGTAAATTATCATAAATCATTAATAGAAAAAAATCTGGCAATGCAATTATTTCTTAAAAGCAAAATTTAAAGTGAACTTCAGATTTTACAGCTCAAAATTCAAAAGTTAACTTTATTGAGTCGAAATATTTTATTTTCACATATTTATTGAAAGAGGTCGCTAACAAATCGCCTGAGTTTTTCGTGAAGTATATAACGTCACAAAATATGCCGCACCCAATGCCTTCTTCATTCCTTCTGTAGTTTTGATGAATAAAAACAGCAGTAGTCGATATTCTAACAGAGTACTCTAATCAGGAAAAATAAATGTTCGAATACGCATTGATTTGTTTTAAAATCCATTCGAAAATCATTTATTTAGTATATTTTTAAGTCTGTTGGAAGGTGAAACAGATAATTGATTCAATATTTCAGTGGGAAATTATACCACTCAATTAGATGCCTCTTATTGTTATAGAAATCAGTACAGGTTACATTAAAATAAGTGAACATTCGGACACATGAAAAACAAACAATCACTGTTGTTGTGTTGGTTGTTGATGACTAGCAATAGTTGCTGCATGTTCTCTTTTAAGACGTTCTATTAAATGAGCTTGCTCAGGTCTACGAATTCCTTTCATATCAAGTACTTTTTGAAAAGAGCCTATATCTCCATCATTATTCATTAATTGTAAATAATTTTTAACAAATTGCCTAGCGGAATCATTCGGTGTAAGAACAACTTTTAAGATCATTTCAGCACGTGTCATATTTTTTAGAACAATTTTTGTAAAACTAAGAAAAAAAAGTATATACATATTTAAAAAAAAAACGAAATAATAGGCTCACTTTTGCGGTGGTTTTCTTGAAACAGTTAAACTAATAGATGGCAAATCAAGAAGAACGGTTTTCAATGAATGGGTATCGAGTAAGAGTTGTTCAGCACCAATCATATTTGGTTTGCAACGATGTAAATGATTGATAAACTTTTTAATAAACGAACTAGAAGAAATTATTTCAAGAGAAATATATTTAAAATATATATTCAAATCAAACTCACTCGACAAATGTTGTACAAAATTGTATAAAATATTTTCTTGATGATCCCAAATGATTACGTATAACAGGTACAATTGTTTTTAAATGATTAACAATTGATGTTACATATAGAGATTGATCGCCAACAGTTTCGATGGTTTGCCATGATAACTATATAAAAATATGTATATATATATATACGTGATTCAATTTGCATCTACTATATGAAAAAGGATTTTCGAAGATTACAAGACCTAAGTTTCTCACATGAATAGTTGATGAATGTTATGTAAAGATTAGCACAATGAATTTCTAGCTAGAATGGTAGCAATCTTTGATGCTGTGTACATATCTGCTATTGCCAAATAGATTATCGTGCTTTCTGCCTTTATACTCTGCTTTGATACTGAACACTAACAGTTTCGATTTGTATTCACATATTATGATCGTCATCTCTACAGAGTAAGATATACATGAATATCTATTATATTTTTCGGAAAATTTAGTTTGCTGAAAGAGAAAAGCGATGCCATCGAGTTATCTATCATGAAATTAACCTTAGTCATTGCTGTTAAGGCTGGTTCACAAGCATTTTCAAGATCTTGAATAAGTATTTGTATCGATTCAGCAATAATTCTATTATGAAAATAAATTCATATTATGAAAGTTTTGAAGAGTAAACATACGCTTTATAAATATTTCTTTCTGACTCGAATGAAATTTTATCAACTAACGACTTTGTTATTTTTTCTTTCATTTTATCTTCTAATTGTTGTATTGTTTCAACACAATATTCAGCTGTACATAAAACACTACATGATCGACATATTTCTGGTTCATTCAATTTAGCTATTGTTTCGCCTTCCTTTAACATCGATGGAATGTTTGGCAAATTTTGTATAAATATTGTTGCTGTACCAACTAAAGATGTTGCTACTGTATTTGTTCTATTTAACAAAAAAGGTTCAGTAAACTTTCGGGCAAAATAAAAACTTTTACTTCGGTAAATTAGCTGTTAATACACGACTAGCATATTCTCGAAGATATTTTTGAAATGTTTGAACAAGCAGTAATAGTGGCTGTCCCGTACTTAATTTTGAACATTGCACAAGACAATTACGAAAGTAAACAAATAAATCGGCACTTGTTGGTAAAACATTACTCGTATCTTCACCGCCTTCAAATACAGGATATCCATCTTTTTTAAGTTCATCAACAAATTTTTGAATTTGATCGCCCAAACTCCTATGAAAACAGCGGTAATATTTAGTTGAGAGAAAAATAAATTGTCATGGGTAATCTTTTTACTTACCGATCTAATTCTGCTATGTAAATATCTAAATGATCTTCGAAACATTGCGATATAATACCTTGAAATGGAGATGCTTTTGGTCGAAGATTTGTGGGCAAATTCAAATCATCGGTTCCATTGGTGGATGCTATTTTAACTATAAAGCAGAATAACTATTTATTACGCATATTCTATGGCTAAAACAAACATCGTATTAAGTTTATTTTTGTATCAGATTCTCCATAACATGGAGATCAGATACTTAATTTCTATACATATATCAATAAATGAATAAAACTAATCTTTCAGCAGCTGTAAAAATATGATTTTATGTTGTGCTGAAAACCCTATAGAAAATCTAGATTTACACAAGTATTTTTCAAATCACAAATAAATTTTATTTTCTATTAATACTATAAAACATTTATATAAAATATTCAGCAGATTTCTATCATTGCTTCAAACATCAATATGATGCTTATCCAAGTTTTATTAGTATATTCATGCATCTGCAATTTATTCTAAGGATTCCAACAGCAAATGTTCATGTCAAACGTCATGCTGCTATTACAATACACAATAATCAAAATAAATTTCTAGTATAGCATTCAAAAATTGTGTGTTAAAATAAAAAAATCTGAACAAAACTCTTCATAATCAAGAAATCATCGACAGTGACAAAATGTTAAATATTCTTCTCGAGTGGAAATATTTAAATAAAAGCTTACCATTATGATAGCTAGTTATTGGATTGTTTGGATCAAGTGTATTTCCATGAAAACGTTTTTCCACGATTGTTTCAAATCCGACAGTTTTTTCAATAGCAAATCGTAATAATTTAACATCAATTTCATTTTTGCGTTTAAGCATTATATTTCCTAATTCTCGTCTGAAATATTTATAAAGAAAAAAAGACAATTATTAGTCGTACTTCAAAAACACAGCATAAAGATAAATGATGTTAACCTTGTTATTTTACAGAATTCAACTGTTAAACGTTCAGCCATCTCCCAATGGCCAGGAAATAGTTTGGAATACTTGTCATCAAATTCAACTAGTGCACGTTTTAACCAAGCATATCGCCGATCAATTTTATCTAACCATGCTAGCTAAATATTTGCAAAAATAATTTCAGCTAAAAAATTGACCTGTACGTTTATTTTTATAGTACTTCTTGAGATTCTTGATATAATATTGTATATTCAGATAGATGGGTTTTTAAAAACCAATTTATTACTTCTAATCTAAAAAGAGAACAGAAAAGAAAGTTAATGTTAACGAATAAAGATTTGAATAACAAACCTTAATTTAGGATCAATAACATCAATTATTTTACATACATCAGGAAAATGTTGATTTGGAGTAAAATTCTAAGCGTAAAATAACCAATTTAAATCAATAGAAAAACAAAATTTCAATAACTAACCTTTGCATTTGGCCCATTAAATGCATCTTCACATTCTTTACGGACTTGTACAGTTATTTGAGCAGTTAATTCTTTGACACTAAGTAAAAGAAGCAAGGCTGTCAGGAAAGTCCCAGTGCAATTTAAAAAAAAAAACGAAACACGACATAGTAACTATAACTAAGCACAGGGAAATTTCATATATTATCACGCGACATTATTCATATCTAACAAGGATCCAGATTTCTACTTTCATTCTTAAAGATTTTATTTGGATCGTGTTTCGCAAGAAAATAACATTGAGCGCGCAAAGTAAAGAAACCCATCGATTTACTTAGTTGATAGTTCTTGAATTTGTGGAATGCTTATGTATGGTTGAAAATGTTCTAATACACTGATAACAGGATGAAGTGAATATGCTATATCACCATAAGACTTTTTTTTAATTGCAGCTCTAAAACAATTCATAAGTATAAATTTTTGTTTTTTTTTCTAAAAAGATGAAAGCCTGTATTTACTCTATTTTATCAATTCCTTCAATTAACATTTGTAAATGATTGAGTGTTGTTATCGAAGTTGTAAGATTTTTTTTTGCTACATCGAGTTGTTTTATATCTCTTGTTATCTCTTTAACCTAAACATACGAAGATAAATTAGATTAAACAGAAATCTATTCAAGAATAAATTTTACCATTTCTTCTGATTTATCAGCTTTATCTTTAATTTCACGCATTTGTTGAAATAATAATAATATTGAATTTTGCGCTTCTTCTAATGCTTTATGTTCATCGATTTCTGTATCAGAATGGCCGCGTATTGTAAGACGAATATCCGTATCCAATGTACGAATCTTTGACTTGACACCTCCAATAACTTCATCGATATTTGCTAGAGATTGTTCCGTTGGAAATAATTGATTAATATAATCAACTGAATTAAAGTCAGCTCGGTCTATCTCATCTGTACTAGGCAATATCTATATACAAAAATAGACATGAATTATCGAACTGAAAGGAATGGATTTTATTCTGTGACTATTAGATCCATTGATTTTTCATATGTCAAACATGATGTTTGATTGAAAATAGAAGATAAGGTTTTAATTTTATTATACATAACAATACTCAGAGAATTCATAGGCATATATGTTAAAGTTCGAACTGTACGAAATCTAATTTTGTTATTTTTTCATTTTTAACAGATCTCCAAAAAACTTTTCATAAGAGCTACAATCTTTACTTCATACAAACAAAGAAATACAACATTAAAACAATGATTTCTCACTTGATCAATAAGTTTTTGTACATCAGCTGGTAGTACGAGTGTATCGTATCGATCATCGTCAGCGTCAAATACATCATCATCTACATCTGCTCCACTAGTATTAGCCATCTGAAAATGACGACAATTATAATCTGGTTTTCTTTATATTTATATGCAAAAAAAAAAGGAAAAATGTTTTACTCTAAGAAATATACCGGTACTTTTAATATTTACAAGACAAAAAAAAATAAAATCGAATATGCAAATATCTATACATGAGCAGCACTAAAAAAAAGAATCTAATACGTTAGTCTCTTGGTTTGTTTTTAGTACAATAATACGAAATGAGAATAATGGAGAGAAAAAAATGATAAATCAGTTTTAAATGTTTCTTTATTATTGATTATTCAGGATTGAAAAAATTTTGCCAACAAAGTTCTCATTGAAAACAATTGGCCACCGGACTAACATATCCTGAATGACAAACATATTTTGTATTTGATGAATGTGCTTTTGTACTTGGCGTTTGATGACGCATGCGTTCGCGATCGTAACCACGTTGAAATGTCCAACGCCATGGACGTCGTTCCGTTTTTTGTTCCTGTTCGTCATTACTCATCCGAGCTTCTTCACGTTGTTGTGCACGTGAACCGAGCCATGCAGAATAAGTTGTTTGTGCTTTACGTAGTGATGAAGAAAAATGTTCCATACCACGACGTAAACTCATTTGAATTTGCTCAGCTGCTGGTGAGCGAGAAAAATCGGAAAGTTTCTGTTTACTTTGTTCAACGAATTCGTGCCGCTGATCGACAAGATCACTAAGTGACGAACTTAAAGTTTGAAAGAAATCAGACAAATTAGTTGATGTATTTTCTGCTATTGCACTGGTCTGTTTGATGAAATTACTAAGTAATACGTCCAATGATGATACCGATGATTTCGTGCACTTAATTTATTTAAAAAAAGAAGCTTTTAGATTATTGACACAAGTATGTACTTGCTACTTTTACTTACACTATCTCCTTCAGAGCAGGATTCGTTCTCTGTTGAACTGTGTTCTTCATTTATTTGCATGCGACGTTCTAGTGTTATGAGTTTGTTTTGTAACCGTTCATTTTTATCGGATAACTATAAATACAATTATGATTAAACAAAAAGGTAACGTTTTTCCTTGTTTTTTTACTCGATCAATAGTATTTGTTAAATTGTATCGTGTAAAATTTATTATTTGATGTAGCTCTTTGATTTGTAAAACCATACCATATTTTTCATGATTATATTCAATCATTTTCTGCTTAATTAGTGTTTGAAACTTTTCATCAAACTACAAGATGAATTAAAAATCAAAAAAAAAATATGAAGATCTTTGTGTAATATTTTCTGTTGTGACCTGTTTTGTTAATTTTTGTTCGATATCTTCTGTTGAAACAATTTGTATTTCATCCAAACGTCGATTAGTGTCGTCCAATTCTTCATGCAGTTTATTAATCATTAATCGTTCTATATAAAACAAAACGAGTTTGTTATGTTTAATTAAATATTTAATCCTACGTGACGAAATCACTCGAACAAGAATCAATTGCAAAGCAAAAACGAGAATAAAAAATCCATAGACAACGAATACATTATTTCTTCTCGGACGATAGTAATGCATTGTTAACGGTACCAGTTGATTTTCACTCATTAATGAAGCTTGTTGTTCAGCTGTTGCTATAGAGAACAATATTCGATTCATCTTTTGTCTAGAAGTCAAAAACTACAAACCTATTTGTTGCACATAAGCACTGGTAGATTGCCTAAAACGATCAGATGTTTTAATTGAATTCATAAAAATATACGCTTACTGAAGATTATTTGGTACTAGTGCTGCGTCATTACTAAATGTAAATTGAGATAGAAAGAAATATAAGTCATATAACTTCTACAATACCTTAAATCATATCCACCATTAAAGAAATCATATTCATTGATTATCGGTGTTGTCTCATTTTCATCATTGTGCATAATCAATGTTTCAGATGGCAAAACTTCTTCTTTAATTTCACCGGTTAAGGATAAGTCATGATCATCATTATAAGTATTATCATCGTACTGACTATTTAACACCGGATCTTCGATCAATAAATGTTGCTCTTGCTCCTCAATATGATTATCATTTTGTACACACTCATGTCTATACAAAAATGAGTAGATTTAAATAAGTGTCTAATTCAAAATATTCACTCAATCGATGAAAGAGATGACAAAGAGCCACTTCGGTCAGATTTTGATGAGCTACTACTACTACTACTACTACTACTACTACTATTCGATGAAGAACTTGATTGAACGAAATCAGTAAGATTGACAGCTCCATCAAGAATCTTCAATACAAATGACACATATATCTAATCTATAGGAACTTAAAATATGTTTTACAGTAGTTTCTGGTGGTGTTTCCTTTAAAAAAATCCAATCGCCATCTTGAGAATTGAATTCGTCTTCATTTGATGCATACATATTGAATATTTCTTTTATTGGGAAATAGTAATACTTAATATCGTCTTATATATATATATGCGTAACCTCGTGCTTCCATAGAATATTCAATGGAATCAAGTGACTTTAGAGGAAACGTGATCAAATATGATTGGCTAGTTTCTTATTTCGTTATTTGTTGTTAATCTTGTTGTGATATACAAGTGGCAACACGTATTCACATTAGTAAAAAGGGACTTTTTTTTTGACGTGGCAGCATCTTTGCCATCGATGATTAGCCTGCTGAGTTGGGCTTATTGATATTGGATGTTTGCCAATGACGAAATATTATCATGTGCATCATCCTTGTTCTAAATAATATGCACATGTAATCAGCGGACAAAAAACAACCATCAATAATATTTTTAACTCTATTATTTAGATATAAAATGAAACTATATGTCGTAATAAAATAATAATTAATAAAAATAAACTGTTTTTGATCCGAATTAGACAATGAATCGAATTACAGATCATGTGGGGAAAAAACGATCAATTATTTGAATTATATTAACTGATGAGAATTACATAATATAGTGTCTTATTCATTAATGTACTATGAAAACCTTGCATACTATAGGATTACGAATATTTAGCTACGGTTAAGCAGCCATTTATAAAAGTGTGATAGGAAATAGTTTACCTGTAAACGTATTCATAAAGCTAAACTCATAAGCTTGTATGAACACTTAATGTGAAGGATTATTTAGTATGAATAAACAAAATGTTGTGATAGAAGTGAGTTTTTGAAATTATTTGTATTTGATTTCAATTAATCTTACTATTGTTAGCATCGCATTGTTGTCCATCATAATATAGTCATTCTGATAAAATTGAAATCAGGTAAATTTTGTTCCTATATTTCATGAGTTTATTCAGATAAAAACTGAAACAAAATACAAACATATGTGGAATAAAATCTGCTCTTTTGTAAGATTCTTCTATCTTCAAGCATTTCTTTCGCAATTATAATAATGATTTCATACGTTTCTCACAATACTCACTCATTTTACATTTTTTTAGCAGTTTTTAAATCTAGAAAAAAAACTATTAATCAACCTCTGACATAAACGTAATTATTAAACTAGAGGAGAACTTTCCCTGATTATGTAGTATGAACCAAATGTACAGTTAACAAAAAGAATACAAAATCTTCACGATGAAAGTTCTCCAAATTGATCAATCACTTTCCAGCCAAGATTATTTCTATCATTCTTATTCTATACTTTTCTGAGTACTTTCAAATGAGTGTGTGCTTTTCGCTTGTCATTGTGAAGGTATTATAGTTTTTTCTTCTTCTTCTAACAAGCTTCTCGAAGTCATTGCGAGGATTCTACAAAGATCATTAGGATAGTTAGTTGTCAAACTTCGAATTTTATGTCATAATGGAAACAAATTAAGAAAAGATACAAAGATTCCGCAAGTAACTATTCTAATTGTTTTCGTTTCGCGAAGAAAAATCAATTTTGTACTCTAGCTGACATCATTATTATCGTAATATTGATGAATATTCTATTTTCTTTGCTTAGAAATCGCGTTCATTTCACTGCTACACTTTTTTAAATATAAATGTATTATTACGAAGATAAGACGATAAAGGAATATTTTCTACAAGCACGAAATAATTTAAGTGTAACATTTTTAGATTTTGACAAAAATCATACTTTAGTATGGCACGTTTAGCTGGTAAAGTAGCATGTGTCACTGCGTCCACCGACGGGTAAGATAAGTTAAAATTAAAACAAAAAGTAAAAATTCTACTTGTTTTACGTAAAGAATCGGTTTTGCTATTGCCCACCGATTAGCTCGTGAAGGTGCACGCGTCGTTATTTCCAGTCGCAAAGCAAATAATGTTCAAACGGCAGTTGACAAATTGAAAAATGAAAAACTCGATATCCATGGCACTGTTTGTCATGTAAGCAAAAGTGATGATCGAACACGTTTATTAAATGAAACCATGGAAAAATATGGTAAATTAGATATATTAGTATCTAATGCTGCAATAAGTCCAGTATTTGGAAATATTCTAGAAGTAAACACAAAAAACTAGTATCATTCATGTTTGCTTATCGGCTTATTTTTGATTTAGACACAAGAATCCGAATGGGATAAAATATTTGATGTTAACGTTAAAGCTGCTTTTTTTCTAATTAAAGAAGCAATACCATATCTTGAAAAACAAAAAAATAGTTCGATTATTATTGTGTCTAGTATAGCTGGTTACAGTCCATTTGAACTCATTGGTGCTTATTCCGTATCTAAAACTGCATTACTTGGCTTAACAAAAGCGCTTGTTAACCCATGCACAGAAAAAGGTATTCGCATTAATGCTATTGCTCCAGGAGTTATCAAAACAAAATTCAGTCAAGCATTATGGAACAATGATGAAGCTAAAACATCTGAAGTGATACCGTTCCATGGATGTGCAATGGGTCGAGTTGGTACACCTGATGAATGTGCTAGTACAGTGGCATTTCTTGCTAGTAACGATGCATCATATATTACTGGCGAAACAATTGTCGTTGGTGGTGGCATGTCAAGTCATCTTTAATTTTCACTAACCTCGAGAACTTTGACAACATTGATTTTTTTTATTGAACAAAAATTGATAGATGTATCTGCCCGCAACGCAATGGTCTACCTTTGTGGCAGAAGTTGAACTATATAATTAAAATAATCATCTTGTAGAGCATTATCAATGGCTTACGAAAATCTTCTTTTTATCTAAATAGCTGTGTATATTTTAGGCGTATTATAGTGCTTTTGTTAGACAAGTATCACTGTAAGCATTAGTGAGCCTACATATTTAATATGAATTTTTATTTAGTGATTTTTCAAAAACCGATCGCATGTTTTTCAGAGTAGTTGCCTAATACGAGTTAGAAATTTGAACTTCGAATAAAAAAAATGGACATCCGAAAAAGAAAAACTACATCTATTGTTAAATTTCATTAGTTATTGTCGAATGAATCGCATGCAGTTGGATTACCATTAATATTTGAATTATAACTTTCGTGGATCTGGGTATCGACGCCACAAACGACTAGATCGGTAGTTCTAAATCGATATTGACAGTTTTATGACATCCATGATTGTTGGTATAAAAGACCTGAAACATCTATAACACAGTACGATAATGCATTACTTTCCGTCTCATTTCGCCGTAGTCCATTCTACGGGCTGTTTTTTTGCTAGAAAACAGCTATCCTTTTAAGCATTATCTTAGCCGTTTACGCGTCGTTTTCTTGTACCTGGGATTTTCTAAAAAAAAAATAAGTTTGCTTGAATATGTATCAAATTCTTTGTAGATGGTCAACAAAAGTTAGAGGAAATTTGTAATTTGAATTATCTTTTATGGTTGAGTCCCGTTTCTTCGATGCATTAAGAGTAATTAGTAAAATTTCCCATTTTGTTGACAACAATTTCCTCCTTGGACACACTGCAATTTAATAATCAGGCTTAAGGTCGGCAGTTAAGGGGTAATTGTCGTAATATGTTGGATACTACCATTCTTATAAGTTAAAAATAATTAACATTAGAAAAGAAACATGAAATATATTTATAGACTTGTAAATATTTTTTGTTTGTTTTTATTTTCATCCAATTCGTGATTATGTGATGCAAATAAGATAGGATTTTGACCATTTTTTTGAGTTAGTCGCGCATGACATTCATTTCGGTTTTCATAACATCAATAAGTATTCGTGTTACAAATAAGATCACGTAGGCTACGATAATTATAAGATATTTCTTATGTACTAGCGGGATCTCGTGCTTGACCCTATAACAGATAATTAGACAGACGCTTCATATTTTATAGATAGATTATGTTTTCTTTATCACTCTGATTCATCGAGTTCGTTCATTCGAATTTTATTTTTTTCAATCACCCTACTTCTGTACTATTATTTTGTTGCATCACCACCTATATCACACTAGTAGTACTTCGATTCAACACTATCCTATCAGTTTAAATAGAAACAAAGCATTTCTGTTGTGATTAATAAATTGAAATTTAACTATTAAATTGCCGTGTATCATAGACCAACAAAGCTGTTGACGAAACGGAGACGAAGACATACCATATAATCGATCGACACGAATTTAATTGTAATTATCGTAGTAGATTGGCTATTCTTTACTTAGCAAATATTTCGCAATAAAATCATTTCATTTCTCAAGATATTATATTATTTATATTTCAATCATTTATATTCCAAGTTTCGTATGTATATTCTATATCTGTACAGCGCTTCATTCAAACTCGCTAGTCTAATCATATACTCTAGTATATTTGTACCTCGATTCATTATCAAAGCAACAGTTTTATCTGAATACTGTCAAAATTTTATTCAAAACGATTGGTCAATATCATCCAATGTGACCAATTTATCTCCATCGCCTGTAGTTTGTTTAATTTGTTGTTCACCTAGTGCAAACATAGCATCATGTAAGATATGAGCACATTGTTTAGCTTCAGTCGTTTGATATTTTTTTTCATTTCGAAATTCATCAATAGCAGGATTAAAAATATCATCTCGATCAACATCGTCATCCGATGTATCTGAACATGGATGAATAATAATTGCTGGGAAATTATTTTGTTTTGAAAGAATTTCAAGTGGCTCATTGTATTGTAGTTTTGATAGGGCAAGAAATAAATCAAAGTTTATATCGGGTAACTCTTCGTATTTAGTAACCCAGCCAACAGGTGGAGTTGTTGGTGGTGATTGCAAATAAATATTTTCTTGCTTCGGAGGCTTAAGATAGTCGATTGATGAAGACATTTGTGACGAATATGATATTTGAATTCTTTTATTATGAAATTTTTTTCCATTTATATTTGCACACACTTGAAATGCTAATCTTGCATCAGAGCAATTTAAATAAGCTCGTTGAAAAATATTTGCATAAGATATTATGACATGTGAATCAAATTTACGAAAAAGGCATTCGAATTCGCATCGAATATTTTCATCCATGAATATCTATGGTAAGTTTTATGTTTTATTTGATTTTATCAAAAGTTAGTTTACCTCTTCAGGTAACTGAGAAACTTCAAGTCGACATGAATTGTCTTCAGTCTTGCAGATAGATTGGAGGTTTTTGTTCTTTTCTATTGTTTCGGATTGAGTTTCAACTAGTGAATCATCGATGTAATTTATGTAATATTTATCTATCTCTATTTGTGAATCGTGTGTATGAATGTTGATGGGTGAAAATGAATTTGATATAGTGTCAGTTTCGATGGTGACTGTTGAATTACCAATAGAAAAATCATTCGTTGTTGTTTCTATCATATTATTATCACATGTAAATTGAACAAGAAATGAATTCTGATTTCATTACTTAGTAACTTTTTTTTTTATAGCGCTGTTATCTATTGATATTTATTGTAGAGGAATATTAAATAAATAGTATTTCATTATAGAAATAATTGAATAAACAAAATACGTTTATGATTGTAGCACGATTAGTTTTTGAGAAGGCAATAATTCTCATTGGACTTATAACATAGAAAAATGAAAGTACTATTCAAAATGAAAAGTATTTTTCATTATGAAATTGAAATGATATGAGAAGTTGACTGTTATCAAAACTTTTAAGTAGACTCGGGCAAATACGTAATCATCTTTTTGTTTAAATCAAAGTAAATATAATCAATGTTTGATCAAAAATAGGTTCAAGGATGATTGAAAAGTTTTTCAACATGAAATCTACTTATCGATATTTTCTATTATTCAGTAATAATTAAAAACTTCAGTAGATGAGTGCGCCGTATTCCGTATATTTGATTTATTGATAACCTTATCGAAGATAACGGCTATCAAAATAGAATATAGAATCACGGTATGTTATTTTTTATTATTATGAATCGTCAAATAGAGAAGAAAGCCTTCTGACTGTAATTTTCTCATATCAGCATCTGTTGATAGCTTCAGATTAGTCAAAACGACTAAGAAAATTATATAACTCTGAAAGTGTCGGGAGATCGTGTTTATTTATCTTTTGTGGTATGAGTTTCGCTAGCATTTTATTATATATTATACTAAAATATAGTATCACTATGCACATTACATTGCCAATTCTCGTCACTTTAACTTTCCTTTCGACTATGGTTTTTCAATTGAAATCTGATGAAATTAAGGAACAATTGAATAGTCTGTCAGAGCAATTGGATCGAGTTGAATCACTACTCAATAATAGTATCAGTCAACTATTTCATAAAATTGATGATGGTAACCATGATATAATACATTTGCTTTAACTCTAAGCATACGTTACGCATAGAAGGTGAATTTCTCTTTTCTTAAATTAGGAAACGTAATATCCATATTTTATTACTTGCTTATTGTGATATCGATTCTTATAGGTGATAGTCAAATGTCTAAACGGCCAGTCAATGCTCTGTTGATTATTGATGTACAAAATGATTTCATTGACGGAAGTCTTGCTCTTCGCAATTGTCCATCTAAACATAATGGTGAAGAAGTAATACCGATTATTAATGATCTCCTAGATTCTGGTGACTTCGATGTTATTGTTTACAGTATTGATTGGCATCCAGCTGATCACATATCGTTCTATGACAATCTTCATCTTCGCTCGCATCTTCTTACAAATGATTCGATACAATTAGCTGATCTTCATCTTCATTCAAACGCAAAGTTTGATATTCCTAATGTTGCTGTCATGGAACAAGTGCTTTGGCCTCGACATTGTGTTCAAAATACTACTGGTGCTAATCTACATCCTGATTTGAAAGTATTTGATGCAAGTAGTGGTAAATCAGTCATTTATATTTTTAAAGGAACAAAACCGAATATTGATTCATATTCAGCTTTTTGGGATAATTTAAAATTAAGTGAAACAAATTTACATCAGCAATTACAGGAGAAAAATGTTTCTCAAATATTCGTAACTGGTTTAGCAACAGACTACTGTGTATATTCGACAGCTGCTAATGCAGTAGAATATGGTTATAAAACATTTATTATCAAAGATGGATGTCGTGGAGTAGATGAAAAACACATCAAAGAAAAACTTGATAATTTTAAACAGAACAGTGGTCATGTGATTCAATCAAGTCAAGTGAAAGACTACGTTCAGTAACGATTATTAAACATATTTTTTTCTATAATTATCGATGAGCATCATATTTTTCGTAGCCTCCCTATATTTTATTAATCATAAACATTTAATCTTCCTTTTGTTCATGCTTTTTCAAAGCAGTTCTATTACGCATATTTTATATATTATTTTTGTCTATTAAAAATCCTGAATGATTTACTTCTATTTTCATTTATAGTGTATAATCAGGAGGTAAGCTCAATCATATTTCAACTCGTTTCTAGTATCCCTCTGCATGTATAGCGCTTGTATCACTTGTCAAAATTTTCCAATGCATAGCCAAGAAAACTATAACTATACTCTTAATAGAGCTGCGACAAATAATATCAAATTAATTACATTAAATGAATACATATAACTTTTTTCAAACGTGACTAATACATAATTGCAGAAACAGTAGCAAAAAAAATCAAGTTTCTGATAACTAATAACGACATCTGCCTTAATTTTCGAATGGTAATATTCAAAAAAAACTACAATAAGATATTATTCAAAGAGATTCGAATAAATTTGACAGCTATTCCAACAGTCATATCACTGAATTCTCTATGGAATATCACTCTGAAGCAATCATCACTGTTGCTAAGAATGCTTTGACAAATAGAATGATTCATCGATTGATCTGCACAGGATGGCGTGATGTATCGAAAACGTGTAGCAACGAAAAAAGACGATATTAATTCACTCTTTTTTTCCCCAATGTAAACAGAAAAACTAAGGCAAGGAATGAGTAGAAAAGTGCAACAATTCGATGAATTTCAATCACAGCCATCATTAAATGGCTCCTCGACAGTATTAGACGGTAATATAAATCTAGTCTCGTAGCATTACAATGAATTTTTTTGCATTCGTACTAATATTTAACATTATTTTAGCATGTGATTTTTCGGTATCGGACAATTCTGTTAATGACATTCTCACAGACTTCGATGTCAACACTAATGATATCCAATATTTTGATGTTTCCATAAACGACGTAAACTACTTTCATTCATCTCAAGATCTTTCGTCATCATGCAAGGCCACCTTGTATTCAACAGCAATTAACACTAATGTACAAAGTTTTCAATCAGGATTCGATGAAGTACTGTCTCCAGATGCATTCGAATTATTAATTGAACAACAAGAAAAACAACAAACAAACAATGAACCCTCATTCTCGTCTCTTAGCTATAAATCATTAGATCATCATGATGTAAATTTACAAAATTCAAACACCAACTTCTATTACATTTGTTTTTATTTAATAGCCATCATCAAAGGATATGTCCAACTATGAAGCAGGTAATATCTATGTTACACGAGAAGAGACGGCAACAACGAGAAGCGATTATTCATCAACAGAGCCATCTTTTCAGTTTTCTCATTTAAATAACAGCACTGAACCTATAACATTTACTATTGATCAATTTCAAGCAGTAAGAACAATGTCGTTATCATCTTCTGTTCATTCGTATAGTCTTGATATTTTCTAGTTAATAAATCTTATTTCAAATACATCACAAACAAATGTTAATACAATTTCAACTCTTCTCGAACATAGTACTATTGTTGCAAATAATATACCTCTCAGGATCGTTGATCAAACAAATAAGCTACCTAATGCTGATATTTCAAATAAATTTAGTCATCAAGATTCAATAACGAAAAATGGCAATAGTAGTGAGTCCATAGTTGTAAATCGAAATGATAATTGTCCACGACGAACATCGACCAGCAATGCAACGGAAAAACGATATCGATCGAGTATTAATGAAAAAATATATGAATTGAAAGAAATCGTAGCAGCTTCTGATGGAAAGGTAAGTAGGAGAAGAAGAACTAGAGAAAAAAATCTGCACACATGATTGATTAGAGTGGCAACGGATAAGTTTATCGTCAGCTGATAACATGGACAGAGCAATTGGTTTTTCTTTCTTTTTCTGTTCGACAGCTCATTGATTAGATGTAGTTTATCTTCTAGATTATCTCATCTCCTAAATGAAGACTAATTATGTGTTGAAAAATTTGCTTTTTTTCTATTGAATAGATCCAAAAATCTGGTATACTTCGACGTACAGTTGAATATATAGGACAACTACAATCAACTAATCGACAATTGGAAGAAGAAAATAGTACCTTGAAAAGCGTCTTGAAACAATTAAATTTGACAAGTACGTTTACAATCATCTTTCATCTGTTGAGTATCTAATTATTTTAGCAGATATTTCAACATTCGATTTTATTTCATTTTGATTTGTTCTGTTTTTCTTTTCTCTTGAGGCCTGTTACATTCAGACGATAGATAGACAGAAAGCAGTAAGCTGCTGTCATCACTCGTTCCATAACAGTGATTGCTTTCTTCTTTTATTAGTTTTAGATGATACGAGTGTACTTGAGAAAGAAAAAGAAAAAGAAAAAGAAGGCATTAGCTTATATTTCCCTATAAAAAGGCTTTATCTACATTGCGATTTATTATTTCTTCTCTCTTCGATGCAGCTACTGATCTTACAACTAATAATGATGTACAGTCATCGAAGAGAAATTCTTTGGTCAAAAAGTCAACAACATCGACATCAACATCCAGTTCTGAATGCAAAGATGATCTTTATAGTCCAGCTAAAAAACGTACAATATTATACAATCTATCACTTTTTGTTTAATAATACTTTTCTTTTTTTTCTACTTTTAAGGAAATAAACAAGCGAACAGTACACGAGGTATGGTTGATAGATCACGGCTAGTTTTATGTTGTTTTATGTTATGTGTACTTATGACAAATCCATTTAATTATTTACTTGATCGTATTCATTCATCGGATAACGATGGTACAACTGAAGTCCAATTAGGACCTGGTTCAAGAACATTGAAGACAATAAAAGATGCTGAGAATTTTAATTCACTGTGTAATATATATATATATATATGAAGATTTCATTTATAAACTGACTCATTTTATTTGTGCTTTTAGTATTTTTGAATATATCATGGAAACAACTTGTTACTTGGATGCTCAATATTGCAATATGTCTTGTTTGTCTTGTGAAAATTTTTGTTCATGGAGAACCCATTGTACACGAGTCAGACATGGACGAATATTATACCTATAAAAAGAAAGCAGATGCACTTATGGACAAAGTATGTTAATAATGATATAGATAATTTTTAACTGTTTAATTCTAATAAAAATAATACACTTCGATAGGTTAATAATAAAGAAAGGAAATACTTTAATAAATGGTCTCAAATAGATAGTTGTTTTTTTTATGACATCAACTAATAAAGAAGATCTTCATCATTTGACTACGAAAAATTCTGGGTAAAACTAAAGACTAATCAAATATTTTCGCTTCAATTAAGAAGATTAATAGATTTCGCAATTCATTGATGTTTTAACTATGAACGACAGCGCTAAGTATCCGAAATATGATCTTTCTTCTAGCGACAGCCATAGAAAAATCAACTACTACAATCACCAGTTGTTTATGAATTAGATTATGTATTTTTCTCCCTTGCTCTGTAAGTGTTTTTCTAAGACAATTTCTTTTTTTATTATAGTTTATCAATGAAGATTGATTCGTTTTTGTTTTCCGTTTCAAAAGAGTTTCGTATATCTTTTAGAACTTATTTGAAGATGTTCTCTTGTTCTATTTGATTGTATACACAACGAATATAGTTTCACACAGTAGATCTCTAAGATTTTATCTATGAACTAAACTTCGAAACAAAGTTTAGAATACTTCTAAATCATATAAAAGTTAAAAGTTAATATTTCATTTATTTATTTATTTCAAAGAATCAACTCAGCGAGGCATCAATATATTATAAAAAATGTTGTGAAAAATTGTACGTATCAGTTGATCAGACATATCTTTATTATTTTTCTTCAATAACATGGCAATTAATTCGTTTATTTCTCAATGTTATATTTGTGGGTCGTTGGCTAACATATTGGTCAGGTTGGACAAAATCAATAGATACCCGTTACCATAATTACGAATTAAATAGTTGTTATTTACAATTGTGGAAAATTGAATATCATCAATCGAAATCATTATTAAATATTTTTAATTTATTTCTATTAACATTAAATACATCAATTAATGCTGGAAAAAAAATAAATACAAATAAACGAAACGAAATTAATTTTTTATCAGCATTAACATTGAAAAAATTAGATGGATTATTTTCAGTATTTACAATATTTTTCTTAAAATTTCTCATACCAATTGATACAAATGATATATGGTTATTACATGTTGATCGTTTAAATCAATTTATATTTGAAAAAAATATTTATTTATTTAAACAAAAATTATTTCTAGAATCAATCCGAATTCAATTTTTCGAATATATTCTCTATGATAACATACAAAATCAACTTCTATTTCAAGATGAACAGCCACAACAATTTATCATTAAAAATAAAAATCAACTTGATCTATTCTCATGGTGGCAACATAGCTTACAAGTAATACGTTGTATTTCTAATGATAAACAAAATATTAACAACATCACATCTACAGCTTTACTTCAACATATGAATTCATCAGATAAAACCATTTATTATATGGTACGATCAACAAAGATTGTCAAGTACGATATTTTTCCTTCTATTTCTACAAACAAAATTATTTTAATTTCCTTCTCTTTCTTTTATAGTGAAGCATATATTCTTATTATTGAAACAATTCATGTTATACTTCTTATACTAACAAATAATGATGATGATCAAACTAATTCAACAAGAATATTGTTTCTTAAGCAATTAGGAAAATCAAGTAAATTATTAACATCTATGATTGAATCATGTTATATTACTGATAATGACGATAATCTTGATATGGTAGGATAAGTATATTTTATTTATAATATGTCTGTCTTCGGCCTCTTGTGCATTGTTGTTGCATTGCATTCACGAAATTTGATATATGCAATGGAAAGGACAGTGCAACAAGAAGGTGGAGAACTACGACAATTTAATATATTTATAAAAAAAAAACTTTTATTATCTCAAATATTATTTCAGGCAATCAAAACATTATTATTGGATAGTGTTTTATCGTTGCGTCTTCGTCTTTTAACGTGTTCGATGACAAATAATAATAAAAAAATTCCATTTCTTGATGATTTTCAACGAGAATTAGATTGTTATCGACGAGTAAATCAATTCATGAAATTACCAAAACAAAAAGTAAATTATTTGAAACAAGTGAATTCAATTTTCATTCATATACGTATTTTTCTCTCTAGCTCTACCTATTTGAATCAATATTTCGAACACTATCGGGTTTAAATCCACTCTTAACTCAAACATTATTTGAATGTGCGATCAAACAATCCAAGCCAGTCATTCCAACAACAGAAGGTAACAACTCAAATAGAATTGAAAATAATAATAAAGATAATTAATCGTTATCTTCAATTTAGAATCATTACCGAGTCTAGATATAATTGCAGCACTTCTAATTTTTTGTCATTTTTCACCGTCAACAGTCTATCGTTATCGAAATATCCTTCAACAAGCTGCTGTTATATCATCAAAAACAAGTGAAAATAATGATCTCAATCGTTTACAACAACAATGTTTGACATTGATACGTCAACCATATTTTACTATGTAAAATTCATTAATTATAAGTTTTCTTAACAATTATTTTCTCAGTAGTTTGTTTTTGATTTCATATATCATTCTTTTCGTAGGCTGATCGTTGTGTGACATTTGTATTGTACCATTTGAAGTGAATAACATTTTGCTATGAATAAACATCTGATAGTTTTATTGTTTCAACAAAAGAAAAAATTCTCATCTTTCGCACACTAGATTTGTCTCGTATAAATATGACTAGAACTGTCGGATTGACGATTGTTTTTCTACTGTGTCTACTTACTGATTACAATTCATCATATTTCTGTAAATAGAACCAGGATGAATAAGTATATCAAGACATGACAAGATATCAATTCAAGTTTTTGTGTTTATGTATGCCTCATGAAAAATGGTAATATCAATCTTAATCATTGCTATCACAAACTAGTTCGAATTGATTGATGATTATGAATAGCAACTATTTTCTAATTATCAATAATCTATACGATGATAGATATTTTTAACTATTGACTGATCACAATTGATGCATAGGAACTATCTCTGTACTTTGTAAGTATAAAGATGGCTAGACTAGAGCTTAACGTTAGAACAAGTTAATTACAACATCTTATTGTTCGATAACGATAATTTCTTCGGATTTTTTAGAACCTCGTCATGTAAAAATCACATCTTTAGAGATATTAGTAAAGAAATCTTTTCAAGAGTTCAAGGTACTAAGATATTTCCTATTACTGTCTGTCTATCGTCGACAAACGCGTATTAAATAGTAATATGATTGATTCTCCACCTCGATTAATTAAAAATGATAGCTAATGACATTCTTATCTTAACTTCACGTACAAAGCAAAGTCTACTTTGACCAAGTAAAATTATAGAATATTATTATGTTCTATATTTGTCAGTACAGAAGGATATTCTCGTTCTAGAAGATGCACACATGTTAGAAAATATATCTGAAACTTTCAAAAACAAAATGATTCTTGAGAAGAATGTAACAAGAATCATGATGTTGTTTTCTTTTATCGGTGGCCATGAAAATAAATATTGAATTTAAATGTCTTTGTCTAGATCAATTTTAAAACAGCTATTCACATAACTTGAGTACTACCCAAGCAGACAAACTTTTAGAAAAACACGTTTACACACTCAATCGGGAACCGCGATTGTGAGCCATTAACGCTCAGTAACGGAACGCAAGAAACGCGTTTTTTACGCAGAATTCTCACTTTCAGAGCGTGAAAACTCCAATTCTGAGCGTTTAAACGAATTAGTTTAAGTTATNACGCTCTGAAAGTGCGAATTCTGCGTAAACAACGCGTTTCTTGCGTTTCGTTACTGAGCGTTAATGACTCATAATCGCGGTTCCCAATTGAGTGTGTAAACGCGTTTTCCCAAAAGTTTGTCTGCTTGGGTATGCGCATATAACTATGACTATTCTTAAATATTGGCATAGCTCAATGCTATGCACGGGAAAGTTCAACTTTAGGAACGACATATTTGTTTTTCGAAAGTATTTTATTATATAATAATAATATAATAGATTAAAATCATCAGTCTATTTGACATCTAACATCTTTTCAGTTTATATTTACGAGTTCCTATGATGAGTGTTTTAACTGAGAGTCTGCTTTCGTTTAAGATAAACAAAAACGAAATTTTTTCATACATGAAATAATTCATTGGGATACGAAGGGTGAATTGAAACATAAGAAAACAACTTCCAAATAGGCTCAAGCAGAGACAGGCACAATTTTAAATCGAGTAAGACAAGATTTGTACGTGTAAATGTTGCATAATATCTTCATTGGACGTACAATTTATGTCAGAGACAAAATCTACTATTTTAAGTGTAAAAATTAGTTCCGCATTGAATAAATCTTATTTCAATGGTTTTTCTTCTTCGTTGTTTTCAAAGAACATTATTTTCAGGAGTTAATTTAAGTTATTCTACTTATTTCATCCACTGTAAATCTCAGCTACCGACGAGAAAAATATCAATAGAATGTATTGTTAAGCAAAAGGATCATTGAATGGTTTTTGTAACTTTTATTTCTTCGATTTTTCGTTCAACATATTACTTAGTTGATCGAAGAATGCTCATTCAAAAATTTTGACGATTTCAATGATTGTATCCACATGACATAAAAATCAATTGATAAAAAAAGCATGAATTAACTATTTTTTGCACAATTAACTAGCTTGTTACTGATTTCAGTATTATTAATCATCATAGTCATGATCACTTTATAAATCTCGCTAGCTGCACTATTACTATTTGTGGTACAGAATCAGTGATAACAATAAGTTCAATGTGTTAAGCACTTGTCTATAATGAACTAGTGTCTTCTCTCTCTCTCTCTCATATATTTGTAATTAGCTTGTACACTTTCATGAATCACTCATATACAATATTTGCTTAAATAAATAAATAGATGAAGAATGCATCGGATTTTTTTAATATTTATCTAATTGATAATGTCATCTTTTTCATTGATGAAATTTGTAATGTATTATTTTGCAGCATAAAAAAATCTATAAGATCGATCTAATCGATGCAAACGGGCAATATTGATTCATATATAGTTCTGTGATTCAGTACATATTGATTTTTTTAATACTTGCTGACATATATTTATAATTATCTTCATCACTTCACTACATGGACATGTACATTATAAATACATATCAAATAGAAATACTTCTTATAGCATCATAAGTTATTTTCATTCTATTGAAAAGGTGAAAAGGTTTCAATCATAGATAGATAAAGTACACGAGATCTATCTTATCATAATTTGACTTTTACATTGAATAACAATGGTGCATATATAAAAACAATCATATTCTAATTATTTAAAGCAAAAAAATCGATTTCAAAACAAATACCATTGACGAACTTTTTTAACGATGAAATAAAGGTTTGTATGGCATAAGCATTGTTAAATAGAAAAATAGATTGATGATGGTAGTCTCGCTTTATTTTCGTATTCATTATTAGTTGAATCAAGAGTAGAACGCTAATGAATCTTGCTTGGTTGATCCTATAAAACAATGTAAGTTAATTTTGAGTATGTAATATACGTATATTTTAAGACAGCAAAAATAAAACGTAATAGAAACTTTCTCCTGCCACAAGCTAATCAGTAGAAACCGACGAAAAAAGGTAATGTCGAAATAATAACGCAAATAGATGATATCATGTTGAGTTATAAAACAATTGAAAAGGATTGAGTGATTTCAAATGCATGCGTAGGATGCAGCCAAAAAGTAACAAATATATACGCATTTTCATTTTGATATAAAATTCATCGTATAATCGAGTCCTTCATACTGTAAGTTGAATCGATTAGTGTTAAGTCGAGTAAAATTACCACTGTCATTGCCAAATCGAAATATTCAAAATATTAGCTACTCATCGTGAACTTGGAACAAGGTAATTAGTTTCTCTTTCACAATATAATAGTTCAATCAATCTTCATATCCATTTTTATATAGCGCGATTTGTTTTTTGGATAAGGCATTCTTAAAATAAATTTGAAATGTATAGATAACGTCAGAATCATATTAAATTCGACATTTTCTAAATGTGTTACTTTTTCTACGAGTAGATCTCAGTGATACTGAAATCAATCTACGTAGAAGATTTTCAGTAAAATTGTCAATGAGTACAAGGAATCTCCAAGACAGAAAGCTACGGTCTAGCAGCTTGCCTGTACTTACATTCTCCGATCTGCATATCTTTCTCAAGATATTCAACAGCGAAAAAAGCAACCATTGACTATAGAAGAACCCAATAATTAAGTCTACCAACAAATCAAATGACTTGAAAAAAGTACATTTCTTTTCTTTGAAACTTCATGACTATCCGATGACCATCAAATACATTTGGAGGCAACATTTCAGATCGAAACTCTATAGCTACTCTAAACGATTCAAAAAGACGTTGTTCTCATGTAATTTCAATATCACTCTTAATGAGCATAACTTTTCAATTATAACATCTTAAACTCAAATTCGTGTTAGTTTAGTCAAGACCTAATAATCATCTACATAGTATGAGTTCGAACAGCCTTCAATACCTTTTTAATGTTTTTGCGTGAGAGCAGCCGATCGCTCGAACTTAATAATAACAGCAATGTCTTTTTGCCGTTTAATTTAAAAGAACTATAATAACTAAATCATGCAATGATACTTCGACGCATTTTATCTTCGCCTATATTATGTACAAACTATCTTCCCAACTGTATACTACCAAACGTTCAGAAAAGATTCAATCTAATCAATACCGTACTTATATATTCGGTGCGTCTCAGTTAAGTGTTGAGAATCAAATTCTTGACACATCTGATGCAGTTATATACAGAAATAAATCTAAATAATCCTCAAATTTCCGTATCGAGACTGAGTATTAATGAGGTCATAATGTAATCATTTTTTTAAATATTCAATATGGATATCTCCATTCTTGAGAATTACTCTTGTTATTAATTGAGATCAGAATTTTAAATATTTTATTACGAAAATTCAGATAACCTGCGCTAGCAACACTAAAACATGATACGATTACTCCTGCTCTAGTATTTTTTTTTAGTTAAAAAGAACACTTCATTACAGTATAAATTTTATTATCCATCATTTTCTTTTCTGATAAGAAAGAAATCACCTACTAGAATGACATCAAGAATCCACACGAAATATGATTCACGGTAATAAATAGTCAAACATCGCTAAATCATAAAACAAAAACAAATATTTTTTTTGCACATACTATGACTAAATTGATAATTACTAACTTTTACCTTTGAATAGATATTTGAAAATATCTGCTACAAATTTTTATGAGTTCATTATTAATGCATAATGATTATTACCGTTGGTGCTCATAATCCGTTTGGGAACATCGTGTTTGAATCAATACTAAGTTAATAGTTTCTTGATTCTCCAAACTGACTCCTCCACTCAATTCATCATGTCCCTCTTTTGGGCATACAAGTTTATCCCTTGGATCTGATAAAATCATTCCTACTGACAAAAGACGTACAATACTCTTTATATGTGAACCAATCGTTATTGGATTTATTATATTTCCATTATTAATTATTTTTTGGCAATCTGGCTGGAATTTTATGGTCGAATGGCTTGCTACTCCTATCAGTCAACATCAAATCATATTACCTGCATCATATTTATCATCTCAGCTAATATGTTTTATTATTTACATAAATCAAGATCGCCTTTACGGTTACTTTGTTAATGAAGAATTAAATTTTTTTGTTATTATTATTTTACAATTTCACTCATTGATTACTGGTTTAAATTATGTAATACAATGGACATCACTATGGACATTATTGGATAATTATACATCGGATGATTGGCTGCTTATGCTAACGATAAGCATTGCTTCTATACTAGCTATAATTCTGCTAACAGGACTTGCATGTGATCTGGTTTGTTCACCATTTATCATGAGTTTTGATTCAATTGAATACAATGTACGAATTGATACACCATTTATGATAGAAAAAGTAGTATATTTCAAAAACAAATTAATAAGAAAAAGTTAACTATTTTATTTCAGATGAGTCGATTTGTTTCGCATACAATAAATTATGTTTTCTACGAATTTATTATATCATTATTATCTATTCAAGCATGGCGTGGTTTATATAAATTACTTGACGTTTTTTTATATCCAAGTGATGAAAATATATCAGCCATTATAAGTCTTGCTATTGGTTATTTTTCATTTTTTGTTATTATGTATACACAATATTTTGAAAATATTATTTACCGTTTATCAACATTTATCTATTTAAATTATCCATTGTTTATACGAAATATTCGTCATGTATGTGCATTTTTTTCATGTGTATTTTTATGGAGAGGTTACTGGATTTTATTCGATTTACATATTGCAACTATATCATTTGTACAAGAATCACCTTATACATCTTATATGTTAATTGTAATTGTATCATTTATAATCTTGAGTATAATGAAAACAGCATCTTCAATTAATGGGCCTATGTCACAAATCGATGATGAATACAATCTTTTTCCTTTATATTCGAATTGTTTTCTAGTGAAATGGTTCAATCATGAAAACGAATTAAAGAGACGATCGTCGAATTCAAGTAAAATTGCAATTATTTATCCATTTACAATAACATCTTTTTGATAAAATGCTTGTAAAAAATTATTATTTGTCTTTTTGTTTTTGTTATTTATTCACACACATACTATATTCAAAGGATCATTTTCGAAAGTAACATATGTATCCGTTTTCTAAACAATATATATATATATATGAAAGAGTTGTGAGTTTCATCATTTTGAAAATCAAATTTCGACAGTATCAAATCCTCTTTACTGTGAACTACGAGAGGGTTGACTTATGACATCAAGAATTTTTTTTACATATATTGATTTAGAGATTCTCTGATTCGCATAATGTTGTCGCAATGAGACAGAGAAGTCAAACGATGGCGATTGCTTTCTTTTGCAATGCCAGTATGTTTGTTTGATCACAATTTCCAAAATATATATTCTATAGTGTGTGAGGACAAAAAATTGAACTCCTATAACGTTCAATCTATTCGTTTGAGAAACGAAAAGTGTGTATACACCGTCAAGACTTTATTTGAGCACAATGTATATTGACAATGCAAGGGTGATACTGATACAAATTTTCTTATTTAATCGAACATAGTTAATGATTGTACTTATTTGATCGATTGAAAAGAAACATGACGAAATAAAATTCTATCGTAATTCATAGCGAAGAAGTATCTAATACATCTATTTTATGAGATAAAACAAAATCATCGTTCTTTACCTATAATAAGATATTATACTCCTTAATGAGACTAGTGCTGAATGGTTCGAACTAAATGCACTGTCGTATATCTTAGCTAGATAGCCAAAAAAAAACGATAGAAAATTGATGATTTCTATTTATCTAATATTTTCTTTCCATTTTTTCAAGTATCAATTTTATATTGGCATGCTTTAGAATGCGATTGACATGATTCTTTTTTTTTAAACTGAACAAGCAAGCAGCCGTTATCCGTAGTAACGAGAAAAGGAAAAGAGACATAGATGGCGCCGTTTTTTCATTTCTTTGATTGGTTTAACCATTTTAACAAATACAAAAGCAAAAAATGGTGGTAATAGTAATTGTTTCATTCTATACTACTCATCTCGTTGGATTTTAATAGACTTGTTAGAGATGCTACGTCCTCGTCGTAGTGTTCGTAATGGTGTTATTGAAAAGAAAGCGAGTATTTCTTCAACAACATCCAATACTATTCCGTCACCACTTTCTCCTCGTCAAACTTCGAATTTAGAAGAACCAGAACAACCACTTCGTCTACTTGAACCACGAGAATGTGTTGGCCGATCAATTCAAATAGGATTAAATGAAGAAATTGAACTTTTATTCAAAAATCCTCCATCATCTGATCGATCATCACCAATTCCTTTCGAAGTTAAAACATCTAAAGCAGACGTTATTTCAAATAGTACAATTTCAACTGATGATCCACCGAAATTTCAACGTACTGAAACATTTATACGATATATTGAACCAACTCAATGTGAACTTGATGATATGATTGAATATGAAATGGATGAAATGGTAATAAATTGATGCTTGTAGCTTTCTTTTCTCTTATTAAACTATTTCGATTCAGGATCTTACATGGCTTAAACAAGTTAATCAAGAACGTAGTAAACGTAATTTTCGTTCAGTTAAAGAAGAAGAATTTGAATTATTAATCGATCGATTAGAAAAAGAATCTCATTTTCAAGCACTTGTCAATGGTGATGATTTAGGACAATCCATCGATGAAGATGCATTGTGTGTCATATGTTTGGATGGTGAATGTTCTAATTGTAATGCTATTCTTTTCTGTGACATGTGTAATATGGCGGTTCATCAAGAATGCTATGGAGTACCATATGTACCTGAAGGTAATATGAAATTTTAATCAGCAATTATATACAATAGAAATTATAAATCTCATTTTGAGTTCAATCTAAGAATTCTACTGATTTTCAGCAATAGAAAAAATATGACCTATTTTTTTCGTTATTCAGAATTTTAAACTGATTACAATTATTAACTTTCAGGTCAATGGTTATGTCGTCGCTGTTTTCTTTCACCATCAAAATCAGTTCAGTGTGTTTTATGTCCAAATCGCTTTGGTGCTTTCAAACAAGTTGATGATGGTGAACGTTGGGCACATGTTGTTTGTGCTATATGGATACCAGAAGTTCATTTTGCTAATACAGTATTTCTTGAACCAATCTGTAATATAAATCAAATTCCAGTTGCACGTTGGCGCTTCACATGTTATATATGTAAACAAAAAAATGTTGGTGCATGCATTCAATGTGCTATCCGTTCATGCTGTACATCATTTCATGTAACATGTGCTCAACAAGCTGGTCTTTACATGGAAATTGATGAAAATGATGAAAATGAATCTGTTACTAATGATGATGTATCAAACAGTGTCTCAACAAATAAATATAAAAAACAACCACCCAAAGGTGCAACACGTTCACCACCACCTATTCGACGACGTGCTTACTGTCATCAACATACACCAATAGAAGTCGTTCGATCAAAAACAAAAGGTCGCGCAAAAAGAGGTTTGTTGCTATTTGTTGTAAGCATTTGTTAGAAGAAGAAAAAAACATTTCTTTGGATTTTAGATGAAAATGAAGAAGAAGCATTGGAACGCATACAAAAAGAACGTATGAAAACTGCTCGAAAGATATTAGCTGAAAGACGTAAATGTGATCGATCTGTATCGGTGCCAGTTGTACCAAAAGAAAAGTAATGAGAAAGACAAGAGAAAATTCAAAATAAAATATTTCTTTGATTTTTAGAATGGAAGCTGTCTTAAATAAAGTAACCTTTTCTGATCGTGATAACTTTTTTAAACGTATTCAAGCTTATTGGACATTAAAACGTATGTCGCGAAGTGGCGTACCATTGTTAAAACGTCTTCAAAATCAACGATCAACGAAAAAAAAAGTAAATTTCTATTTTTTCCTATTATTACAAATTGAAATATTAATGATATACCATTTTAGTCAAGCAATTCTCAAGAATATACCGATAAGCAATTATCTCAACAAATGATACAATGGCGTCGTCTTCGACAAGATCTTGAACGAACAAGACTTCTTGTTGAATTAATTCGTAAACGAGAAAAATTAAAACGTGACTTAGTAAGCTTATAAATTTATATAATTGCATTATTTTACACAGCACGTATCGGTGCCACTCTCTTGAGACTCCAAATTGAAACTCATGTGTGCTCTCCAGTCTCAATGAACTACTAAAATATACTTCGAGTGAAATATCTATTAGACTCGAGCTGGTTTTTTTTCTACAGAGGTCAATTAGTTACTTAGATAAGTATGACCCAGATCATCATGGATTACCCTGGAAACGTACTCGATGACAGTTAATCTTATTTTTGTTCCCACAGAAAAGCTATACTGATTGACCTTGCATGTCTATTGCTACAAGCGAAGTACAGGAAAATCGTGGCTTCAAACCTACACTGACTAGGCTCATATTGAAAAGAAAAGTCAACTATATTTTATCTTTAAGGTTAAAATTGATCAACAAGTACTTGATTATCAAATTCGCCCATTAAATGTATTTCTTCATCATTTACTTGAACAATTAGAAAGTCTAGATGAACATCATTATTTTGCAAATCCAGTTGATGAAACTGAAGTAAAAATTTAAAAATTAACTTGATTTTTATTGTTTCAAATAATTTGATTCGCAGGTTCCGACTTATTATAAATTTATAACACATCCAATGGATTTTTTGACAATGAAGAAAAAAGTTGATCAAGATGAATATACTAGTTTAGATCACTTTGAAAATGATTTTGGTTTGATTGTTAAAAATTGTCATTTTTTCAACGAAGCCAAATGTAAGAGAGATTCATCGATGTTTTTAAATCTCATTGTAATTATTCGTTTCTTTTTAGCACCGTTCTATAAAGCTGCTACAAAATTACGTGATAAAGTATGCTGATTATTGCGTAAAGATGAGTTTAAAATTGTATTTTTTAGGGTTTAAATCTACTCAAACAAGCTCGACGTGTTTATGAAACAACAGGTTATGATTTGAAGACCGGACAGCTTAAAGAAGAGTCTACTGCAGATGGTAAGGAAATATTTTCTTAAGCAAAAATGATCGATCGCTACGTTGTAAATGTGTCTCAGAATCGATTGAGTAGTTTTCATGAATTTTACATGAATCTATTTTAGATCTCGATTATGCATTCGAAGATCGTCTTGAAGTATTACTTCAACGTTTGAAGGAATATCAAACAATCGGTAAAGAATATTTTTAATTCATATTGCTAATTTTCGGTTCGTAATATTTGCAGAGCCACGATCAAAACATGTTGTCAATTTAAAAAAACAAATCGCTCAAGTTCGTCGAACAATAACAAAAAATCTATCAAATTCATCTCTAAATAATATTAATGATGATTCTGTCCTACAAAGAGCTACTAACGATGAATCAAGTAATAAAATATTTGAAACTCGAATATAAATATTGTTTATGTTTTTCAATTCTATAGTGGAAACAGTTTCGTCATTATCACCAAATGTTTCGTCATTGAATGTCACTAGAAATCAAGCAGAATTAGCTGATCTTCAATTCATATCTCAAATGTAAGAATAACTGATACAAAAGATGTGACTCGATTAGGAAGAATGTTGTACTTTTAAGTTGTTGTAGCAAACCAGCCCGAGTGACAACTGATTGTTGAGCTCATACTTAGATCAAAATATTTCATTAAGACTAGAAAAACGACTTCATATTTTCAGCGAGATTCGAACATCTACTAGAAAATCAAATAATGCTACTCCAGTCTGAAATTTCATTCATAATTAAACCTGTTGACTCGGCAAATATATGGAAAGTTGTATTCGAAAAACAAAACATATTCCCTTCTAGCGTAGTGAAGAAAAGCTAATATCTCAACACTGCAAAAGTCTTTATTTGATTCTTTAATGAATATGTAAAAATCGCATGAACAATCGTTAGTCCATTTCTAGTCTTAGTCAAACTTCGTTAGAGATCAAATATGATTATTCAAGTTAGTTATTTGATAAATGTATAGTTTTCGTTTTCTTTCCACAATATTATAACACAAAAATTTAATCTCACTTCACTACACTTATTTCTCGTGGACAGACTTTATTACATTGATGAGTTTCTTTAATAAATAATCAATCTTTCTATTCATGCACTAAAATTTTATTTGCATAACTATTTCTCTTTTTAGTGATAAACCAAAGCCAACAGAGCCAAGAAATGAATCAGATCAAAGCAGTAGTGAATAACATGTCAAGTAAATAAAATAAATTTTCTAATTAAGGAAAATTTCTTTTTTTCTGTTATATCTTTTAGATCTTTCCAAGAATTACAATGATGATCAATTTTTGTTCTTTTTTTCTGCGCGCAATCTTTATATGTACTTTCGTGTGTTAAATATTAATATCACTTCGATGTTATAAATAAGACATTTTTGTTTTATGTATATATTGTAGAGCGTACTTATGAGATAATTTCTGTTTTCTTTTCTTTTTGGCGCGCATTTATTCATCCATTTCAATTCTTATCATATCTTCAGATAATCATCTGAGAATGATATCGTGCTTTAAGTGTGGTCGATCGGGCCATTTCGCTCGTGAATGTATGAATTTGCCTGGAAACAATTCAACATATTTTGAATCTTTTAATGATATGAATTGCAATGAAAACATGTTTAATAATTTTAATTCTTTTGTTTATAATAATAATAATAATAATAATAATAATAATAATAATAATAATAATAATAATAATAATAATAATAATAATTCAATTAATGGATTACAACGTTGTTATCGTTGTAATGAATTCGGTCATAAAGCTCGTGAATGTTTATCAGATAATGATATTCGTACGTGAAATTTGGAAAATTTAGTTAATATTATCGAATATTTTTTTGCAGGTACATGCTATAATTGTGGTCAAAACGGACACATTCGTACGGATTGTACAACATCAGTAAATACAATGTCAAATATGTATCGTAATTCAAGAAATAATACTCTCTGTTATCGTTGTGGTCAGTCTGGACATTTGTATGAATTTTTAATCGTCTTCATGAAAAATCCTTAGTGAAATTTAGTTTCTCATTCTAGTGCAAGAGATTGTTCGATATCAATAGAGAGTAATGGTGCTCCTGTACCCGATGTAATAAACGGTGTTTTGAGTGATCGAAGTTAGTTGAAAATTCAAGAATCAAATAGAAAAAAAATGTCCATTTCAAAATAGTTTGTTTTAATTGTTCACGTCCTGGTCATATTGCTGCAGCGTGTCCAGAAATTAGTCAAACAAATATGCGTGATGTTATTTGTTATTGGTAAAGAAACAAAATAGAAACTTCTTTGGATATTTGTGACTCTTATGTTTTGTTAATTATTTTAGTTGCAATCAAACTGGTCATTTATCTCGCGAGTAAGAGTTTGTTTTGAAACTAATTCAATAAAAGAAAATATACTGAAAAGAATAGTCTCTTGTTAATTAACATTTCGCAATATTTTTCATTTTGATATTTCTACAGTGCATCAATTGACTTTTATCATGTTTTAGTTGTCCCGAGTCTAGTATCAAATGTTACTCTTGTGGTTTAATGGGTCATATGGCACGCAATTGTTCCAATAATCGTATATTTTCTTCAGCACCATTCATGCAACAACGTCAGATGACTGTTTCAAATCAATTAAATGACGCATACATGCCATTAATTAATTAAGCAATGACAATCATAGAATTTGGTTTTTCTTTCTGTAGGCGTATAATTATCTGTTTTCTTGTTGATTTGATTATTGTCGTTCTATAGTTCACCAAAGCAGGACAATATAGAACAGAAGAGGATCGTATACGATGAGCAAAACTATTACTTAAACTTTTTACCATTGTTATTATTATTATGTTTCTATTCTGTTTTTTTTTTACTATAATTTTATTAGCTTCACACATAGATAATGAATAATTCTTGTACAATAACACGTTACTATGGTAGTAATGAAAAAGATCTCGAAAAACTATGGCGTTTTATTGAACAAGCACAAACATACTCTAATAGAATATTAATTGGTGTACATGTTGAAAAAGATCTAACTGATTGTATTCAAAAATATGCTCAACAACAAAAATTATCAAACACACCAGTAGATTTTATACCAATTCAGCCATGGATTGGAATATCTTCGCCATTGAATATTCTTTTAAATCATTTATCATTAAATCAAACAACTGTTCTAATACAATCAGTTGAAATTCAATGTACAGCATATCATGTCGATCGTTTACGATCATATCTTCAAGAAGATAATATCCTATGTGCTGGTGCTGTACTTGATGGTCATCATATATCAACTGATAGTCTATCATATAAGAAATATGTTCCTTTACACGGCGATACAAGTCCTTGGAATACTTTTATTTTATGGAATTTAGAAAAATTACGTCGAACAGGTTTTCCAATGTGCGCTGATTTTGTCAATCCACCTGGCATGGAAGATAGTGCCGCTATTGGTTTACAACAGAAATTATTTGGTGGTATGAAAAAAAATCGTGCTCTACTCATTCATTTCAATGACAATGTTCAATGGCTAAATCAGTTTGATGATGATCAAGAACGTCATTTAAAACATCAATTGAAAATGAAATTAAAGAATAGTCGAACTCAACAACTATTACAAATGTTAGATTTATCTGATAGTGATCAAGAAGTTTGCATTGGTATAGAGTATATTAATGAAAAATCATGTCAGTGAGTTATGAAATTGAATCGTTTCTTTTCTGTGCGCTAAATTAAAAACCTTCCGTACAGTTCTGTTGTTGATGTATTAAATAGAACATAAAAATAACTAAGTAAGCGAACTGCAAACGTATGATCTTGATGTTGTGTAAATTTATTTTGAACAAAACAAAAGAGAGGAGCCTTTGATAAAACTCGTTCTTATTCCATACAATCAATGAAAAATTCTTCAAGTTCTTCTGAATCACTATCCTCATCATAGTTTAATACAGTTGCATTAGAAATAGTGGATAAAGTATTTCGATCATCTTCAATGATTGATTGCGAAATAGTTGCTTGTTGAATTAGTTGTTGATAATTAATTAAAGCCGTAATACATCTATGACATAGATTAAATTCTAACAGTGAAAGATTTTCATAACATATTCTACAAAGAGGAACAAAATCCTTATTTTTAAATATAAAATCAATAAAATTAGCTGGCAATATTGACATTCGTTTCCAACGTTGATTTGCATCTTTAACACGTTGGCGTAATTCTTCGTTTTTGAATTTTGAAAAGCAGGGCCGTGATGCTTTGGTCATAACATCGTGTTTTGAACAATGTTTGTTTGATACATCGACATCTCGAAATGTAATTGTTGATATTCTTGAATTGTCCAACGATGAACAGGATGTTTGGTGATCTGCCAGCATTAATTTGTTTTTTGATGAACAACAAGAACATACTAATAGATAACGAAGTAAATTTGTATAACGAGAATGTTTTGGTTTGTCATTTCGTATTTCTGTACATGTTGAACACGAACAATAGGACGATTTTGTTGTGTACATTCATTATCAAATAAAATAGAAATTATTTAAAATGAATTTCACTCTTTCTTATTCTTATGTTAGTAGTACAATTGTAATGACATTGAGAACAAAAAGAAACGACGCATTGATCTTCTTTCCTTGAATATTTAATATAGGTTGGGTTTGAGAACAAACTAAAACGTATGCATTCGATTAAATAAATAGAAGAATTGAGCGACAAAAGATGATTACGATTTTAAAGGATACAGCTTTTGTTTTTAAATGATAGTTGGAGAAGAAAATGAAATTGACAAGATTAATCTTCCAGTTCATTTTACATATGATAAAATCTTAAAGGGCAACCTTGATATCATGGAACAATGATAGGCGTGTTGACGCATTACATTTTTGTTGAAAAAGATATTGAACTTCGTGTTTCTCTTTCTTTTTATTCATGTTGATTTTAATAATAATAAATAAATAAATCTTTGATTCTTTATATTTTGTGGAATATTAAAAAAAAAAAAGACAAGAATTCTTTTTCTAGATGGTTCGTTCAACGTTCGTTAATCTAGTTCTTTATCAACTTTTCGCATTGATTACTATTTATCTATTTGTATACATTCATGAAGAAGTTCCGGAGCCCTATATGGATGAATATTTTCATTTTCATCAAGCAGCTAATTATTGTTCAGGAAACTACACACATGTAAATATCATTGTTTAAAACAGAAAATAAACAGCATGTTCCTTCTTTTTCTATTATTTATATTCAAGTGGGATCCAAGCATAACTACACCACCTGGTTTATACATGATAACACATTTATTGGAAATGATGTTAAATAGTATTCAAATATTGGATAAAACATTTGGTGCTTGTTCATTAGGATTAGCTCGATTTACAAATGTTATTTTTATGTTAGCATTACCATTTGTTTTTATGAAATATCTTGAAAAAATTAAAAAAGAAGATGAACAAGTAAGTGACGATAAAGAAAAAAAGCAATGTATCTATGTTCGTAAGAATAATGACAGTAAAAACATCTTTTTTGAGTGATCTTGAAAAAAGTCTGAAGATGAAAAAACATGTAAGTAACATTTCTAATCGAGATCCTTAATAAAGGAAACTAATTCTTTCATTAAAACAAGATATGTCATCGAGGAAATATTTAAAATAGTGCATGCAAAAGAATCAGAACGTCTTCGAAGTATAATTGTTATATTCTAAAATGATTCTATAGCATTAAAGTAAAAATGTCCAATGGCTTGGAACAGTCTATCATCATATTTTGATTGTCATTAGATATTCATGATACTTCGAAGTATCCTACTATCAAAAACTATTTTAGTCTGATCGATCATTCGTTTGATGTTTTCATTTCTTAACCTTCAAAAAAAAATCGTATTCGCAATTAGTCCGAAGAGTTCAATAGTTCTGAATTATTTGTTCTTTGTTGAAAAAGCCATTTCAATGTCGAACAGATAACAGTTTCGATCATTCAAGTGCTTTTTCTATCTGAAGAGACGAAATATATATGTATATAGCAAGTTGAATTGCGACTTTTAAAATATGCAATATATGCCCTTTGCACTTCTAATTAAATAAATGAATCTTTTTTTAGACTTCCATACTGCCTGCATTATGCATGTGCTGCCACCCATTAATTTATTTTTTCACTTTTCTTTATTATACTGATGTTGGCTCATTATTTTTCGCCATGGTATCTTTGACAACTCATGTGTATCATTATCGTTTCTTGTCTGCTATGTTTTCTATTATTGCCTTAACATTTCGTCAAACAAATATAATAATTGTTGCTTATGAAATCGGTTTGACCATAATTGAAGAATTTCGTTCGAAAAATAAACAAAGTCATATATTACATGTTTATACATCTCGTTCAAGTGATACCATTGAAATAAAAGAATACTTCATAGTCCTATGGAAATATGGTCGATTAGAAATTAAATTAATTTTAAATCTTATTCAATCTATTATTTGGACTTGTCGATATAATCTATGTGTGATTATATTATTTGTGCTTTTTTTTATTAAAAATAATTACTCGATGACACTGGGTCACCAGGAGCATCATCAAATAGTATTACATTTAGCTCAAATGCATTATTATGCCACATATACGGCTTTTTTTGTTGGTGCGCATATTGTAAGTAATCATTAGAAGTTGCTGCTAAGAACATACTTGTATCTGAGTACAACAGAAGTCATAGTAACATTAGATAGTGCTTGAAGCATTATTTGCCAGAAGCGAAAAAAACTTTTATCGAGAAAAAATGTCTATATATATATATATATATAATATTTAGATGATTATATAGCGTAAATATTATTTTGTTACCCAAGAAAAACAAGACAATCAGCATGAGAATATGATCCCTTGCTGATTATCATTTTCATATAAGAATATTTTTTACTTGTATATCTGTTGATTTTCATACCGCCCAAGAGTTGTTATTCCGTGCAAAGAATGTTAAAAATAAATAAGAAAAAATGAAATTATTTTTATTTGAGTTCGTTAAGCAGACAACTTATTAGTAATGTCACCTGATTGGAGAAGACAAAAAGACAATGAATATTTTTTCATTTGAGAAATTCCTTGCTGTTGATTAACGTAGAATGGATGAAAAAACATGACTATTTAATAGTCATCAATTTTCCATTAAAATGCATTTATGAAGTATTGTTCTATGATTAATCTTTCAGAAAATTGGAATATATTCTTTTGTAAAATTTTAACCTGATCAACTCTCACTTGAGACACGTCTGGAAAACGTAATCAACTAGTTTTATTAGTTTTCGATTACGTGAATTTTCAAGGATATAATTCTTCTTAGTTATATAAAATTATGATTTTAATGATGTAATCTATCGCTGTAGACGTATTGAGCCTTTCATAAATCTTCAATACATATGAAATAAATTAACAAACTTCTTTCGCTGTTCTGACGGCTTTAATTTAGTTGAAATATTACATATCTAAATAGAATCAAATCATTTAATAATATCAATTGACTATGTTCAATCGAACGAATCATTTTATTTTTTATTTAGTTAACAAAATTAAATCTTCTACGTTTACTGCGATTTCTTCGGTCGCGCGCGGTGCTTTTCATTATTTTACTATTATTAATAAATGCTAGTATAAAATACTTTACATATGAACATTTATTTCTTATATCGGATAATCGTCATTTTACATTCTATCTTTGGTCACGTTTATTCAAACGCTATACTCTATTTCGTTATTTATTAACACCTATATATAGTATCTGCATAATATTACTTTATTTCCAAATATATGATCGATCATTATTAAACATTCTTCTTTTGTTGATATGTACTATGTTATTAACTGTATTTCAAAAACTATTAGAATTTCGATATTTTATTCTACCATTTATACTACTTCGATTGTCGATTAATGATAGAAAATCATCGAAATTAATGATTGAAATGTTTCAAGCAATAGTAATCAATATAATAACACTGTATATCTTCTGTCATCGTACTTTTTTCTGGCCAACACATCCGAATATTATACAAAGATTTATGTATTGAACAAATTCAACATTGAAGTGGCGTGAAGAACATTTTTTATATTATTATTGATGTTATAATTCAGGCGTTATTCTTTTTTTTTTGTCATAAGTAAACATATTTGTTATTGAGAATTGTTGCTGGGAAAAAAGGTCTATTTGACATATATTATTCATCGTGGTATGAATAATTTTTACGTGAATAAATATTTGGTCACGGTTGATACCATTGCAAAGAACAACAGAAAGGAAAAAAAATGCTGAAACCTAGTTAATGATTGCATTACTGCAATTGTCCCTGATTTCTTCTATTGGTTCACTATGAAGGTATGTAGATTGCTGTGAAGACTGCTTTCTTGGTTATGCTTTCACGCCCGAGAGAGGCAAAGACCGGTGCAGAAATATGTGCTTATTTATACTCACAATTTTTGTTTTTTTTGAGAATAAATAAGTTCGAAATAGAGAACATCAACTGATAGGGTTTCTATTTTCACAGGAAGGAATTTGCTTTTTACTCCGACATCATAGGCACCCAATTTAACATGTGCTTAACATGTTAAAAATGCAACCATTGTGTAAACAATCGATGTCTGTATCTATTCATGTTTATCTCGATTGAATAGAAGATAGTTTAGATTTTTAATTTAATAGTACACGTACCAAAATAAATAAGGTGCATCAAGGTCAAAAATCGAGCAGGAGAAAAATTCCTTTTATATTATTACATGATTAGATAGAGTTTGGTGAGTAGATCATGAATATCACTTAAAATATTTCTATGCTTCCATTTTGGTTGAGAAATTTTCAAAATACAAACTGCACCTGAAAAAGCGAATATTTCACCTTTTTTTTTAGAAAACTCGAAATTTACCTAGTTTAACAATGTTCTAGGTTTGGAGAACTATCATCATCGAATTCAACATGAAATTTTGAATCAACTGATGTAACTTTGACCAGTAAAAAAGACAAGTTTCATGTTTGAGAAGCTCAACTAGCTCTCCATGTAGACACATTGAAATTGATGTCTCGCAAAATCATCAACTATTTTTTTTTGAAACCAATTCTCGGACTTTCTCACATCCTTCGAACCGCCGAGCAATAGCGAAATGTATTTTCAGCGAAAAAAGGTGCGAAAATTATANCATGTAAACACATTGAAATTGATGTCTCGCAAAATCATCAACTATTTTTTTTGAAACCAATTCTCGGACTTTCTCACATCCTTCGAACCGCCGAGCAATAGCGAACAAGAGTATATATTCAGCTTTAAAAATATTGTTCTGTCTCTGAGAAAATCGAGTTTTACTAGATTGGCAGGTATGGGGGTAAATCAGCGAAAAACATTTTAGCGAAAGTTTTTGAGCGAATGCAAAACAGCGAAAAATGTTTGAGCGATGAGATATTCACTGAAAATGTTTTTCGCTGTTATAATTTTCGCACCTTTTTTCGCTGAAAATACATTNTTGAGCGAATGCAAAACAGCGAAAAATGTTTGAGCGAAGAGATATTCACTGAAAATGTTTTTCGCTGTTATAATTTTCGCACCTTTTTTCGCTGAAAATACATTTCGCTATTTTTATTTTCGCTCAATGGACACCATATCTTTACGTATGGGGGACTACAGGGTAAAATCAAAAAAACATGACTGGGGGCAGTAGGCTGGAAAAATGTTGAAAATTATTTTTTGATAAAATTTATGATAGTTAATGTTGCTTTTCGTTCTGATTCTGAATCTTATGTTTACTTCGCATGAAAGTTAAGTTTTAATAGTCGAAATCTCGAAGTAACAGGGCAATTCTGTAAGCTTTAGTCACCGATCCAGTAAAATTCGATTTCCCAGAGACAGAACAATATTTTTAAAACTGAATATATACTCTTGTTCGCTATTGCTTGGCGGTTCGAAGGATGTGAGAAAGTCCGAGAATTGGTTTCAAAAAAAATAGTTGATGATTTTGCGAAACATCAATTTCAACGTGTTTACATGGAGAAACTAGTTGAGCTTCACAAACAAGAAACTTGTGTTTTTTACTGGTCAAAGTTACATCAGTTGATTCAAAATTTCATACTGAATTCGATGATGATAGTTTTCTAAACCTAAAATATTGTTAAACTAGGTAAATTTCGAGTTTTCTAAAAAAAAGTGAAATATTCGCTTTTTCAGGTGTAGTCTGTATTTTGAAAATTTCTCAACCAAAACGTAAGCCTAGACATATTTTCAAAGTGATATTCATGATCTACTCACCAAGCTCTATCGAATCATGTAATAATAAAAGGAATTTTTCTCCTGCTCGATTTTTGACCTTGATGCATGTTACTTCTTTAATCTTAATTAAAAGATTTGTCTGATTCGTTGATTTAGAATATAAAATTTTATTTGTTTTATTTAGAAAAATAAGTGCGAAGAAAAACTGATCAATAATTAAAATGAACATATAATTATTCTATCGTAAAGTACACTGTGACCGCGAATTTGCCAGTACAAGATAATACTCATGACTTTGCCGTTCTCTCCATTGTTGTGTTTGCAACTTCGTCTTTGGTATTATGTTTTACGTAGCAGCCTGGCTACCGACGACATTGAGAGAAAACAACATTTCGCGTTTAGATGAGTGCATTGAGAACGACAAAAAAGTAAGAGCGAACGCAAAGAAAAACCAACGAGAAATTGTTTGACTTTGTACTATAAATAATGATGTATAGCCGTCTAGAGTTGCTTTTGCTGTCTATGTGAAGAACATTTTTCTTTCCTGTATCTTTCATCGGAGCAGTATGTATGTGTGCGTGTGTATAATGCACCAAAAAAAATAGTGCAGTTTTTTAATGTTTGTTTTGCATGTGTGTAGAGTAATAACTTTACAATATAAAATGTATAAATAGAAATATACATACATATAGAAATGAACAAGATAGACGTTAACCCATAGAGAGAACAACGATAACGTGTATGTACTATAAAAATAAATAAAGGAAAACAAAATGTTCTTTTGAGATAAAATAGCCTTGATTGAGTGATTATATAATTAGAGAATTTTTATCTTACTTAAAGAAGCCAGTTACCTGTTTTCTTTTTATGAATGTTCTTGTTTCATCATGCTTGCTATCGATAAGAAGTAGAAACAGAGTAGGCGTATACTTACATCTGAATAATAATAATAATAATAATAGTTCAATGAGAATTTTCTGTTTGAACTTTATATTTTTAAGTGCATTATGAGGAATTCTTTTTTAAAGTATTGTTTCAAATATATTCTTTTAAAGTCAAGTTCTTGATAAAAAAAAATTCATATCCTATTAGAAATAATCATTTAGAAGTAACTGATAATAGCTAAGAAATATTGATGGAGAAAGAAATTTGATTGAAATATTTGTGTTTAATATTATTCTTTTAACCTCTGATATCAATAATTGATAAAAGAAAGAGTGGAATGAGTAAATAAAAAAATGCCCTCAAATATATTGTGTATGTTAAGGCAAACATAGTGACTCCATACGAGTAACTTTTTTCATGGTCTCAAGTTTTGTGTTCTCTCCTTTTTTCATATTTTCTGTTCTTTTTTTTCTTCTTTGCATGCGAGTACACAAGCAACTGAATTTCAAGAGAAGAATAATTCCGCTTTTTCTCTCACTATGATTCAAGCTTGAATGTACACTTGCTGGTCTTGATCAAATAAAACAAAGACTTTTTATTTTTACTTTTTCGTTTCTTCGAATGCCAATCTCACTTAGCAGTACAACTATATCATACAGCGAATTTTTTTTGTCTTATTTTATTCCAGATATAAATTACTGAAGACAATATCTTAAATTTTAAGCAACGAGAGAAAAGAATAATGAACAGTAGTGTTGATATGCAGTTATCGATGATCGAACATGATGATGATGATGATGACAAATCAAAATCTAGCGATGATTATCAGTATCAAGATAATACTAATAATCAAGAAGTTGGAACACGTGTATCTCGTTCAACGGTTTCTAATAAAAGTAGTACAATCACGTCGACTAATGGAGCAAAACGTCAGAAAGATATTTCACCATGTTATGTATGTGGAGCCAAGGCACATGGTTACAACTTTGATCAAAGTAGTTTGAAAGAAAATTTAGGTTTCCAAAAATAATTTATAATCAATTTATTTCTTTATAGTCACGTGCGAATCATGCAAAGCTTTTTTTCGACGAAATGCATTAAAATCCATGGTAATCATTGAATGAAATTATTCTACATTCATTTTGATTTCCGTAGTCATAAAAAACTTTTTAGGAAAAATTTCGATGTCGAAATAATAATAATTGTGTAATAATACCAGCAACACGAAAACGTTGCAAACGATGTCGATTAACAAAATGTTTTAAAGTCGGTACGTACTTAACCATGATATCTTTGTTTTCAGCACAATGTAAAATATGCAATGTTCATGTGCAGCGGTAGAATGTCGTACTTTCTACTACAAAACATGATATACATCTTCGTAAAATGCATAATAGAGAGGGGGATTGAGACGTTCATAGAACTAAATCCACTTTCAAATTATTATCAGCGTGAATGAATTTAAGAATCTTACAAATTTTATGTCCCATGCGTTCATTATAGAACAGTAGAATTAGTGGCTTTTCTTTGTAAAGTGCACGAAAAATCAGTAGTATCTGATAAACAGAAAAATATTTTGACGAATCCCTTCATTTATAACATTAAGAAGTTGATTTAGTTTCGTATTTTGGGATTTCTTTTAAAAGCTTTCTAAAAGTGTTATAAATATTAATTAATTTGTGTATTTTCGTTTTCATTCAGGTATGCGTAAGGAATGGATATTAACAGAAGAAGAAAAACGCTCAAAAAGAAAAAAGATTGAACGCAATCGTTTAGTAAAACAACAAGCACAACTAGCTAATTATCAGCGACATCAACAAAATAAAAATTTAATGTATTCAAATATTCAAAGAAATATTTCGTCATCACCTATCGTTAAAGTATGTCTGCAGCAAAACAACAAATTTTTGCTATACGTTTGTTAAAAGAAAATTGCAAAAATGATTTACACAGAAGAAAAGAAAATTTTCAATAGTCAACATATAGAAAGGAGTCACTTATTAAGTTTACTTTCGATGCTGTTATGCTATAATCGTTTTCAGGTCATCAATATACATTCATAATATGGCCTTAAAATAAGAATCAGATGATTCTTGGGTACACTTTACAATAATGTCAAGTACTTGCCGTATTGTTCGATTTAATTTATATGTCATGTAAACACTCTTGTTTAAATACAAGAAGTAAAAATAGTAATTGAACTAATCAGATTAGAATGCTTTTAGAGTTCTAAGGAACACATTGCTCATGATAAGTTTAATTCTTGCTGGTTTATAAAATGAGTTTTTCAATGATTTCCAATTCTAATGTTCGAAGATTTCTGATATATTTGAAAATTCTAGTTTGAAAGTATGCTAATGCAGGAAATTCTTCATTCGTATGAGATTAGAAAAACTAAAAATAATTTTTCTTCAAGTTTTAATTAAAAGAATTCCTTTTTCTTTTAATGTTGTTAAACTATTTTTGCAGATTTATTTTAAATCAAAATTTTTCACTTAATTAATTTATTGCTCGAAAAAGACAGGCATGCGAAAACAAATGAAACTGTTGCTTTGATCTTGTTGCCAAAAATAAATTGAGAAAAGAATTAACTAATGGTCAACTGAGTATCTTTTATTTTCGAGAAAAATGATCTTATTTTGTCATAAATTAATTTTTTGAAAAACAAAAAAAAACGAAAACAAATAAACAGTAACAGAGTTATTATTGTTATTTTTGGTGTGTGTGGATTTGTTGCTTAAATTTTCTTTAAAAAGATTTTACGCATTCAAACAATTATGATCTAAATTCTCAGAAATGTCTAAGAGAGTTTAAAGAATTAATCTAAACTTCTATACTCATTTGTACTGTCTTGTACAATTAGGAAGAGCCAGTCAGTAATATACTAATATCTGATTTAATCAGAATGTTCATATTGTCTCTTCTGTGAGTAAACTGCAAAAGAAACATTATACTATGATAAAACTACTAAGTCCAAGAAAAATGATGATTGTTTTTCATTCTGACATAGTGTGTGGCCCGTATTTTTAATTAACACAATTGAGCTTATCTAAATATTTATTTTTAATACAACCAATATGAGCAAAATCATCGTTTTGAACAGATCTACAAAGACACAGTTAAAAAAGCATATCTCGAATTTATTAAACGGTAGTAAGACTGCTGAGTTTTCTTTTTAAGCTATTCTACCGGTTCGATAGTAGAAAAATTTTTATGCACATAATGTGTAATTATTTGTAAGTTATCTCAGGAGGAAGTCTATCTATACATTCAATTCCGATTTAAATGACTTCCTTTACATATACACTCTACGTATAATTCAAGTGAATACCCTAACAGGATTTTAACTTCCTGCTACGACTTGACAATACTACTTAATTTTTAATGTATTCATTCGCCTGTGAACTTAACAGCAGACAAGTATTTTTCAGAAAAATTGTATATCTTAAAAATTAATCTTGAAACTTCTTTCATGTGAAGGTTAAATATTCAGTAGCTTATAAGAAGAGTTTCACAGTTGACCGAATTTGTATTTACAAGATCCGAATTTTCCATTGTAAATTATGTGCTCTCTTCATAGGAGAGAAGGGAGACTATTAAAATTGAAAAAGAATATCGAGAAGGATTCTCATAATTACTAATACAGAATACCTACTGGTTAACCCTTTCCGGCCCGCTGTTTGGAAATTGCCGTACCCCCCTAGGGGAAAATGATGCAATATGGCAACACCGGGCCGGAAAGGGTTAAATAATGCTCACTTCGCTTCTATAAAAATCGCTTCCACCGGTGCAGTTTTATTTTATTTTTTTATAAATCAAAATTCTTGTTGATTGTCCAAATTTATCGTCTTTTTCTTTTCTTCAGCATTCATCTTCTTCAGCATCTCAACGGTTAATACCAAAAACAACTTGTGAATTATCTAGTCTCCCATTACCATTGATTTGTATGCGTCGGCCATCAGATCAACAAATGTATCAAGGTCAACTATGTTTATTAGAACAATTGTCCAATGGGTATCAATCGATATCTCAACAATATCCTCAGCCATCAACATTTTCCTATCGTAATGCACTTATATCTCAAACTGTAGATATGGAATCTAAATTACTATTGGTTAAAGATTTAACACGAGACTTAACACAAATGACGACAGTACGATTATTAAATTACTTTTCATTAATACCTGAATTTCAATTATTAACAGATTTAGAAAAGAAATCTATTTTAATTAAAAATACGCTTCCAGTCTTTATGTTTCATGGAGCACTAACATACAATGCTGAAAGTGACACATTTGTTGATCGAACAACAGGTATTCACAATAAAAATAACAGAAATATGATAATATCTATCTATTTTAGTTGATCAACCTTACGATGCAAAATATATATTACTTGTATATGGCGCGAAAGTTTATAATAATTTTATAGCATTAGCTCATCAATTAGCATCTCTGACATATCAATCACCGACTGATAAAAAATTAGATGAACGTTCACATACATTATTCTTGTTGCTTATGATTATTTTATTATTTTCTGATGGCTTTGACTCAGGTTTTGATATCTATTCAATGGAAGAAGGACAACAGCAAACACTAGAAAAAGAATCAAATACACCAATTATCAGTCGACCATTATCAATAACCAGTAGATCAACATCATCGACTTCATTATCATCCTCATCATCCTCATCGTTATCACCATCAGTTTCATCGCTTTCGACATCGAAATTAAATGAAAAATTACATAAAATTCAACAAATTTATATTGAAATAGCTTGTCGATATTTACATGATGGATTTGGATTAACTGTTGGACGTCGAATGTTTCAAAACATTTTACCTTTACTATGTGGTAAATAATACTACATTGTTTTTTCAAAGAATAGCTTTCGAACGCATTACAAAAATCTAGAGTGAAAAGAAAAGAACAAAAAATCAATAGAAACTCAATTAACTGTTCTTATTCAGCTCGAAATGTTATGATGTTTTTCTTTGATTTTAATATTTTTGTATTTATATTAATAGATCTGCAAAAACTTTGTGCAACATTAGCCAATGTTAATTTATGTGAACTAGCCGAAGATGAAGATCGATTGTCTTCACCAAGATCAACAGCACACAGTATCACACCAGGAGCTTCTGATCCTCAAACAATTTCATCTCAATTTAATTCTACAATAAGTGAAACATCGAATTTAAATGAATTTCAAAAAGGAAATCGTGCACCATCTCATACAATTCACTACTAGTATCATCAACTACTAGTTTACTATTTTTTTACGCATAATAGTTTATAATTTATTGTTTTACACACAATACCAAACGTTTAACAAGTTATCAAGTATATGAACTAACTTTTTCTTGTTTTCAAAAATGTCATCATTTCTATGATCCCTTCATTTTGCACATATTAGGTACATCATTTTTTTTTCTCAAACTTTGTTTACCAGTCACATCATATCATGTCATACATATGATTATGATGGTATTTTTTCTCTCTGTTTATTTGTATTCTCTGCTTCGATACGTGCTACCTATATTAACATATGATTAATATACAATCATAGTATGTATAAGATTGAAAAACATGTTCGTTAACATGAGATATTCCCAATTTCATTTTCAAATTTTAATATATTCCCGTTTATTTTTCACTCATCGCTGTTTTTCTCTTGTCCTGAGTATTGCTCTGACGTTGTAGATGTTATTGTTGGCATCAAGTTCATATATTGTTTAGATTTTTTAACTGATTGCTTTAGTATGTGACTTCTCTTGTTTGTTTCACTTTCTTCTTTTCTCTTCTTTGTATTGATTCATAGTTTTAGTATTTAGCATTGTATGTGATTTACTTGTACAGCTACGAGTTACCATGAGTGCGAAAGCAAAACAAAACAAAAGAACAAAATCAAATACACATAAGCGAACACAGATGAAGGTCATTTGAAACTAGATCGTATTCGAATTTCACTCGACTACGAAATGCGGTGTGAAGCACACGGGCCGAATTTTCGAAAACATGGGGAATAAGATAAAAAATACTGAATGATCAATTTCAGAGTTCATTGGAATCGTTTTTTCTTAATGTCTACGAATTTTGAATTTATGTTTCGCATTCACCATTCTTAAATTGACCATTATGAAATTCATCACTAGGAGAGCTCCTTGAAAATGTAACAACCAGTTTTCTAACGAGTTTTTTGATTGAACGATTATCTACTTTCATGAATCATTATTCTGAATCATACGTCAAGCAATAGACTATTGGCTAACAATTATTGATGACGTCATTTTTTAATTATATCGAATTTCTAAAACTATAAATAGCTTTCAAAATCGTCATTTTGGAACCACATTCGTGAGTGAACAGAATATTAGATTAAAGAATAGAGAAAATATGTCAGAAGTTCGATCTCGATACTTTCATCTCTATACACTGTAAAAAGAAAGTTTATGAAAGTGCGGCGTGACACATATCGTTTTTGAAATATCTGATAAACCCTTTCTCCAAATCATAAACCTAAAAACCGTTTATTATCTTCGTCATATTATGATATGTTGCACTTTCATAAACACTTTTTTTTGTTAAATACCCTATCAAAAACGTTTTTTCCGTTTATTGCTCTGTGGATTTTTTTTACAGTGTACCGTGCTGCGCACCGTAATTGTTTCACAAAAGAAAAGCAAAAATTGACGATAAAAGTAAAATTTACCAATCGAATGTTTACTAGTTATCTGTTATCAGGTCGATTACTTATTGAATCGAAAGTTGAAAAACTAATACTCAAGACTAACATATAGAGAAGAAAAGCATTCTTGATTTCTTCATAAATGACAATTTATTTTCAGTTACAAAATATCGAAAGAACAGCATGGAAAAATCTATTGAATTCGATCATTTATAATAATATGCCTTCTATTGTGCCGTATCCTGTAAATCTAGATTTCGATTTTATTAGCTAATGCCATTAATGCTAAATTTATTGAGATTTTCGTTATACAGATGAGAGTTTATCTACATGGAATTTTCAATATACTAGCGAAAGGTATCTTCATTGGCTAGGTGAAAGTCTAATAAACCTTACTAAAAAAACACGTTTATGTAGTTATTTGTCTTTCAATAAAAACGCCACTGTTTATTTAGCAATAAGAATCTTGTTATTTTTTATAAACTTATAAAATGACGACAGTTTATAATAGGCGAAGGCTGAAGAGTGCTTTTCTTCTTTCTTTTTTGTGTTTATAGAGGCACTGGTGAAAATACAGTTAGAAAAAAAAACGATCCAATTTTTGAGTTTTATGTTTCTTTTGATCCTTTCTCAATTTCATGATCAAGGATTGCATAAACAACTTTCTAGGTAACCATTGCCAATAAAAAAATTAAAAAAAATACTGATTTCATTAGCACAAAAAGTAATTGAATAATCGTTTATTCAGTTAGATTTTAGTTAGTTTAAATCATTTTCGATATAAATATATTTATTTTAGTTGAATTTAAGCTAATACATATAGCCAAATAGAAAAATTTAATTGACTGATGTATTTGAACGATGCGTATGATGAGAACAAGTATCTATTGTACAAAATAAAAAGATTGAAGGAAACTTTTTTTATCAGAAACTGCGCTGAATCGAAACAAGCAATGAATAATTACTTTATTCTAACAGAACATGTTTCTACAAATCATCGTTAGCTATAGCAGTTTAAACTCAGTATTTAACAAAAGCATTATTCTTCATATGAAATATAGTGAACGTTATAAGAGCAGCTGACAGAAGAACGTCAAAGTACATTGTTAATTATTAACGATGTTATATGAGAGACTAAAAATAGATGCGAATTTTGTATCTGAATTTAATAACATTAGATGATTAATTACTCGGAAATATTGGCCTTGCCGCAAAAAAACTGAAATCAAGTAAATCTGTCTAAATATTTCATGCATATGAAAATGATCAGTTATGCCGGGCTCTAAATATATGTCATAACTTCAGAATGAATTCTATTTTTTTTTCTAGAACTTTCAAATATAAACATGAAAAGTAAAATAAATAGTTATTGCTCTTGTAAACTTATTGATACTATCATTTTAGATATTTTGTTATATGACTAAAAATTATTAAATAACAATAAAAAGATTTTTTGCATGGTAACATGTATATGTAGTTGAAATATGGTTATTATTATTGAGTACTAAAAAATATATACACTCACTGACTCGTTGATTACTAGTTAGTATTACTTGAATGATTTTAACAAAAACTTGATGTAAAATTATACTTGAATTCCTAAATTGGTATTAAAATAATATAATTATTAGTTCTATGTTACAATCACAATGTGTGTTTCGTAGAAAATTCCAACATAGTACAAACAATAGCTTATCTGGATTTTAATGCATTCCGTAATTATATTGTTTTGTATATATATATATATATTTAAAACAAAAAGAAAGACACGCTCTACAAGAATTATTTAAAGAGGGAAATCATCACTTTTTGTTGTTTTACGCCATTGTCCTATCATTGGATTATAAAATAAATAGAATTCTTCTTTCTGTGGCATACTGTTAACATTTGTGTAATTCAGGTCGAATGGAATTTCATTATAATGACCAAAAAATTCCAGATGAATATTTAGTGGTTCTGAATTGTTGCTCGTGATTCCAAATATAAATGGTTCCTTATTAATCTTTTCTATTGCCTTTTCTCCACTATTTACTTGTATAGATTTAAAAAGACTGAATGGTATATCTGTATTATCCGGATCACGTCCTTCAATTAAGATTTCACAACTACTACCATTTGAAGATTTTTCTTGTGTCACGCGCACACGCCGACGAACAATCCATGGTGGTATTGGTATGTCAAGTCGTTCCATGAGACCTTGCATGATAGTATCACTGAATGCGTGTATATTCAATGTAGCCATTGAGTATAATGGTGTTCGTTGAAGATTACCAATAACTAATTTCTTACTCCTCTCAGCAACCTTTCGTGGTATATCTGCTGCTGGCGTTACTGTTAAACTAGAACCTTAAAAATATCATAGAAAATAAAAACATAATTAGATTTATAAATGAGAAGCAATGCACATTACCAAGTACGAGACAAAGGTCAGCATTTTGTGCATGTGTAAATGCTTTGTCTAATTCTTCTGCAGGTAAATTTTCACCAAAATTAATAATAGAATCTTTCAATGGACCACGACATTCTGGTTTATCACATTTACGACCTGTTAGATGATTTAAAAGACCGATTGCTGCATCATAATCGCGTAAATATTTTGCGCCACAGTTTGAACATTTTTCCAAATTCATATTACCATGTAACTCAGCTAAACAAGCTGGATTCATTCCACTACGTAAATGTAATCCATCACAATTTTGTGATACTAAACATTTCAGTATTCCGCGACGTTGTAATTCAACTAAAGCCCTTTAAAGAAACAAAATTAGAAACAAATTGATTTGTGTTTCAATAGGAATTATGATCTTACATATGTGTAAGTGATGGTATAGCTTTGTGCATATCATGAATAACAACAGCTTTTTTTGATCTTTCTGTCTTATTACTAATAAAATAAGAAAGAACAATACAATCTAATTATGACTCTATAGACTTGTTTACTCTCGTAGTTCCCAAGCACCTGGTCCAGTTGGTAAGACAGTATCCATTGCACTACGAAAATCAGGAATTCCAGTTGATGTGGATACTCCAGCTCCTAAGAGACGAATATATATATATATATATATGCATGATCATTTCTGAATGCTGATCATTTAAAAAACATACCAGTAAATATAATAAAATGTTTACTTTTTTTAATCCATTCAGCCAGTTTATCTAATTTATCATCCAATTTATCTTGTGCATCAAAATATTCTTTTTTCATTTCAGCATCAGATAATCCGTGTGCCATTTTACTTCTTTCAGAATAATGTGCTCGATGATTCTTAAACGTAATCGAATCGATGACTACTGAATGATATATATGTTGTCGCTTTATGGAGTGCAAATCTCATTTCATAACAACAACGTAATAACACAACAAATATTATCATCAACAGAATGAAGCCGACAGATAGTTACCAACCATATTATTGTATTTAAATGAGTCATTTAACTGATCATGTATTGACGTGTAAGTAGAAAAAAAATCAATTGTACATTGCACACGTGTTGTCAACATTAAGAAATGAGTAGAAAACTTGAATCATATAATCTTGAAATGGTTTCTTCTTTAATAGACTTGAAACATATGATGAATCATACTCATTATAAAGTTTTATTAGAATTATCGAATGATTCAACAGTATAATTTATATTATTTTTTGGGCAGCATTCAAAGGAAAAACGAAAAAATGATAACAACAAAAATATGAATCATATTTATATGCTTGTATCACAACTTGAAATCGAAAGAATGTTTGATCAAAGCATCTAGACCAAATTTATCAAAATTCTATTGATATTATTCCATTGTTTGATTGTAAACCTCATTGAAAGCATTCATCTCTAATCACTTCAGACATTTTGTCGATTATTGATGTGGAAATCTTTTCATGCTTATGCTTCAATAGGTTTACTATAGACATGGCGTGTATACTTGAAAATTAGATCAAACCGTGATCTGCACGAATGAGTGAACGAATAATTAAAAACTATTGTGAGAAACAAAATATGCAGGAAAAAAAACAAGCTCTCATGAATTGAGAAAGAAAAAGCACTACCTATTCTCTGTCTCTTGGATAGTCCATAAAAATTTCAAGAGAATCTATCCAACATGTACTTATTCGCTTTATTCTCTAGAATTTTAACACTGAATAAGACAAAAGAAAACATGCGAAGATATCTCGTTTCGAACGAAGAAAGTAATATAAAAATATTCTATTTATCCATATGCTAAAACTAATAAATATAGATATATTAGTTTTATAAACAATTAATATTCGCCTTTTATTTTTCTCAAATATGTTTTCTCTCAAGGAGGGACACAGTGGTTAGCAGAACAAAGAAAATCTATCGACAATTCACAAACTATATCCTTTGCCTTTCATATGCGATGTTGATAAGATTACACGGCCTGCTAAATGACCAACAATGGCTTATCTATTCTATTTTTTTTTCTTATTCTTTTGCCGAGATAAAAGAATCGAAAGAAAAAAAGATCTTTCATCCGACGTAATTTTCTTTTCCCCTCTACGCTCAGTTCATTCTTGTAAGATGTGATTCGATCTTGTAACGATACAGATCAATGCAATAATATAAAAAAAAACAAATATGTTTCCTTTTCATTCCAAAACAAGTCATAACCTAAATTATTGAACTCCGTTATTTATCAATACAATCCATCGTTTTCTTTTTTTCTTTTTCTTGCGTTCTTTGTTCTTCTTTTTTTCTTCTCGTGCGTACTAGCCTCTAATATAACCATCGTCACTGGTGCAAGTTCTTATAGCGCACAGCCACGAGCGAAAGTAGTATGCTAGCAAAAGCGCAGAACAGTATTCTTCTTTAATGACGAGTTCGCGCAAAAAAATGCTATATATATATATATATTTATATAGTATTGTTGTTTTTAGAAAAAAAAGAATGGTATTAGTAGAGTACTAGGCAAATTTTCTTTTATTCTTTGCCATGAGGATAAAAGGCCAATCATTCATGATTGACCAATAACAAAGATCATGCAATGCGAGGCCACTATGGTTGCTCCACAATGCATACATTTTACTGTTAGACGGCAGAGGAACAAGAAAAGGTAACTACGGTAGTACGTGTTTATTTAATCTGAATCTATAACAAACTTTCATGTAACACGACATAGCTATACGCGATTATACGGGTCTAGGTAAGAGGGCTAGAGAAGAAGAAAAAAGAAAGAGAAAGAGAAAGAGATCTAACGCACATCGGGCCTTGTGTTCGTACTCATTATCAAACTTGATAGACAAACTAACATTAACGGCAAGACTTCACCTAAAAAAGAACATTTGAATATCATTTTTGAACAAGTAAGAAACATAATTATGTACTGGTTATGTTATTATCAGAGGGTAGGTTGTAATCAGTAAGGGCCTAGATGTATGCAAATATTCTTTACAAAAGTGTACTATATTTGCTTCTTAAAAATACAGTAGAGAACGAAAAAATTTACGATTGTACACGATTACTAAGGTAATACTTCTAATAGATGAAAGATTGACTCGCGCACCTGTTTTTTTTTCTTTTTTTTTCTATGTTGCATTTTAACTATGCTACTGCAGTTTTAATTCAAGCATTTTTTTGTTTTTAACTTCTTAAACTGTACATATTTTCTAAATTATTCTGATTAGCTTTCATTTTGTACATCAAATATAAATTAGGTTAGCTTGCCTAGAAGTGATGATAATGAAAGTTAAAAAAAAATTCTTATTTCATATTTATAAACGTTGGTATTTAATTGTTTTTAAACATTAGCTTTTCTTTCGATTCTCATTGATAAAATATTACAGTATCGTTCTAGATGTTTTCACGTCGTTATTTACGTCGTAGTTTTGTAGCAGCTCTTGTTTTACCCGTTGCTCTATTAGGTTTATTTGTTATCTATCAAAATCGTACTGCATTATTCCCTGAAAACTTATCACAAGAATACCACCACCATCATCATCATCATGATCACAATGAAAATGGTGTTGACGTTTCACATCAAATTATTCGCAAATACAGTAAAGAACCTATATTTCATATAAAACGTTTAACTACCAATGGTTATTCAACATCAAAATTATATGTAAATAATGCAGAGCAAGTAAAAGATTCTCCGAAACTTCAATATGTCCCACGACCGAATTCATTCAATAACGCTCAACAACTACAAATTGTTAATCACGTTCAACCAATATTGCCATTGCAATATCAAATACCCACATTAAGTGTTATAGACACAAAAAAGCTTGAACGTTTTGTACATCTTGATTTGAAAGGTGCTGCACCAAAAGTTGTTTATTATGAAACATTATTTCCATATTTGAAAGAACTTGGTGCTAACGGGTTACTTATTGAATATGAAGATATGTTTCCATTTACTGATAATTTATCAGTTTTACGACATGGTTTTTCTTATTCAAAAAGTGATATTGAAAAAATATTAAAATTAGCTGAGCAAAATAATTTAAAAGTTATGCCATTACTGCAAGTTTATGGACATTTAGAATATGTTCTTAAACTAAAAGAATTCATGCATTTACGAGAAGATAAAAGATATCCACAAGTTATAACACCGTGTCTTGAAGAAAGTTATAAATTATTATTTGGTATATGTCTATAAAAATTGAAATAACTTTATATTGAAGAATTAACTTTTTTTCCTGATTTTCTCTTATAGAAATGATAGATCAATTATTATTACAACATCCATCAATTCCATATCTTCATATTGGTTGTGATGAAGTATATTATCGTTTAGTTCATCCACAATGTACTAATCTTCATTTTCGTGACGAAGCCGATTTATTTATCAGGTAAAATTTATTCATTTGTTTTATTACAAAAAGAAAAAGAAAATTATACATGATAATACAAAAATTTTATCCAAAAACTTTTTCATCTGCATAACATACATACAAAAATCCATCTAAATCTTTAAGTTCATTGTATAATATTTCCATAGTAGAACTTAATATTGGTTGTTTACCATATAAACCAATATAAAAAAATAGTGCATGTTCGGCTCGTAAGCGTAAACGTCGTCGGATATTATAAGCAAATTGGCCAAATGATAATTCAGATGGCACCAGAAATTTTTCATTTTCCAGGCGTGTTAATGGTGCTTCGTTGCATGACATTGACGATGAAGATGACGACGACGGAAATGAATGAAATAATGATGTAGTGAAAATCGATGAGGATGATGAGGACGAAGATGAAGATGTTAATAAAGGTTGTACAATAACAGGAATACGATCGGGATAACGTCTACGAATACGTTCAGATTCGAATCGACGTTGCTCAAGAGAATGTTCCTGTTTATATTGCCAGTTCATTGTATAAGATGTGAATGATTGTGAACACGTTAGTCTTTTCTTTTTTCTTTTTTTGTCGTATATTGGCACGAATGCGTCTTTTTTGACAAGTTCGAGAGGGCAATGGGCGTATAATATAGTTATGCAATGAGCATAAGACGAGTTTAGCAGCACCTAATTGTTAATATACATTTAAAGATCGGATCCAAGCAGCATTAATGACAACCGAAAAGAAGAAAAAATGAAAGAACACGAACGTGTCGTTGTGCGTATACTAGACATATACATACAAGTATTCGCCTCTCCTCCTTCTCCTCCTTCTGCCTTTTATTGTATTTATTATGATAATTTTTTTCAATTGATAACTGCATACGAAAGAACAACGCAGAAGGCGATGACATTCGTTTTTGCTTTTGAAAATGTTAAATAACCACAAATAAAAAGGTTAGATCTTTAGTGTAATGATAAATCTTCGACGACAGCAAAAAGAAAAAGAAGACCTGCATTAACCTTATACGTTCAACTCGTGATTGTTGAGTTTTCTATTTCTAGACATGTCACTCGTATTGCTAAGTATATTAAATCCAAACGACCACAAATCAAACTATTTATTTGGCATGATATGATTTCTCAACTTCTCAATTCAGGATATACTAATGTAAGAAACAAATATATATATATATATATATTGCATATTTCATTCAAGTACCTGTACTCGTATTTTTGTTGACAGATGACAGAATTGATTGAACTTGTTGTACCTATGATATGGGCATATGTTGATGATGTCAAGTCATGGTTTGATGATTCGTTTTGGATGAGGTAGGTTTTAATATTTTGTAAATAAATAATAATTTGTTTTTAGTATATTGAATAGTTAAAAATAAAATTAGAAACGATAATATCGACTATTCGATGCAAAATTTAAATGGATAAACTACGTAGAATAGGATATATAATATCAAAAGGAATACTATTCTGATAAAGTCTTTACTAAGCTTCTCTTATGATCTGCGATAAATTTATTTGAATTGTTCAAGAATCATGATAGATGATCATTGATTGCAAGGTTTTATTTTAACGCATAAACACTTGAAACATGATCAAAAAATTGATAATTATAAGTAATATTAAAGCAAACAACTTAAATATAATTATTCAATAGCTTTTAGCTCGTTTTTCTTCTTAGAAAAAGAAATAAGAGCTTCGATTATTTCTTCTTCTTCTTCTTCTTCTATTTCGATAAAACGAAAAGAATAGTCTTACGAGAATATACATAAAATATCAGTGATTGCTTCAATTCTTTTTCTCTTGAATGATAATATTCTGTATAGATTTGCGACCTTTCCTGAAGTATGGGTTGCAAGTTCATATAAAGGTTCATCTGGTGAAATAACGCCAATGAGTTATATTGGTCATCATCAACGTAATCAACAAACATGGCTTGAAACAATGTACACAGCATCAAAAAGACATAGAGTAAATTTTACTGGTGTTGCTGTTACTGGTTGGTCTCGTTATGATCATATGCTTGCACTATGCGAATTTATTCCAACATCTATACCTTCACTTGCATATTCTCTACAAACAATTGAACATGGACGTTTAACTGATGAATTGAATGAAACAATATCTCGAACATTATTAGGTTGCTATCAAATGCCATTATGGGAACGATCAGCATTTGCAACATTTATAGCATGTAAATTTCCAGGTAATTTACTCTTGAATGTTCTGTTTGTTGTTATTGTTAATAAAAATGCATTAATATACTTTTTTCAATGATACCTAGGCCATGAAATGTATGAAATGATGCATCAATATGATAGTATTATGCGGCAACATCAAGAGACTATGGCATTTGTGCGCTTATTCACAACAGATATTCATTTACGTCAAAATTATATCCATTATAAACGTGCTGAAGAATCTCTTGAACGTTTACTTTCTCTGGAAAGTCAAATGATTCATTTTATTGATGCATTTCAAAATGCATGTTTAGTGTTCTTTACAGATGATATAGGTCCAGAATGGTTACAAACTTATTTGATGCATACATTTAACGAAGTTCAACAACGTGTCAGTTTTCTTGATAGCTCATTAAAAACACAATCATCATGGTTGCAACGTCCGCTACCAAAAAATACTTCCAGAATAGTTGTCAAACGACGAAATATAACATTTAATAGTTTAATAAGGTTCTCTCAATAGACTGAGAAAATTTGCCGAAGGATTTTACTCGTTCTAGTCATATTTTTCGATATAGAATTTCTATTTATTTTAAAAATAAAACGTGATGGTTTCTCTTCGTGAATTCCATGCATGCGTGTTTTTATTTTCGTTTGTTATTGTTGTAATTGAAAAACTTGTTTTTTTATATATAAACTAAACAAAGCTATACAGTAAATAAATGAATTCTATTAATATATCTGAATAAAAATAAATATGTGATTTTTCTCTCACAACTTAAAATTTATTCAAAATTGAGATGATTCCATGTGATTTAATTTTTAAATGAAAAAATAATGAAAAATTTTACTTATTTATTTAACTGATTTGCACGTGTCTAAGTTAATTCAAATTTCGTTGCCTGATTTACGTTTCCATATAGTCAGATTCAAAGAATCGAATGAAAAATGATTTTGATCTGATTAACTGTTTTCTACTACATCGAATTCAATCTGAAAGCTTTGAATATAGCTTCATTAACTAGAACAATTAAATTTTATTAAATCAAATTAACTATACTTAATGTATAGATAATCATATACTAATACGAATATGTCCAACAGGTAGACAAAAACAATTGCACATTGTTCATAAATTAGGATCAATCGCGGCCTCTTTATCATTGATTTTTTCGTTTTTTCTTTCACTTCTGATAGCCATATGACGATCAATTGAAAGTATAATCGCAGATAGAACAACAAGTGATGCTCCAATATAAAATATCAACGATTTTGTTTGATGAAAAAATATAAATTGTAATAGAACAGCATAAACGATATCAAGTGAACCAATAATGGATATTAATTGAACACTTTCTCGTTTTAATGCTTTTGCCACAAATGCATTTGTTAGTAATTGAAAACAACCAATGATAACACCAGCTGTACTCATCCATTTCCATGGATATGGCTCTGGCTGCCAAAATCGACGAATAATACTATAGATCAATGAAACAAAAATAGCACTAAAAGTAAACTGAAAATTCATGACAGAATGTGGTTGTTTTGTTTTGACTAATTGTTTTCGAGCAATCATTTGAATTGCTTTTGTCAAAGCTGATATAGACGCTAGACCAATACCTAAATAATAATACGTTGAAGAAGTCACAGTAGTAACATTAATTATGGTTGTCGTCATCGTCGTCGTATTCATCGGTACCACTGACGATGATGATGATGATGATGATGTCCAATCAAATATATGAGTTAATGTTTCAAGAAAGAAATGAGGTCTAGTTGCTAATATGAGTCCGATCATCGTTAGGCATAATGACATACCATTAATGAATTTGAATCGATCCTTGAGAAATATGACAGACAGTACTGCTGCCCAAACAATATACGTATATTTTATGGTATTTATATCAGATAATGGAATAAAATACAATGCAGCTAAATAAGATAAATTTGTCCCACTTGACATGAATATGTTTAGCATACATGCCAGCGGTTGTCCATTTGTATGAAATACATTATAATGTTTATAGAAAGCCGCATAAATACCAAAAACAATAGATTGAGTTATAAATCGAGCAATCATTATATCAAACATATCAGCTGGTATTAATTTGAGACTAAATGTACAACAAGAAAAAATGAAATTTGCTACTACCGTATACCAAATTCCAGAATGTTCATGAAGGCGATGACATACGATTTTTAAAAAAGATGAAGGAATTTTTTCATTCTTTTTAGTTTTTTCAAGGAAATCTGCCGATACAGAATAAAGTGGCACACGTTGCTGTTGCTGAATTTCTTCATTCTTAACAGTCATGCATGATTTTCGTTTTTTTCCTGTTTACTAAAGCTTCAAGTAACGTTGGTATACATACCATATCTGTAGACAATCGATTTCATATAGTTTTACTGAAGAATAACGATGACGTTACGTAAATTTTAGATTTGTGCTCTAAGAAAAATATCATACATTATTGAGAAAAAGAATAAAGAAGAACGTATTGTAGAATATATCGATTTTGAGAAAAGAGAAGAGAAAGATTAGCAGATTGAAATCTCGTTCAGGTGCAAAGTACGATGACGATGTAGCATGCATTCGTAATAAACAATTGCAGCTGATTCTGATAAAATACAGGTGCATGTATCGAGCTTTTATGGTGTGAATATGATTTTTAACCTTTTCCAATCTTATAAAAATAATCAAAATAGAGAAAATAATTACGTGACGAATGACCTTCAACATTGATAAATTTGAAAATATATGGGTAGTATTAACAAAAGCAATCGTTTTCATTTTTTATCCTTTTGATTGCATGTGTCATTCCTTATATTCTCATTTTTGTTTTGGCAAACATTAGTTGTGAGAGAATACCGAATGTCCGTTATTTAGAATTCTTATAATTTTCACAGTTTATAATTATTTAATTGCAAATAAAGAATTACTCGAAGTAAGAATTTTATTGATTCTTAAGTTGTATCATAGCTATAGCAAAAATTATATATGTCTAGAGTTGAAAATCTTTAACCAATAGAATTTCAATATCATTCAGCTATGCTGAATAGAATTAATTTATGTTCAAATGATATTTATCTTCGTTTTATTTTCTAAAGTGAAAGATTCAGTATTGAAATTTTTCTTAACATAGTATATCTACGTAAAACTTAAGGGGCATAATAGAATTATGATTTTCCGATCCATTGTTTATTTAGACTGTGATTTTAGTAGATAAAATAATGAATTCTTTTTATCTTTACTTAAAACAAGATATAGTTTCGCTTATTTGTTTACATAAAAAAATTTAAAAGAAGCACACGTCATCGTATATTATAGTTTGTATTTTATGCAATTTGCATAACGTAAGAGGCAATGCCACAGATATTTTTTCCACGTAAGATACGTATGTATCCTTTTTCACCCCAGCTAGTACCTATGAACAATAATCCGTTGATAAATTAACCTACATGCAATGCATACTTACCCCAACTATTCTTGCATATCCAAAAGAGATCTCCCGAAGCTGTTTTGCCATAACCAACAAGTTGCATCTATTCGAGCAAAGGAGAGGAAAATTTTTATGGCTTCAAGCTTGTATAGTTATTTTCTAATACATACAACATGATCAACCGTGGTTTTTGAACAAGACGGATCTGTATAAATACCTAAAAGATTGAAGAACAATAACGCTTCATAGAATAAAGTCAAGAATCATATGTCTTACCGGTTTGATAAAATTGAAAGGAAGTTTGACTTGCATCGACACCAACATATAATGTCGAGTTTTGAATCCATGCTACCATAGTGTCTTCGTTTTGATCTTTAAGTTTCATAATTATATCAAACTAAAACCAAAGAATCATGAGAGTCGAATGATGGACAATTTTTTTTAAAACTAGATCAGCACATTATGTGTGAACCTTTAAAAAGTATTCAATCGAGTGCTGGCATGAGTTCTGTTTTATTTTCTAAATCAGAAACTGATTCAGATCTTTTTATGAAATGAACTTGAGCACAGTGAAGATATATTGTAATAAGCATAAAAATGAACATACATGAGCAAATGGTTTACATTTATTTGGTATACATTGACCAGTAGGTGCTGGGTAATCAGCAGCACTACATATGCCACCCAATTTCTTGATGCATTGAAAGGGTTCAACTGTTTGAGGACAACAGTCATCGACACGGCCAACACTACCACGTACAAGTTTTCCTTTTTGAATAGCGTACAAGCTTTCAACAACTTCTACAAAATTTGTTTTAAAAAGGAAATGAGTTTAATTAATAGTTTGCTATAAAAACTTGCCCACGGCAACGACGGCCTCAACGTTTCCTACAGGACCTTGATTTTCGACTGGAGAAATCACACCTTTTGTGCGCCAATCAAATGAGTCCGGAAAATTGATGAAGTCGGAAGAACTTTGCGTATTTTCTGGACGAGGAACGGAGTAATGTTTTGAATGAAGTACAAGCTCCTAAAATAAATGAATCCTATGCACTTGGATATCTATCTATATATATCATGCATTCTTTTCATTTACGTCTATACGATGGTCGGCCAAATGATTGATACCAATTTTGAATGTTGCATCTGGATGAGCTCTTTCATAGTCGCGCATTCGATTTACATTTTCAAGAAAGATTTGTTTACGTTCTGCTTCTTCAGCAGCTGTCTTATAATTCTTATTGAAACTACGTTTAAACTTGATCCAATCTAATGATGGACTACTAGTTACCACACAGAACAAAACAGAGAAAATGATTAACTAAGTACGAACACAAAAGATAAATTTCATTTATTGTATTCTTAATATGTTACATATCATCAAAAACTTACTTTTATGTGCATCCTTTTCTTTTATTATATATGTCAACAGATGCTAGATGCAGTCGATATGTTTATATATATATATATATATCGCTTTAAAATAAATATTTGATAAGATAATAAATTAAAACGCAAGTAGTGCTGAAATATGATTAGATTGCGTCGTGCTAATGATAGTAATCATTTTCTTATGACAAGGCACATTATAGATACTCGTGAAAGAATGAAAACTTTTTGACGTCAATAGCTTGAAGTATTTAACTTTTCTGATTTGTAATTGTCTCGCCAATGGTTATCGCGACTAGAAACGCCTGTTAAATCAGAAGTACTATTGAACTTTGAGCTACTATATCATTTAGCAATTTTTTTATTTTATCTTAAATAATATGCCTTGTACAATAGTGTTCATAGTAAATTCTATTCGACAAGAATTTTTCGAAATTATTTAAACACTCCAGTCTAACTTCCTGTTCGAGCGTTTGTGTGTGCATTCAAAAAAATACACAATTCGATTACTATCCTTAGTAATGATACGCAGGTAGCAATGCTTAAAAAGACAACTTTTTCACCATCAGAATGTTTGATAAATGTTGTAATACATTTTTTGGTATAAAGCAATCATTGAACACGTCATAGTTATTTGTAAAAGACATTAGAATATTATGTACTCACAGTTGTACGCGATTCTCAGATACAGATGTTGCTTTTTTGAAGTTTCATTTCGTATCTTGTATTGTGACAGTAACTGTTTTTTTATGTTTCCTTGAATGAATGTCAAAAAGTTCAAACACGAACCAAATCTGGAGCGTTTCATAGCATCTTCAAATCTTCTCATCTGTTTGAGTAATTTCAGTATCATCTACGAAGCTTCAATGATTTTCTAACAAACATTAATTGTAATATTCTGACACTCATAATTTTGCTTTTCTTAAAATTATCAATAGCATAGTGAAAATTCATGTTATACTTCAAAAAGCTTTTTGAATAGAAGTTACTAATTTCTAAAATAATTGCAACAATCAACCAGCATATTTCGTTACTATTTTTTTTCCAGTTTATATAAAGAGTAATATTAGTATAAGCCATTAATAGGACCGCATATGCCTATAATTATGTAGCGGTCTTTTTTCCAAATATAAGCTGTATACGCACTAGTCATCTGTTGAGAGAAGAGAACGTTTCTAACGTAAGGATTTATGCTTCTCTTCAATTGAAAACATTTTACATGTATTGTCAAACGTAAACAAGAGAAAATTAGTTTTATTATATTTTCTTTTTAATATTTGTTGCATATACAATGTATTTCATAGTTTCCAAAACAAACAAGAATGTCGAACGATCCTATTTTTTTTAATTTAAAAAGAATTGAGTGCATAACGAGAAGCATGTACAACTAAATAATGTTGTCGAGCCGAACATCATATTGTAAAGTCTGCGTAAAACATTGTCGATTGTCTACTCCGTTCTATATTAACCTTTTTATTTTACTCATCGCATCAAAAAGGATAGTTTTTTTCCACAAATAATTTATCTTTCATGACAAATACAGGCATTGAAAGAGTTGCAACGTCAGTTACTTTCTCTATAAAAAAAGAATCGGGTTGTCATTATGATGTGTCTTGTTTCATCCATTGATTTAGTTTGCAGAAACAAACATTTTCTAAACATCTTTTTCTTTTAATGTGATTAAATATAGACTATTTATGAAATAAATAATCTAAGATCACAATAGAAATAAACAAAACAAAACTTGAATGCCGATCGGAATAGATTGAAAATAATTATATCACAGATAGATAGATTTTTATTAGCAATTCTCGTGATCAATGCTGTTTGTCACCGGCTGCCGAATCGTGAGAGTTGTTTGATGAAGTATCAGACTTCGATGTAACTGTAGGAGTATTTGTTCCTAAAAGCAAATGGTCAAGATGTCAAATCTGGTAAAATATAAATTAAAAAGCAAATCGATTTTATCGTACTGATGAACAAAAGAAAAATGTCATAACTTACAGGAATATTCAATTGCTGAATTCTTATAATATCTTTCTTACTTGACTGTTTCTTTTTGTGCTTCAATGTTGAATAAATAAGCTGAATGAGATACGTCAAACGGCACGGCGCGCGATTAAAAAATCAATAAATTATGTATTTCATTCAATTGCATCATACTTTTATTAGACATAAAATCATTTAGAAATAGTCAACAACCTTCACGTTCTCAGACGATTTAAATGTTTGACGAATCTTTTTTTTTTATAAACGATAATAAAAGGTGAATCTAATTTGCTGTTAAAAATTCAATTCAAGTATATAAATAAAGATTCAAAGTTGACATTAGCCAATTAAAAGAGAATAAGACTTTTTGAATGAACAGAAAAGACAAATACCTGCATGGTCTGCTTTTTCAGTGTGTTCAACTTTGTCTTGAGTATTAGCTTGACTTTGTGAAAGATCAGATTTTCGTCGCATTGCTAGTATATTAGATTTTGAATTTGGATCTAAGCTTGCAAACGCTCTTGGATTAACAATGGTTCTAATTATTATTGTTACACCAGCAAATTCTTTGTATTCACGTACGTAGGATTCGTCAGATCCTGAGTAAAACAAAGCATACAGAATCATGCGAGACTTTAAACATGACAAGAAGTTTATAAAATAAACACTCGTGCGATGAAATGGATTCTCCTTCCTTAAAAATATTCTTCTGCCGTATCAATAGCTAGTTAGTAAGTTAGTTTCCATTTTTCAAGAGCAACTGTTTCTCAAGAAAATAAGTACAAGAGGAAAAAAATGAGAGCTAAAGATTAGGCAAGCATTATTTTTATTTTTTACAGACCAATGAAAAGTACTCTATACGTGCATGCTTACCTTTATCTTGCCCATCCACATTTTGGTGTTTTGATGCATCAAATTTACGATGCGCATTCGTAGAGACTGAAGCATCAGGTTTTTTAACAGTAGACATACTTTCATTATTTTCTGATTTTTCATTTGTTGCACTATTCGAATCGTGGCGTTTCGTCATAAATTGATTTCTATCGAAAGACGGTTTATCCAAACCTTTACGATGATTGCTTGACGATGACGACATTCTATAGTTGAGCTTGTTGTCGATATCTTAACAATAAGTGTTAGTAGCTATTTTCAAACGTTGTTAAACTCTCTTTATCTGCATACAAATGAAAATGACCATAAATGTTGTTTTTTACTTTACAGTAATGAGACTTTAAGAGTATTATAAGAAAAAATAAATAAACGGAAGTCGAAGCAAAGAGGAATTAAGTACCATTGTTTCTCTAATATAGTTGACTTAAGTCTTTTGATAAAAACAAACGATATATTATTTGTTGATGTTAAAAAAAATTCTAATTAGAATGGTAGAAAATATATAGTGATATCGCTAAAAAAACAAAAAACTTTGAATATATCCTATATATATATATATTCATTAAACTGAACAGATGAATGACGCCAATATTGCCCGATTTTTTCATGCGTGCTTAATTATTATCATCAAAAAAAAAAATATTCTCTTCCGCCACTGATTAATATAGAATAATGATACATCTAGTCTGTATTTGCTATTTTGGATTCTGTTTAAGATTTCCTGGAATAACTTTCATAATCTCACAGTCATGTGTGAAGCATAGTTCGAGTCAAGTCATGAATAATAACTTTTAGAATAAATTACATGTGTACGTAACCCTTTAGAACACAATGATTCATTTTTATTGTTCAAAAGTACATGTACAGCAAACATAGTAATTACTTTGTTTATGCAGCTGGAAATATAATTATATGAATGAATATCAAAGTTGATTTTGCGTTAAATGTTGCGTACCATAAAAACTGATTGTTCGATTGTTGGCGAATCGATTCCTTAAGCATTCAATGTATACCATTGAATATACGTATTCTCATTCAATCTTATAATTATTCAATAACAAGTCATCGGATAGAAGTGATAACAAATCAATTGAGAAAAACAAGAATATGAATGAATGGTTTTCGAACGGTACACAACATTTGTTTGCTAGTGGTAAATTTTTGATTCTTTTTTCGATTAATTATATTGAGATTGTACTCGATTAATTTTCTTTTTTTCTTTACACAGAAAAAGTAATTTTTGTTTCGTTGCCTGTTTTTGACAACAAAATTGATGGAATTTATTTCGACTTAAAAAAACATGTCATGGACAAATTGTAACTTGACAAGAAAAAAGGAGCTGTAACTTTTTAATCATATACTTTTACTAGCATCATTTCTTTGAGCGTCACTAAACATAGATTTGTTACACTTACGTTAGAGATCGTGATTTGAGTAAGTAATTTATTTAAATGCCTCATAAACCTTCACTAAAATGTTATTTCTTGTTTTATTATTTTTTTATCATTGAAGCGTAATGAATCGTGATGTAATACTTTTTCATTTCACGTCATAAAGTATTGCATTAGTATGTTTCGAGTAAATGTTTTTCAATTCTTTTTTTCTTTTGAATTAATTCTACCGATCTCATTGTCCATGAAGAATAAGAGTTAAACAATTGTAAAGTTTATTCGAAAGAAAATTCCTAATTAGACAGAGTTAAATGATACGATGAATTTTATTGTACATATTTGTACAGGAAATTATGTAAATACACATTTAAAAAAAACTGATAAACATTGCATTATGTTCATCCATGAAAGTGTGTTGTTGAAATAATTTAAATAAAACCAAAGTTTCATGGATTCTAGTCATTCTTCTTAGATTTCTCTTGGCAATATGCTGTATGCATCATCAGCTACTGTTGTTGTTGTAGTTGCATCGTTCTTTTCTAGAAAATAATAAACTATTTAGTGAAGATATAATCCTGTTTCGATAATAATCTCGGCTATATTATCATTATTTAAAATAGACGTCATCAAATTTAATATCTAGAATACCAGATAGACAAATCAATTTTTCCCAACCATATTACTTATTACTATTAAATTATATTTATTAATATATTCCACTTTATCAGAAATATTAGCAAGTAGAAAACAGAAATTATACAAACCTTACAATAAAAGAATTCAAAATTTTTTTGTGTACTCAAAAAGTGAGTACATTCTAGAATCGGCCAGTGTCCGGCCGGCCGTAGGCACGATAACTTTCGAAAGGAGAGTCAGATCGTGATGAAATTTTTCACACAGTTCAATCTCATGAATATCTCGGTCGAGTTCGAAGATGAGAAGGATCCCTCAAGAAATGGTTGAGTTATCGAAAAAATTGTCATTTTTGATCAGACCATCGCTGAGGGGGAATACAGGGATTTTTTTTTCAAAAAACAAATTTTCCTCAGAATTATTTACAACATATATAAATCGACTCAGTTTTTAACGCTGATTCCGAATCTGATATTAGTTTTGAACTAAACCGTAGCTTTCTAACAAAACATCGCCTGAAAACGTCTCAAAATGCACAAAACCTCCATCCAGAAATCAAATTGCCTAGTTTCTCATGATAATTTTGATGTTCAGACATTCTAGAATGACTCATATGTCCCATGCACTTTTTGCAGTACACATAACTCTCGGATGAAATCCGAAGTTTCCACATTTATTTATTACTGAAATAAAATGAATTTAATTGAGATAGTTCTATAGTTTTTAAACTTTTTAGTCCACGAGATACTAGTTAATTGAGAACAAAATTATGGTACCTGTATGACCATTTTTTCTACATCACTGTCGTTGTTTAGTTTTGTTGTGTTTATTTGTTGGTGACTTGTGAACATCAGATTTTTTAGTTGTACTGCGAGTACTTGTCTTTGTCTGTGTATCATGTTTTGCTGTTTTTCCGTCTGAGTGTGACCGTGTCTTAGCATGAGGATGCGTATCGTCTATAATTGTTCTTCCATGAGATTTTTTAGCTGTATGACCATGAGAATCATCAGCTAAAGTGTAGAAAGAATGAAATCAAATTTCTCATATCATAGAAAAATAGAATTTGTAAAAACGAAATGATATTGAACCGCCACAAAGATTATTTACGTTATATGAATATCGAGTATCCAGCTGAAAAGAAAACTTTTCTACGTTTGAAACTACTCATGCATTCTATGTTGGGTGAAAATAAAACAAATATTACGTCGTATTTTGATCATTTCTACCTGAACGTGTAATATTTGCAAGTGCATTTGAACTGTTATACTTTTTTGTATCTAATTTACTGTGAGCAATTGTGGGCTCATCAGAAGTAGATTTTGTTCGCGTAGATTTGTTTCCACTTGTTCCATTCTTCGTTTCATAATGTTCAGACACTGGATTGCGTCCACCAGAACCTTTGCGACGTCGAGTAGGTGGTACAGACATTTTTTTTCTCCAATATTTTTCTCAATTAAAATGAAAACTTGTGCTTTTATAGTATATCGTTTCTATGAAATAAATGACGCTCGACTGCCAAACTTAGCAATCAAGCTAATATGATTGAACCTTGCTCAACTTCAACGGAACATATTGTTTTCCGTCGTGATAATAAAATAAAATAAGTCATTGAAACGTAGTTGAGCATTTAAAAAAACTAAAGAAAATGAAGGAAAATGATTGACAATTGAATGTTCTGTCGTGACTTATTAAAATTTATAACAACATATAGTCACTACTTTATTAATATTCAAGAGTTGCTAGCATTACTTAAAAGTCAAATATATTGAACTAGAAACCGAATCGCAAAATATATTTCAATCCTAAATTAGACTAAAGTACTTGCTGTAGCCTTCCACGTGAAATATTTACGGGACAAATATCTTCTTCGCCGATAAAATCGGGAAAAACAAATTACACGTGGAAAATGACGAGAAAATTGTTTGCTCTGAAAATCTTGTATTACAATCGAGATAAGTTTTATTGAATTTTAAAATGAATCAGCTTAGTAACGAACTGATTACAATCGTAAAATTAATATACGTCATCATAAAAGAAAAACGTCCGTAGTGTACGCCTACTTAATCATGATGAATTTTGTTTTTATGAAAATTTCTTGATTCGGGTGTTAGTTGTTTTTCTTTCCTTGTGCGTGACAGCAAATACTTAATTTATGCGATGTTAGTATATTTTTTCTGTTCAACGATCGCGTTGCATTTAATCAACAAATGATATTCAGGCTCGGTACAATATTAAGGTTCAGAGTAAAAACTACTTAAGTATTTTGATTAAATCCTAAAAATTAATCATATAATATCCAGGGAATTCTTTTATAAACCCAGATTGACATCAGATTAGATCACATGTAGAACTTTTCGCTGTCAACCATAGTAAAATAAGGAAGTTTTTCTAAGTTTCATCGTATGACAGCTTGTTTGCCAACAACAACAACAACAACAATAGATTTGCTATACTTGAGTCGCGCATCGTACAATAAAGATGAATAAAAAATGAATTGATCGAATCAGAATTGAAGCCAAATGAAAAGTGTCCGTTAATGTAAATCAATGCTGTTTTATTCGATAAAAAAATGAAAGCCATATTTATTATAATAAAAAAGAAATTAGTAAATAGAAATAAAGAATAGTTTATAGAATTTATTAGTTTTCTATTCGATATATTTTGTCACCTATCGACTTTTAATTTCCAAACATTCATTGAAACGTATATGATGCTTTCTGCAAATATCCGGTTCACAACATGGTAGCAGATTCCATTTGCATAAAACGCAAACACGGCCTTTACTATCTATATAATGAGTTGAATTCGATTGATCACGTCGAACTAAATCTCGTGCTTGATCGATCAAATCATCATCATCTTGAGAAATATCACCATCGTCTGGAGTCATTGCACGTAAAAATGTACTAGATCTTGCACGAGGTATTTCAAAATTAATATTTCGATCTTCTTGAGAATTACTATCTTCTTCAGTTTCACTGGACTCAATCGTTACTGACACCACCATTGCCAATGTAACGCAAATAATACCGACATAGAAATGAAAAGTATTCATAACTGTTACTTTTTTTTATGCATACACACGAAAATGTTTGTCTTTATATAGGTCGATCAGGTATCCTTCGTTTTTTCGTGTAATTACATATGCATATTGCTTATTCATCTAAGTAGACGGATGGACCTATTTTTTTACTCATTCTGTTCTCACTTTTGATTCAACAAACAGTAATCGTATCGACAATATCGAATGCTCGAGTGAAATATCGAGTTCTGATTATTCATGACCTCCTGTTTTTCAAGAAGCTATTGAAATATATTGTACTGAAAAAAATAGTAATAAATGTAGATGTATTTAATCATGCCAACTTCATTAGTCCTTCGCATAAGAAATGAAGACAGTTATTTTGACTGTGTCTACGGCGGTTATATTGTTTTGCAGCATGTCTCGCACGGCACGAGTTTGACTAGACAAATAACAAGGACGCTTCGCGCTTCCACTAATATATACGTATTTATAATGCTTATAGCGCTAGTTCCATTCATTGTTCACAAAGATTTATTGAAGGCAGAAAAAAAACAAGAAATGCGTGAACATTGTTCATAGACACGAACTTTTTTCTTTTTGAACATTGTTAAAACTTCCGTACATATTGCAATAGTTATCACTCTGTATTAAAATCCTAAGTCGTCTTTTCTCTTTCTGTAATATGAGACAGAGAAAACGGAAACGTACTTTTAATTATATTTTTTTTTCTATCTCATTCTCTTTCTTTTGGTTGAAATGAAAGTTGACCGTTCCGTTTATTGAATCAATGACAAGCCATCACATTTTTCTATTAAATAGGTATCAAACAGATTGAAATCTCTATTAACACATGATGATGAGTTTTCAAATAGAAATAAGCAAAACAAAAGATATAATCATTTTTCACGGACAGACCTTCTTCAATTCGATTAGTGATTAGAGAAGAAGAAGAAGAAGAAGAAGAAGAAAAAGAAAGGACTCACACAGAGTTAAGAAATTCAAGAACTGATCACCATGTGGTTCAATCATATTCACATGCGTCTCGTCATTTATTCGTCGTTGTTCTATTTACAGTGCGTGATAAAAATAAGCGCTAGAGATAGGTTGACAATAACACGATAGTCATTCCTTCATTAGGATTGAATTACACATGCGTGTATCTATTTATACGCATGCACGTTTAAACTCAGAAAACATCTAAACTGAAGAGTTTTCTCTAGATTAAAAAAGGAAGGCAAATCTGTCACTATTGATTTATAAGAAAGGAACATTTCTATTCTTCGAATAGTTAGTTTGATGAACGGAAATGGGTTAGTGTAAAAAAGCATTTGATGAAAAGTGTAATGTTTGATTTTATCGACTTGTCGCCGGCATTATTGTTGTTGATGACGACGCCGGCATTTCTTCTATTTTGACCAATTCAGACTATTCGATTGACACATACAGATGGTGAGTGGTCGTTGTCCTCGTCTTCTGCAAAATCAAACACGAAAGCATGCGCTTGTCTCTCGTCTTTACTAAGTAATTGCATTTTGACGATAATGGACACAGGCGAATGTGAGTGTCAAATCAAAACAGGAAGTCGATTTTTCTCGCTTGACTAAAGTGTTCAAGAACATGTTCATCATGCACGTTTTTTCTTCTTCTTCTATTTCAAATAGACATGCAATGTCCACTATTACTACTCTTGCATTTACTACTTCACTAGTGGCATGGTCTAACTAATGGATTGCAAATATAAGAACGAGCAAAAAACATGTCACCGATATCGTACTACTTCCATCATGAATAGAGCCCGTTGGCAATTTCGGACCGTCTATATTGTTATGAATTGTTTTATATGTTTGCATATGAATAGAGTGAGAACAACAAAGAATTCTTAACTGTCTACAACAAGTTAATCAGGAAAAAAGCGAACTTAAAGAAATCGGATCCGATACCAGCCTTGATTTATCTTTAGCGTTTATCGTCTGCTGCAAACATTAGTAGTAGCCTTTAATGGATGAAATGATGATAATAGTTGGACCATACAGACACACATACATAAATACATACACATTTGTGTCTCTTGTTACTTCTTCATTTACTTGCTTGCTGACGCACATGAAAATATGTTGCGCGATTTTTGTTGTTTTAATACAAAACTCGAAGTAGTAGAATATAGATCCGAGAAATAATCAATTATTACCACTTAACTGCTTATCCCAACGATTTATTCTACTTCATTAAATTCTTTTTCCTATTTCTAACGGTCATTATTATGATTATTATTACATAAATTCCATATGTTAATCACAATCTCATATGAGAATTAAATATGAATTAGGAAAGAACCCTCAGGAGGTGTCGTCATTTTCATCCTTCTTCACATCATTATCATTATAGTGATGATGTTATTTTTTGTAAAAAAAAAAGAAGTCTTATGAGAATAAGTCAACAAAATAGATAGCCACTAAAATACAATCTTTCAACTTTACTAATACTACAACTATTACTATCATCAACTCATCAGGGTTCAATTACTCGAGCTTGATCGCTCATGCAGACAATTCATTTTGTCTCTTTACTCATAAACAGTTGAATATATATATATATATGTATACATATGAATGCCCATATATAGCATAGAAAGTATTAACTCATCCACTAACTTGTGTTCTGAGGTAAATTGACATTTAGATGATCTCTTATCGAACAAAACAGTACCAGTAGTCTACTTGGTCAGCAAGATACTTCCTTCCTGATACAATTTTTTTCTTTTCGTTCTTTTCTTGTTCAACAATATTTTTCTTTCTATCCTTTCCTGTCTCTGTCTCTCTGTGTCTCTCTCTCTCTCTCTCTCCCTGTCAATGTTTCTCTCACTCTCAATTCTCTTTTACTCTTTTCTTTCTCTTTACTTACATTTTTTTGTTCAACAGACACTCGTCGATCATTGAGCTCGCATAACTCATATATCAGAAGCTTGTTGAATTGATGGCATTTCAAGACAGGTAAAAATAAAGAAGAGAATCTCTTAGTTTCTACTAGTTTGTACAAGATAGAAAAGCAAAAATAAAAAGGGCAGAAAGAAAAGATCAGGGTCAGAGAAAACAAACGGAATTTATCATCATAACAAAAATCGACAGTAGCAGCAATGAAAAAAGAGAGAGAGAGAGGATAATCAGACCGGAAAAGAAACATAAACGATGCCATATCGATCAGCATCGTTGTCTGTTCTCAGTATTCATTTAGCATTATTGAGAAAAACTAAATATATCTATCAGATAATTTTTCTTGTTATTATTTAGAAAGATCGAAATAATAATGTTACGCTTTTTACTCATCATATTCCTTGTATTTATTTCATCCACATTATCATCACGTTTAAAATATCGTGCATCAGTAAAAGAAAATGTAAATTTATATCATACAATAACATCACTCGATAAAATGTTATCAGTTAATTATCAACAATCAATTGAATTCTTAAATTTAAACTCTCCATATACAACATATTTTCTTGTTGATGGACAAAAACTACGTACGAGCCGTTTAATTGATCGCGAAGAATTTTGTCGTATTCGATTATGTGAAAATTCTCTATGTCATCCGTGTGAAATCGAAATGGATTTTGTTTTAAAAGAAAATGGTCAACCATCTGATATTATTTCATTAATATTAACTGTTGAAGATGTAAACGAATTTCGACCACAATTTCTGGATGTATCATCAAATGATCAAGTTATTCAACTAAACCTTAGCGAAGGCGTGCCTGGTATGTACGTTTGTTACACAATAGGCGACCTTTAATGTATGAGTTTCTGACATTCTGAAAGCTAATTGGGGAGTCTGTGATGGACGGTTTTAATGGGTCTTCTTTTTGTTGCTAAATAGCTTACGAGCCTCATTACGGAAGCAGATGTCTATTTTTTTCCTTCTGTTTCTCTAGTTGGACACGTGTTACCCATTCCAAGTGCTACAGATAAAGATGGTGAAGATGATGAGCTTATTTATTGGCTTGAAAAGACTGCAAAAATTCCATTTGAACTTGTTTCATTTGGATCGAATCAAATTGGTACGTACGAAATAATATTTTTCTTGTCTACGGATAAATGCAGTTAATCTTTTCTTCGTTCAGCTTTAAACGTAACCGAACCGTTAGATCGTGAAATACGTGATTTTTATGAAGTTAAATTAACAGCTAGTGATCGAGGAAATTTAACATCAACAATTCCTATACATATATCGATAAGTGATATTAATGATAATGTACCAGCATTTGATCAACAATATCCATATACAATAAATATATCTGAAAATACTTTACCTTCGTTAACTAAATCATTAATTCGTATACATGCCGTTGATAATGATTCGAATGACAATAGTCATATATCATATCAGTTTAGTCCTCAAATTTCAGAATTAATTCGTCAAACATTTCAATTGAATTCTGAAACAGGCGAATTATTTCTTCTTCAATCACTTGATTTTGAACAATATAAAGAATATCGTATACAAGTAACAGCACAAGATTCAGGTCCGGTATCGGTTCCTGTCTATACGACTATTGTTGTTAGTGTGGAAGATGAAAATGATAATGCTCCGATAATGAATATACGTGTATCAGAATATTTTCATTTAATTAATGATACATTGTATATAAGTGAAGAAACACCATTAAATACATTACTAATGCATATTATCGTTCAAGATTTTGATTTAAATTTAAATGGTAAAGTTCAATGTTGGATTGAACCATCGGAACCAAAATTCAATATAACAAATGCAATCAATAATATGTTCGCGGTTTACACAGAAGAATTATTTGATCGTGAACAACATTCTAATTATTCGATAGTTTTAATTGTTGAAGATAATGGTTTAAAAAATCGTCATCGGACAGTACGTGCACTTCAATTAATTATCACTGATATAAATGATTCTCCGCCCATATTTACTCAACCATTTTATATTGTAACAATAGAAGAGGAAAAAGAATATAAACAAGCAATAATACAAATTCATGCAAATGATGCAGACTTAAATGAAAATAGTCAAATATCATATGAATTAATTACCAAAGAATACAAATATTTATTTAATTTAGATGAAAAAACAGGTGAAATATTTTTAGAAAATAAACTTGATAGAGAAATCAAATCTGAATATAATTTAACCATACGTGCATATGATCATGGAAAATATCCAAAACAATTATCAACGGATGTTTTAGTTTACATTTATCTATTAGATAACAATGAATTTAAACCTCAATTTGAACACAATAAATATATATTTCATAATATTAGTGAAACTATTTCAGTTAATTCATCAATTGGTTTTGTTAAAGCCGTTGATAGTGATAATAATATAATCACCTATTCAATTATATCATCAGATTTAATGATTAATTCTTTGACAGGTGAAATATTGCTACGTAAACAACTTGACTATGATACAAGTCCTTGTATAAATGCTATAGTCGTAGCAAACGACAATGGCGGCTATAATTCTACATGTCAAATTGAAATTTGTCTTAAACCAATAAATGAATTTTCACCAGAGCTTCATCCTGAATCTCGTCTCATTTATGTCAATATTGATAATACAAGTTTAATACATTTAAATGCAAATGATCGTGATCGTTCACCATCAAGCTTTATATCTTATCAATATGGGCAAGTATCAAAATGTAATTTAACATTTTTACATCTATCATCAAATGGAACGATTTATTTAAATAAAAAAGAAGAATGTACGGGTATTATTGATCTTATGATATTAATTAGTGATAATGATCAGTATCCGTCAGCAAAACTAACGAATCAAACAATCCGTTTGATTTTTTATTCAAATTTAACACCACTTAAACAAGTTCTGTCAGAAGCATCCATGTCAATGTTTGCATATAAAAAGTTTCAAAATTTTTCATTGGAAACAATAACGACCGAAATGATTATTATATTTATTATTATTATTATATTGATATTTATTTTGTTAATTGTTTGTCTAATTACTTGCATTACATATCGAAGACGAAAATTATCGAAGCACTTATTAAAACCCACTAAATTACATATCAAACAATCGCCATCGCCTTTAATAAATTTATCTCAGAAACATCTTACCCTTCTCACCTCATCATCACAAGCAAGCAAAGATCGAATCTGTTTTACAGAGGTAAGTAATGTGTGATTAGCTCGTATTTCTATTTCATGATCTAGTTGATTAGAAAAATGAGAAAGAAGAACATCACAAAGCGCTATGTATGCTTGAGTGTGCAATCGAGCATAAGTGTTGTATGACATGATTAGAAACCTCCAGAATTCTTTTATTTTCTTTGACATAATAATAATGATTGCTTAAAATAAGCAACATAAGTTTTACTCATCATACACAAAATATACATATTTGAACGAAACAAAAATAACATTTCAAATAGAATCTCTAAGAAGCTTCTTTTAAGAAGAAGAAATCTTATTCAATCACAGTGGTAATACTTATCGCAGCATAAAAGAGTACGATGTAACACATAAATAGTTACTTTAACCTTGAACTAGATGAGAATCACTTGAATCAATATATAGAATAAGAAGTAAGTTCATTTGTACATTGACCCGATTTTCTTCTCCTACCTAATATATATTGATATGTAAGATGATGAATAAATGAAAAGCATTTGAACAAAAGATGATCGTATCTCAAGTTTCATTACACCAGACAGACACAAACATTCATATCTATTCATATAAACGAAATGCACGTGCCAAATGGAGTCTTCTATTCATTCATTCATTCATTCCCTAATCCATGCAAGATAGAAAATAAAGTCAGTCTGTTAAATGGGATTCATTCATTCATTCTTTCATTCGTTTATTTTAGAATCATTGTTTACTCAGTGGTAGTAGTCTTGCAAATGGTAAGAACTATTTCTCATTTTTCATTCACTTATCAATGCTTCTTTGTTTTGTTTTTCTCTTGCTCTCTATCTTAAACAGACATGAGCACTAATAGTCCTTATACTAAATTACAACAATCAATAAAAACAAATGGAAATAGTGATACAAGTTCATCATACAATGATTCATGTTATGGATCATCTGAAATGGATGTATGCCATCACAATCATCATCATCATCATCAGTCCGTAGGAAATAAATTAGTCAAACAAGACATAGCAATAACGACACCAATGACGGAAACAACAGGCAAAATTCTCTTGTCATCTAATGAAAATTATATCATACTATGTAAAGACAGTAGTGCAAGTAGTGATGAGACTAACTCATCAAGCCCAACCTCATCATCATCATCATCGCCAACAACTAATAATAATAGTCTAATAACAACATGTCAACCAAATAAACGAACAGGGACAACACAGCAATATCGCACACAATTAAAATCAAAATCAGATCAATCAAACAAAAAGATAGATTTCTTTCAAAACGATGATGAATACCGTAAAGTACTGGGTTCAACAGCATCGTTTAATTATCGAAATATTACACCGCTTAACGAATATTATCTATAGTAACAGATGTCATACACATGTTTCTTTTCTTTATACGCCGGTGATTGAAATGTGCCGAATGTCTATATGTCTTTGTCTTTGAAGAAGAAGAAGACGATGATGATGATGATGATCTATCTCCTGCTGTTTTCTACTCTAAAGTGCCATTTTTCTAGCTTAAGAATAAATTAACTTTTTTCTTTTTCTCTCTTTTTTTTTATCTACGTCTCTTGATAATGATCTTTATTTGTATATCGATATGTATTTGTATGTGTGTCAGATGCAATCGAACTTTTGTGTCTTCTTTCGTTTTGCTTTTTCTTGTTGTACATTTGTTTTTTTAATCATTTATTGAAATGATAAACGCTGATTGAAAAAAAAGGACAAGACATGAAGAAAATGTAGATTTTTAATTAAGATTAAAAATGTATGTAACAATTGATTGTTTTACTGCTTTGTTAAAAAAAGAAAAGTCATTTTCGGCAAGATACAAACATAAATTATTACATCATAAAATCAAATGTGTGCTGTTTAAGTTAAATCAATATAATTTCTATGTATGCACATTTTTCTTTCTCCTTGGGGAATAGAAATATGAGCACGGGAATCTAAGAAGTCTGTTAAATGACCATCAACAGCTTTTATTTCTCTCTTTCTTCTTGTTTCTAATGTCTTGTCCAAACAGTACAAGGTCATTACTTCGACACTCATATCAAATCTCAGGGGAATATATTGCTTTTTTTTGGCAGATAGCTAACTTGATCGGTCTAGAAAAGATCATTGTTGAATAGTCATCGATCATTGGCATGTATATGTGTCACTATTATTTCTATACATTTACAGTTATGTATACGTATGTGATCTTACCCTTTTCTATTTATAGAAGATATGCTACTTTCAATATTATTGGCATAATGAATTCTATTGAAGAAAAAAAAGGGCGTCGATTTATTTAACAATCGATTTTTTTTCGATTTATATCTCATCTGATATGCTAAATTTTATTTGGCACGTTAGATGATAGAATTAAAGTCTGATCCGTTTTTATTCTATTTAGTGATGCCTAATAGGGTAATATAGGACAGGTCATTCACAATAACAAGTTATGCAAAGTATGTGTATGTGAATGCGGCGATTGATTGAGATGTGTGGCGAGTCATATATCATTTGAGACGCATACTGTCTACTATCATCAATAGACAAATAGGGTGTCTAGTTAACAACACCTCGAGCAACTACTATAACCAATAATTACACTTTGTACATTGTATGTGAATGATGGACATAGAATTATAGTGTCTGAGTATAAGTGTGAAAAGTAGTGATCTTGGCAGCATCATCCACTTGAAAGTCATCACATTCTTAGTGACAAGCTCTTCACTTACACAAAAACGTATGCTCGATAGTTATTTATAGAATCAAGAAAAACGTGAAGAGCGGCTTTTATTTTCTCATTATCAATAATGCCTTACGGCGTTTGTCTACCTGCTACTTTTTTTCTTAAATAAATCTTTTTTTGTTTCTTTCTTTATACATATACATATAAAATGTAGATAGTCTTCTCAATTAATCAATTACAAGGATTATAACCTCCTGTTACTGACATATAATCTAAGATTATTAAATTCGAACTGGACCAGTGATCTTTCCGCATTAATTAGAAATAGAAATGAAAATGCTGAAGATAAACACACAGACACATAGAAAGAAGTCATGATGTAAGTAAGCACTCTTCTTTTTTTACATAATGGATAAATGCTAACATACATATAGACACACACACACACAATTGAATCAAGCTCTTTTTTTCTCTATCGTTCACATCACAATCGTGTTAGTGACTTTTCCATTTACTTAGCAAACGAAAAAAAAAAGAAATGAAGAAAAATATTAACCTAAGGACATATTAGTTTTTTCTCTGTTCGATGAATACAAAAGAAAGGAAAGAACAAGATTCCGATGTGTTCAGTACACTTAAAAGTGCTATCTTTATTGTCAATAGAAATGTTTGTACCTCCTTGTAATTATGTGAGAAAGTTCTGTCGATTCTTTTATAAATGACTTGCGTGATAGGCTTTTACGTAACACGCGGAAACGCCATCCTTTATGTCGACTAACACATTTGATGAGTTAAAAGAGGCTGTATCTACGTGTATGCATATATATATATATATATATATATGCATGTGTATGTCTGCAACCACGCCCCATTTTAATCATAGTTATTAAATAGACTATATGAAAAAGAATCGATTCATCATGTCACATACGTATAGTGAGATTTTTGCAACTTATTATACATGCCAATCTGAATCTGAAAGGCTTCTCACTGGTCTTTTTCAGCGATGACATTAATCTGTTCGCAGCATCGCCTTGAAATAACACGTTCGTTTACACATAATGTGTCTACGTCGTTTCTTACAATTTATAAGTACACATTGCAACAGGTGGATTCTTTTGATAATGAGAAGTAGACCTATAGTATGATAGATATTGCTCGACATGGAAATCATTCTGACGAAGTGCATACATAAACAAGATAAGAAATTGAACTCATACTCAAATGTCATTCAGAAGACCTAATTATGAACGCTGTATGCTATTTTCAATGGTGATGATGCTGCTGCTATTGCTGCGGTAATACAACTAATTGTATGCGGTGCCCAACGGTCAATAGGCATTAAAAAAGCATACAGCAGACCAGTTGTTCGAACCGCAAGAGATGCCGATCAAATGATGTGTGCGTGTGCAATGATAATGATACAGTAGACAAGTACAGTCGGTGAACTTTTGTATCATGTTTTTCTTCACGCACGCATGCACCGATCATTCTTCAACATTAAGAAAAAAACGATAACATCAATCGGTACGTTGTAATTAGCCACGATCATCAATATCATCATCAACACATCTGCATGCTCTCTCTCTAATTGTACACATGCTTATTTTGGAAACAAGTGTCTAATCTATCTACACATATTGAGAAAATTGATTTGCTTATGAATATCTACTCAATCATCATGAAAATCTTTTCTGTTGCGAGAAATATTTCTAATTAAAAAGAAAACTATCTTAAAAATATATTTGCAATGGATAAATATTTAAAATAATTGTTACATATATTACTCAGAGAACTAGTCGATTAAAAATAATCTTATAGGTACAATCACAATTTATGGATATATTGTTGTAGCTATGTGTTAAACGGTGTTGCATATTGTTAACAAAATAGAACAGCAGTTATCTAAAACACATAAGTTTTATTCAGAATTCTTGAATAAAATGTAACAATAATCATTATATAAGATGACAATAAGATTTAGATATAAATAGTTTTTTTTTATATCTTATAAAATCAAAGTTGATCAAATACAGAGAAAAATCATGTCGTGCGACATCTATGAATTGAATATGGTTTACGAGTTTTGATTTGTTTTTGTATCTTTCTATAAATTGAATAAAACTCATTCAAACAAACAAGTATATTAGAAAGTTGTTGGACGAAACAAATAATTGGGTGCACGAGATGATATTGCAAGATGTAAACATTTTCATTAATAGTTATTTCATTTTAGCATAGTGAAATCTATGCTCTTGTAAAAGAAGTTTTTGAAAAACGATTATCATATATTTCTTGCAAAATTTCTGCTATTCATGAATCCATTGAATCATATCGATATCAGTACTCTCAAACAATATTAGGTTTTTATTTAATTAAATAACTAGCATTTCTTCTTTTCCATAACTTAATATTTTTCTTTAATTGTTTAAATACATTGCATGAGTTTTTGCTAGCCAAAATGATATTATTTATAAACGAGCAAGAAATATACAATGTACTTGTTCATCACCGATTTCTCAAAAATCATGTTGAAATATACATCTTGGATTCATAAGAATTTTCAAGTCAGCGTTTTATGTAACTTGATTGAATTTTAGTCTAATCAGATTAATTGTACTTGGCTTCTAACAATTACTAGACATAGTTTTATTTCATTGTCAATATTAAATGATTTGCTCAGGTAAGTAATTAACAAGAGAAAAAAAAATATGAGTAGAAGAGCATACAACAGGATAATAAATCGATGAAATTAAATGATTTGACTGATAATTTTAAATTTCTCAAAATTCTTTTCTATATGCGTGAAAGTATTTTCTCATGTTGCTGACGACTCGGATATCAAAAGGTAATGAAAAGATTTTTTATATTTTTACATTATCATGATAATATATTGGCATCTGTCAAATAAATATGATCTTCGTGTAGAAACTCATGCAGTTACAAAATTTGACATGAAGACAATATCTAAGTATTTTCTTTTCAAATACGGCACTTATTCACAATTATTATATTATATTACAACATGACCGAATATTTTTTTCATCCTACCATACATAAACCCCTACGCAGAATATAAGCTCACCCCCTGGATTAGATATCTCCGTTGAAAATCACGGTTTACTTCATGAAAAATGGACTAAAATCGATGAAAACTGAAAGGATGAAAATTTCTCTATCAAATAATGCAAAAACTGGCATCGGGGCATGCTTTCTTATAAAATTATAGCTTGCGGAACAGCGACATCACCCATGAGATTCTATTCTATAAGGAGGGGGGGGGTTAAATAAAAAGTGTCTAAAATAGTTCGCATGTTATGCTTTACAGTTGTAGTTCTTGAAAAAATATTTTCTAACTAGCAGATGTATCATTTATAACTAATTATACAAATTACGAAGTAGTGTTTATTCATGCTAAGAAGACACGTCGGAGTTTCATTTTTTCTTGGTCTCATACGTGTTTAACCTATTTTTATTTCTGGCATGGTTTGTGTTGCGTCAACTTAGTAGCTTCGTTTGTGTATGGCTCAAGAAAAGTAGTCAGCAAGTTTAAGATGAGATTCTTAGAATAAAATATATATCGGTATCAAATAAAGTTTGCTCTCTATAAAAAAAAAAGAAACTGGCGTTTTTCTTGGAAGCAATTGGTATTTCCTAAAGAAAGATGACATCATTACCATTCAAGATATCAAGGAGAATCAATAGAACATGAGCAAAACACATGGCATATCATTTTTCCTTATCAATGTCAATGATTGCTTTTGGTGCACATGAGTGAAGATGAATAGTCACATTTGAAACAATGATGATAAAATTCAAATTATGCCGTAAAAATAAGTGTCGAAGCTCTGAATTCTAGTAGAAGGACTCACGAATCTAGGATATCGATTCACGATACAAGCTGTTAAAATAAATTTTACAGTTATTTCCTATTAAATATATGTGGCTAGTGATCAAATTAGAAAATCTATCATTTATGCTCAGCTAATAGGAAAATATCTTGTTCCTTGTTCTTTCAGTGAAAGTATACTAGACTCGTCAACTTGAAGAGTATGAATAATCAGTAAAAAAAGATCATGTAGCGCCGATCATTGTTGTGAAAATAGATTTGAATTATTATTAATCGTATATAAGAAGGAAAAATTTAAGACAGTGATATTATTTATCAATAATAGAATTCTTATAGATGTTCTTATTTCTTTTTATTTGAACACATCATCAATCATACAACAACAAAAAAATATTTAGCATTACAGGAAAAAAAATAGAGAATATACAAGCTTTCAATAAATCTACCTATTTAGCTCGAGATTTTTTAGCTGTAGGTTTGGCTGCACGTTTTTTAGCAACTTTAATCATTGCATCTTCTTCTATGTTACCTTCTTCGCCGTTGTCATTTTCACCTTCATCACCATCTCCACTATCTTCATCGTCATCTTCATCCAAAGCTCCTTTTGATTTTTTTAATTTTTTCATATCAATTATTGAGTACGGTGTTCGATGACTTGTTTTGTTATAAATACGTGTTAATGAAGATTTTGTTTGTGTATCAAGCTGATCATACGGATTTCGACCTGATTTTCCCCATGTATTTAATTCCATAATTGTTTGAAAATCATCTTTATTAAGATAGTATTCATCGAGTAATGCAATACATTGTTCAACGCCTTGCTGTTGAGATTGTTGTAAAGGTTGAATAAGAATTTTACCCAAATAGGACAAATAATCAAGATTAAATTGTTGTTTATTAGCAGATGCTATTTTAAGACAAACATGCTTTTCAATTTCATTTAGTAGTCGGTCATTTTTATTTGTTCGAGATCGTTGACCGAAAAATGATGAAAAATTGACCATGCCACGAAGATGACCACGAACATATGAACATGGCGCAACAGTTGAAAAAATTGCCTTGAATAGTAATAAAAGAACAAAGTCAATTGATAAAGTTGTTAGGAAAAATGAAGAAATTATCGTACTTGATATGGCAATAGAGACCAATTTTCATTTCTACTATAGATCATCTGTGAACATACATCACCGATACACATATTTTCAGCTGCTTTTACAAGTAAACTTAAATTTTCAACATCAGTTATTTTCCGTTTTCCACTGTCTGAACTTGGTAATGTTGGTTGACATTGTAAATAATTTTCTTGAATTAATAACGGCATTAATTGATAATCGAAGAAGAATATTTCGATTTTTTCGGATAAAGACTTATGCCGTAAATCATCAGAAAATGATAATCGACATAATTCAAATGGATTATTATTAACTGCTTTGTCAATCATTTTAGCTGCTTTTGCATTAGTTTCACCTTCTATTGCCCATAAATTTAAAGAATGAAGTGTTTGTCGAATATCTTGATTACACGATTTAATAATATCATCTAATGTTTCTTGTTTTATTTGATGAATATTTTCTCGATGAAGAACAGTCATCATTGCACCACGAATTTGTTGTACAGTTGGACGATAAAATCGTAAATCGTAACAATAATTAGCTAACGAACGTATTTTTTTATGTTGCCGATCATTGCAAATACAGATAATTGGTATACGAGTTCGTTTTATAAGTGCAATAAGTTCTTGTATACCACCACGATCTTCATTACCTGCTACACCATCAACTTCGTCCATGATTAAAACACAATTAGATAATGATGATTTATTAACAAAAGAAGCAACACTATGAGAATCACTCGAAAGAGTAGCTACTAATTTTTTTGAACGTTGATCTGAAGCATTCTTTTCAATATATTCAAGATTTAGATGTTCACAGACGAGTTGAGCAGCTGTTGTTTTACCTAGAAGAATTTAAATTGAATAAAATACGAATATTTCAAACATAGTAAACTAACCGATGCCAGGTGGACCACTAAGAAGAGCAGCTTTGAATAAAGCTGGATCTTCATTACGATTAAAACCAGTGGACGGTTTAGCTTTTATTTTTTCATCACTACGTCCATGATGCGTATACCAATCACGTAACCAGACAGTCAATTTTTGAACACAAGATTTATCACCTTGCTGTCCAATTAGATTTTTCATTGTACGAGGCCTATATTTATCTGCCCCTAATAATAAGAAAAAAAAGAATTTCTATGAAGAAAAAATCAGTGCTGCTTCTAATCAATACATACACATGAGCGTTGATTCATCTATTGATAGTTTCGGAGTTGTTGGTGTATCATTTTTTATTGAAGGAGGCGTAGATAAACTAACTTTAGCTTTATCTACATCACCCACAATAGTAATAGATGTTGGTTTCGATTTGACCGGCGATGGAGGAGGTCGTGGTTGTTGTTGTTGTTGTTGTTGCGAATTTGAAGCTAAGACTTTTTTGGGCGTTTTATCATCGCCTGGACGTGTTGCAATCATTTGTAGGAGATCATCTTCTGATATAATTTTGACTTTGTGATCTCGAGCCTTTTCTAATTTCGATTCACCTCCATCACGGCCAACAATAAGATGTGTTGTTTTACTACTAATCGATCCTGTTACTCGACCACTATATTTTTCTATTAGACTTTTACATTCATCACGTTCTAGAGATTCAAGTATGCCTGAAATAAAAACGACAACAATCAACGATTTTGATGTTTACATTTTTCAAGAGATCCAATTTTGTTGTTTTTCATCTCACCAGAAATCACAAATGTTAAGTTTTTAAGACAATTCGGTGCTCCATCTGGAATTGTTTTGGAACCAGGAGCATCTGCTCCACCTCGATTCATAAAGTTCTTATAATTTTCCACTCGACGCTTCTTTTCCAATGGATCGATGTCATCAGTTTTCAACTTTTTTTTCGGTGTTATACTATCAAACTTTTTAATTGCAATAACATTCTCATCTACAGGTTTCGGCTTAGTTGTTTGTGATTTGTGGCCAGATGTTGGTATAAAATTATCTTCATCGTCATTATCCAGTTGTTCTCGTACTCGCTAGAAAATCAAAATAAATAATCAAAATAAACTAGGATATAAATATCAATGTTCAATACTTTATTATTGCTTGATGGTGATGCAATTGAACCTTTTTTGAAGAAACTTCGAATATCAGTCATGACGTTCAAACGAAGACTTGAAATGACTTTGTGTATATTTTCACGACTAAGAATAAAGTGATACTGAGGAAAAGAAAATGTCGTTACATTCTATGATACGATACTTTATTTTGGAAGGAAAGAGACTTAAATAATGAATAAGCAGATAAACTGAAATAGCCAATCGAAGGGCAAATTCAATAAAAACATATATACATACTATGTGGTTATATAAGATAAGATATAGTCACACAGCACACATAGAGCATGGAAACGTGTGTATTGTATATTTATATATGTATGGTATCCTTGTTGGTGTGAACCAATCAATTTCAATTCCACATTTCACTATTTTTTATCCAGCTTTTAATGATGCAAGTCAAAAGATATATAACTAATTTGAATAAAAATAAATAAAACTTCTATCAATTTTTGAAAGCAAAATTATGTTTGCTCTTCGAATATACTTTCGATGCGTCAGATAAAAGGTTCAAGACATTGTTATTCAAAAGTTTTCCACTCATATCTTGTTCATAGCAGAAATGCCAACCAAAACGTTTACTGACTTTAGCATAAGTATGGACAAAAGTTGATTGACCAATATTTTTGCTTGTTCGAATACAGTAAACTTGTTTACTTTGCATCAATGTATCATTCTATTCTCGACAACACGTTTGCTATTGAATGGGATACTAAAAAAACTCAGTCCATAATGATACTTTTTAAGGCATCTTTACTTGGGTAGTCTTTCATACCATCGAATAACTAGTGATTTCAGCATGAACAGTATACATAATAAATGCGCAGTCTATAGATAAGACTAACACCCTTTATTTTATGTTGAAGAATGTGAAAATAAGAATACCATATTAGAGCCAATTTTTGAACGATTTCAGATCATCCAAGAAACACTTATATCGTTTCAACATACAGCGTCATCTGGCAATCTTGTTAAAATCTATTACTTGCCAACGATGATTCATTTACTTCGATTTATTTCTCTCAGCTCAGTGACTGTTAAAGTAAAAAAAACATGAGAAGGAAAATATTTACTAGTATGCGTATTTTCAGTTACGGAAATTTGTGAGGATAAAGAAAGCGAGATTAATTGAAAAATATAAAACATATCATTCAGAGCAGCTGGGTTCTTGGAAATCATATCTATTGATATTTGGTTACTACAGTTAACGAAAATCGTGAACTCTTTTCGATTCATACAAACATTCATACTATTTCATCAGTATATTTTAATACATTATTGAGCTTTCTTTTTTTCTATTCTCGTTTTGATTAAAGTCAATTATGCTTTGCCATTTTAGTATTCCGTGTGTATCAGATTCCATGGCAACAGGTAGTGGTAATGTTGGCTCGAAAGAAACAACGAATGTTTCATTTGTTTCATGTGATTTTGAAATATTTGGAACTGTTCAAGGCGTTTTTTTTCGTAAACACACTCAAAAAGAAGCAACAAGATTAAATCTAGTTGGATGGGTTAAAAATGCATCAAGCGGTACCGTACAAGGTCATATGGAAGGTCGAAAAGATGATATTAATAAGATGAAAACTTGGCTTCGAACAATCGGAAGTCCAAAATCGAAAATTACTAAAGCAGATTTTTCAAACGAGAAAACAATTACACAACTAAATGGAACATCATTCAATGTTAATAAATAGAATAAATTTGTAAATGCTATTAATAATCTCAGAGTTTTTCTTTCACCTATTTCTATTTGTGCTCAGTAAACATTTGCTATTCAATAATAAATGTTCATTACGGGTATTTGAAATATCCATTTCCAAAGTTTAGTTTTACGTTTGGCAATACAGTATTGATATTGTTGAGTAAAATGTAACTAAAAAATATATGATTCATTTTTTTAAGCTGATGAATTGTTGGAGCCAGTAGCTGAAGTTTATCCATATGAAACTGGGCTATGAGAAAATCCAGTTGAATAGAAATGACAGTCAACACAATTATAAGCTGCTGTAATTTTATTTTCGATACCTACTTAAGTGATTGCTTCAAATAATATTTTATCTACAGTTTATCTCGCAGACCTGTAGCAAGCACATTTGGTGACGGATTGATTATTTCGAACGATTGATTGACCTGCCATTGCTTGACAAATAAAAACTTTTGATGCATCTCATGCAAAATCACTGGAATAATCGCAATTAAATGAAAACAAAGAATTATGCAAAACAGTTGCTGGATCATTATCAATTTATAGTATCTGAATTTACTGAAGATATTTATTCTCATTCAGAATAAATTGTTCAAACAGGTAAATGTTGATCCTATTTCGACTGAAAATAGATACGAAACAGTTTTATGACTACAACAACAGCACCATTCTTTGAAGATATATGTACAGATAAAAGTCTCAAAGCACTTATTATCTTGAATGATTTATAACAACAAACTAAACACAATAAATTAAACTATAATGAATGCATCAAAAATAGACATCTTCAACTTCATCTTTGTTCAGATCAAAATGATCTAATTGTGTTGACATAAAAGATTCGAAGAACAGAAGCTCGAGAATATTTTTCAGTTAATCTATTGGCTAAATGAGGCAATCACTGAATCATTTATTCTTGAAGAAAAATAAAAATTATAAATCCTTTGTATCTTTAATAATAATGGCTATATTGTTGGGTTAAGAAGATCAAATCGTTTATTATTAATAATAAAACATTTGAATATAGTACAAATGAAATTAAAAACTGTCATTAAATTCTTTTTCAGGTTGTGTTGTCTGTGTGGGTGTAGCAATTTTTTGTATCGCGATTACTCGAATACCATCTTTAGGTGCAACAACCATGATTTCTTTTTGTCGTGTTCGAAGACGAAGCGATATTAAATTATCTGTTGGACAAAGATCCCGTATGGCTGATCGAGCCATTTCAGCAAACGCAAGTAACTTCGGAGTAATCATAAACGTTACATTATTATCAAGTGATGTAAAATCAAGTTGACCTTCTTCATTTGTTAAAATAATACCTTCAACACTCGGATATGCTGATAATCGTTTTAATATTGCTTCTTCAGTTGGTAGTAAACCTATTCGATAGAAATAGATAGCATTTAAAAATTGAGTTTATCTTTCTGTATATATATATATATATATACCCGTTGTATTATCCATTTATCTATGTTGGATTATTGAGATTTTGTTTTAAAATGTCTATGCCGTTGACAAGTGAAATATCAACAGAAAAAAAAAGAGAGAGAATAAATGATAAAAATTCTGTTACAAATTCTCGTTGGATAAGAAATGAGTCCGTCTATTTGTTTGTCTATGTTATTCAAATACAGAACAACACAAAATAGACGTATACGTGTGTGTGTGTGCGGGTGGTTTAGGAGAGGAGAAGGAAAAGGATGAGGAGAACTTTATTATCGCCAAACACACACTCATATATGCCCGTTTACGTTAGATACACTCAACATTTTTCTCAATAAATGATTGTAATTCTATGTAGACAAAGTATTCTTATCGATTAGTTTGACATGAGAGAATAAAATAGTTAAAATTACTTCCATTTGTTGTTATGAAATAGTACTATTATATTTTATTTCAACACCGATTGTAGCATAAGAAACGATTTAAACAGAGGAAAAAAGTAGCAGAAAATATTCTCAGACTAAGAGAAACGAGAAAAAATTGTTGCGACGTATTTCTTTCTTTTTTGCTTTTTTTAAAATATACTCATTGTTCACAACTCCGACTAATGCTTTGATGACAAGTATGACACTATTAAAATAAAAAAATAGATGGGAAAATGAGCTTTTTTTTAATAGAAACACAGGAAGAATTTATTGCTATTAAATACTATCTTCAACATTACTATCGATTAAAAGTCGAGCTTTTTTGTTTTCTTTATACAATCATACGAACAGAATAGGTTAACAATACATATCAATATTTAAAAAGTAATGATTGACTTGGGATTACTTGATATCATTGCTACTCAAATTTCAATGCCATTGGAGTGTCTAAATTAGTATTATACATGAAGTTCATATTACTACATAAAGTGAAGTGTTTCATTGAATCGATTATTGTGAGAAAAAGATAAAAAAAAAAAAGCTCAAGTCGTGTAATATTAAACATAGCCAGTCTTTTTTCCCCCCCGATAAATTGATTGAAATTGAAATAAAAGAAATGTGTAATATTAAAAAATAAGTAATTCACGCAAATTCTTCATAAGCATTATACAAAGCGATCAAATGATCTGTTCCTTAGATAAACAGATTTTATTAGATAAGAAAGATTTTTTTTCTCAAATAGTGACGTTATATCATTTGTGCATGAAATCAACATGCTTCAATCGGAAGATAACAGAGATTTCACAGACATCAAAAGTCATCTATTATTAACATACTTTAAATGTGGTTCTGTCAAGCTTGTCATATGCTTGCAAGGCTATTTCCAAAGAATATAAAACAATTTATTTCATACATTTTCTTCATTCTTCAAGATGTTACATGTTTCTGAATAGTTGAATGTTAACACTACAAGGAAAAAAATCATTGGTCAATGATAGAAAATAATCTTTTGCCATCTATACATGATTCTGGAGATGAACTATTTCTTACAGAAAGAATAAAATTCTTTTTTCTATGCGTTCATCAAAAGTTTTCATTAATGAGTTGAAACAAAAAACAAACAAATAGAACTATTAGTGTTCACATTAATGTCCAATATATTCTAATTGAGATTCCTTGGTATACCTTTTCTTCATGTAGAAAGATTTCACTTTTCATTTGAAATTTATATCTGTTAAGATTTATTTTTGCGAATGTTAAAATAGATTGAAGAAAAAGAATTTTAGCGAGAAATCATAACAAAATTTACATATGAATTCAGGCAGAAAAATCGAAGTATTTTCAAAGTATGTGGTTAGTTATATTTGTCGACTTTCCGAGTTTAATTGATGCTCTTATCAAAACATATTTCAAAACAAGAAGATCTTACAGTAAGTATCTTGGTACTATCATATCGACATTTTGAATATATTCCGAATAAACTAACACAATAACTATTGTGCGATGAGAATGAAGATCAACACGAAACGAGCGCATCAATGAACGGAAGAAATAGAGGTTTTTGTTTCGAATCTATTAACTTGCTGAGTAACAGTGGCCAGTAAGTTTTAGGTTGTTTTGATCGAATGCCCAAGAAATTGTGACATACAGTTTTAAAACGAGAAATGATGTCCTGAGGGTGTATTTTGTTTACCAAAAAAGATAAGCTAAGTTTTTGGATGGTTCCTCTCTTTGAACGTCTCTAAGCCACCAGCACCCATAAGATCAGTATCAACACCCCGTTTCACTTTCGTATGTAAAAATTAGGAATACTTCACCAAATTCTTGAGGTGATTTCATACAATTATTACTCAGTGACTATTTAAAAAAAACAAGATACTTCCTCTGTATTCAAATGAGAACAATGCTATAAAATGACTAGTCAATTTCGATAGCAGAAGCGAACCTTTATGTAATGAGTAATATCTCGAACGATTCTGAGTTCTCTGATTACCTTCGGAATCGGCTTAATTTTCTCGAATACTTCTTAGTTCTTCTTTTTTTTTATCTTAAAAACGTGCTCATAATTAATCACAAGAAACATACAGGTATCGTTTAAATCTAAAATCCGTCAGAACAATTTAAAAAATAAGCACAATAGCAAGTGTGAGCTACGTAATCAGATGGTTATTGCATCATAAAGCTTTTATATTTCAGACTGATGAAGCTTTGGAAAAAATATATTCTATTCAGTAGTTCTAGTTTTCTTGGTTGTCTGAGCACGTGCAATACAGTTTTCTCCCAATCGACATTGCTGATGAAATGAAGGAACGCTCATTTGCAGACTTTCATCACATTTAATAGATGACCATGAACAGTAATAAAATAGCATTTCAGTATCAATCCAAAAGTTGCTTCAGTATTGATGAAAAACATTGTGTATTCTGGATCTGTGACTAGTTAAACAAGAAATGGCTATATATCTTGATTTTGACAGTGACTACTATTTCAATAATAACTACTTCAACAAACATGCCGGATCCATAATTTTGTACGATCTATGCGAAAATCATTCTAGAGACAAAACTGGTACTGAAAAAAGTAATTTAGAAAGTAATTTTCAATCGTAGTTTGATCTATCATTGATTGATTAGTATTGGAAAGGTTAAATAGATAGGTATAAGAATCATTAATGATCTATACGCCTGTATGTCCATAAGCACTCCAAATCATATGCAATTGATTGGTTTAGGAAAACTACTGAACAACAATTTTTGTTTCTAATACGTTTTAATTTACATTTTTACAGTATCAATCAACAAAATTTTAGCGTCCAATCTGTACCATATACTTTTATTGAAATACTAAATTATTTTCTAAAATAATTCTCCTATGATGATTTTCTAATAAATTTTATGATTGATATAATAAAGATTCATTGATTTGTTGAGTATTCAGATTTTTTCATGCAAATATTGCATCGTTTTTTTTCGAACTCCATTAAAATGAATAAACAATGAGATTTATAGAAATGAAGAGTAACTAAGCAGCTAAATATGTACTAAGATTGTGATCAACTAAATCCTTCTCCTATTGATCTTCATCGTTTTCGACTAATATCATGACAAATTTGCATGGCAACTCTTCATACAGATGTTCTCTTCAAACGAACAGCTTAGATTCAATTTAAAATGTTGTCTTTCAGTGATGTCATTTCTCTTTCTGTAGAGAAACATAGTTCGTTTTTCGATAAAATACTTTTGTATTTTGCAGAAATAAAATTATTTATTTAAATTCAGTAAAGAAAGTCTAATTATTTTGTTTTCAGTCAAAAATGATTATCACTATTTACGTTTGGTGTTAGTCGGCAATTGTGATTGTCTAAATGTATGATTTTGTGCTGAAGGTGCATTTTGTTGTCTATCTGGAGTGCGATTATATTCACCATGAACAAACCACTCAGGAGCACCAAATACATGTTGAGCATTTTTCTTTTGTTGCTCAAAATCATCTGGATTAACTGGTTCTGGAATTGGTTCACACATAGCGTCCCACCAAAGTGGTCTTGGATAAGGGACAGGTTCTTTACTTTTACGCGTTGCTGGATCAATATGTACGAGTAAATTACTACTACCACCTAATTTACATCGACGAATATAATCTGAATCAGTTTCTCGAACATAAACTGGTTTCGGTTGATTAATAGTTGCCTCATCATCAAAAACGCCATTAAGATAAGGTATTTGCGATGGAGGAGGAGCAGTAACTAATTCGCGATTACCTTTCTTTAGAGGTGCATGAATATACCATACTTCATCTTCGGGTTTTCGCCGTAAATAGGACATATTTCAATTTAAATAGTTAACAATATTGAAATTAACATGAATAGTATATGTTTCAACTAACTTCGCTCATAGTCGAAACTATCTCCGTATCAATATCCTCTACTCAAATTATTTTCATAGATGTCAGTCTAACTTTGGAAACGTTTTCTAAAATGGTGGAGTGTTTTATATTATCCAACCGATTTAAATTGATGATATCATCAGGTATTGATTGGTTATCGCAGTTGCGATTCAAAACGACAAAAAAAAATACAAAATATAAATCGAACTAAAACAATGGAATCAATATCAATTGCCAATGGTATTGGTCATCAAATCGAATCATCTAACAATACTACAACGATAGATTATCCCAATCAACCATCAAATCAAAATCAATCTGCACTAAAATTAAATAATGACGCAGAATTAATATTAAAACTTAATAATCTACTACTCGATGATGGAAACGATTCGGAAATATATTATCATTCATATAGATCAGAAAACGAAATGTCATCTATAATGTCATTGATAAGTGGTACATTATCTGAACCTTATTCTATATATACCTATCGTTATTTCATTCACAATTGGCCAGATCTATGTTTTCTATGTTCAAATCGACAAACAAATCAATTAATTGGTGCTATTGTATCAAAATTAGATTTACATAAAAAAATTTTACGTCGCGGTTATATTGCTATGTTAGCAATCAATGAAGAAAGTCGACGAAAAAAGCTCGCTTCAAAACTTGTTCTTATGAGTATACGAGAAATGATTAAACGTGGCTGTGATGAAATTGTACTTGAAGCTGAAGTAACCAATAATGCTGCATTGAATCTTTATGAAAATTTAGGATTTTTACGTGAAAAACGTTTATATCGGTATTATCTAAATGGTGTCGATGCTTATAGATTGAAGCTTTGGTTACGATAAAAAAAATAATAATAAACTGATCTGTTTTTCTTTTGTTGTTGTCAGATATATCTTTTTGTTGGATAAACAAGAAAAATATCGTTTATATCGATTCATTTAACAAATTCCTAACATGTTTTCAACATTCACACGATCTCCATTATTATTATTATTATTATTATTGTTATGGTTTCTTTTTTTAGTATAAATTTCTAACAAAATAATACTTTTTCTTTTTGATTGTTACACATTTATTAATTTTTATATATAGCTTCAATTTTGTTTTGTTTTAGAATTTATAAACATACATATAACGTCAAATAAGATAAAGGTAATATTGCTTTTGTTTTGTATTTCTTTGTTTGAAAACAGATGAATTCTAATAGTCTAGATATTGTTAAGGAATGTTTTTCCTATTGGGTATTTCTATAGCAAAATATTTACTCTCTAAAAATAATAATGATATATATTCTTATACGATATTTGTTAATAGAAAAAGATGTGTTTATTAGGAAATAATAACGTTGATGAAAATTGACACATCTGGATCCTTAAAACATAAAAAGCAAAGAAAAACAATTTTCTACTAACGAATAATGTTATTATCTTCATATAATTAAAGATAGAATGCATAAACTACAGTTGTTATTTTTCGAAAAGTTGTAGTAACATGGAAATTTTCTTCCATGATCAAGCTATTGATTTTCGAATCTTTATATATTGGATTAAAAATTTATTTTGACATTTTTAAATTAGGTTGATAAATATGTTTTCTTCTTTCATAAACGTTTATCTAAGAATACAACGTGTCAATTGATGAAGTACTTTTTTCAGCATCGATTATCAATTATCGACCAGATGGATTTTTAATTTGATTGTAAGAAATGTCCTTAAGTCTTTGACATGTTGCTATTAAACGAAACTTGCTTTCCTGATTAACTAATATCTTGTTCAACATCAACATAGATTGCAGAAATGACATATAATATAAAATAATATTATGGAGAATTTCAAATTGTATTGTTGTTATGTGTAGTTTAGTCGATAGAGTATGATGACCAAGGGGGAACGAACTGATTTCCAGGCATAGAAATCATCATAAATTAAAGGATGTGAATAACGACTCAGTTGTTAGAAATTACAAGAAACAAATTTAAATAAATTTAAATCACAGAAATTCTCGAACTATATAGTGAAAAAAACAATATTGATTTCTATTGATTACTGACGACTTTTACTAATTTTCTTTGCTTTTTCAGAATGTGCAATATTTTCAGTGATCACTGTTGATTTTTCATAATTTTTCAACATGTATGAAAGTTTCCAATGATTTCTACTGGTTTGCAATGATAATATAAGAACTGATTTCCAGCCATAGAAATCACTGGAAATCATAAGAAATCAAAGAAATCATGGAAATTAAGAAACCACTTTGTTCCCCCTTGATGATGACTGTATTTTTCCAGTGGGAAAGTGATTGATTAATTACTCAAAGTGTATAGTTCAAACATAACTTCAGTGTTTCTAAAAGTCTATTTTTGAAATAGTTCTTTTTATAATAAGAACTTTCCATTGTGTTATATATACAGGGAGAGAGAGAGAGAGAGAATCGAAGATTTTTCTCTTTGCTTTACAATTGATTCGAGTAATCTTTTCAATTGTTTTCACTAATAGGAAAAATAATATTCTCTATAATACTTGATCTATTTATACAAATCATCTCAAATTTAATTATCAATACTCTTATTATATCAAAAACAGAAAGATTATACAAGAACACTAAGCGAACAAAGTTGACACTGTTCTGGATTTGTCGTCGTCGTTGCATTTGAGGATGTTGATGTTGGCGGGGAGTTGGTATCAATATGTAGCGGACGACAGGCTCGAAAATTATTCGATATTATTTGTGCTTTATAATCATCATTTAAAATTTCTTGATAAATATGATAATTTTGTTCTGGATTAGAACTTGCACTAGCATCGGTGGCTGATGAACCACTACTATGATAATGAGTTGGACATGTACATTGAGTAGAAATACTTGGTTGATAACTAATAGGTCGTGTGTGAAGAGGATGCTGATGATGATTGGGCTGATAAAAATATGGTTGTGTTGATGCTAATGGTACCGATGTTGGTGACCATGGAATAGTATTTGTTGGAGTTGGACGTACCAGTAGTGTTTCACTTTTTGAATCATTATTTTGATGATATTTTGATGCACGTAAACGGCATGTTAATAAGGATGGACAACGTTTTATTAATAAAATAATGAGAAGAAGAAGAATAAGTACTAATAAAATACCTAGTATTGAACCAATTAAGATACTTTTTGATGGTTCATTTAAATGCCAAAATGGTTGTATTGATTTAGAATCGAGAATAAGCGACGATTTTAATGTTTGTGTCGGTAGACTTGTTGAGAAAAATTGTATTTGTTTACAAAATTTATCATAATCAATTTTTCGAAGTAAAAATAAACATATTTCACCTTCTTCAATATAATCTATTGTATAATTTCTTTGTAAAGCATCAAGTAATTGACTCATTTTGTAAATTGGCGAATTCAAACTTAATTTAAAACCACTTATATCATGACGTTTTAAATTTATACGACGACGATGTTCATCATTTAAATGTTCTTCATTCATCAATGGATGCAGTTCCCATTGGATTAATACATGAGTCTTATTCTTTATTGGTGTTATTACTAAATCAGATATGCGAATTCGTTCTACTATTGTTCTCTCGGCTGTTGTCGTTGCTATTGGTAAAAAAAGCTCTTCTTCCCGAGTGTGTTCAACAAGTTCTTTAACTCTGAAAAAAAAACACATTTCATTAATAGGAAAGTTTCTTTTTTATTATTATATTCATGTTAATGACACTTTGGCTCAAGGGAACAGAGTCGAGGCCGGCAAACATTTGTTTGTGAAGATTAATCACTAGTGACATATATATATAACACAAAAACTTCAGTACTGTCTCTTTTTCAACATAGTTTTTCGGAAAAAATTCAAGTATCTAATGATATGATCTAATTCATCAATATGATTGAATCATAGTATAGAATACATGTGGTACTTAGGTTTCAGTAGATACTAATGTTGTAATTTGATTTTTACTTCTAAGAATAGCTCATATAATTAAAAATAAAAATTCATAAAATTTTGAAAAAATTATTTTAATCTTTAGAGATGTATTTAATTAAATAGTCGTTAATAGGAATACCTAGGTTGAAAAACATTAGATCCTGACCTCTGAATAGAAAACTTACATATCTACATGGATTGGCGTCTCCATCGATGTAGTGGTGGATGCTATCGTTGTTGTGAATGTCATCATTAGTGTTGTTGTTGTTGTAGTTGTTTCTGGTTCTGGTTCTATTTTCATTAAAAATGCATTTTGAGATAAAGTATTTATATGACATGATAATTGCTCATCGGATAAATCAATAAGACTAATATTACGATGATTGGATGGTGTTTGACATTGACCAGTTAGTTTAGTTTTCGAACGAATTAAATCTTGAATAATTTTATATAAGTGACAATCGCAATCTAATGGATTTTTATCGATTTCAAATGTAAGAAGAGCTTGATAAGAATTGATCGTTAATTTGTCAATTGTACGAATTTGATTGAGTCGAAGAGATAAAATTTGTAGTGTTTCATTAAGATTATTTAAAAGAGGCATTAGTGTAAAACTATTATTTGTTAAATCTATTCGAGCGAGAGAGAGAGAGAAAAAAAGTCATTTTCCCTGTTTCTGTTTGTTTTTTTTTTCTTCAAATGTTCACTTACCGAGCGCTTGTAAACGACTGTTTCGAAATGCATTGATATCAATAGATTCAATTTGATTATCACGTAATTGAAGTCTCTCAAGAGACGGTAAATTGGAAAATATTTTTTTATCAATTTTATTTCCTAAATAATTTTCATCTAAATTTAATTGTTTTAATTTCGGTGCATTTAATGATGAAATAACAGATAGATAATTTCGATCAAGTTCAAGAATTTCTAATGATGGAAAAATATTATTTATCGTTGATGACCATTGCGTTAATTTATTTGATGATAAATATAATTTTTCTAAATGTCCCAGACGTGTTAATATAGACAGATTAATATAATTTAAACGATTATTTTTTAATGATAATATTTTTAAATTCAATGGTAAATATAATTGATTAATGGATTCGAGACGATTATAATCAAAATAAAATTCACGTAAATGATATAGATGAATAAGAAATGTTAAGTGTTTTTCTGTTACCAATTCATTGTTACGTAAATTTAAGATTTCAAGTTGAGATGATATTATTTCAAAAATATGTTCGTCTATAGTTTCAATACCTACAAAGAATACAATTCATTTAGAAATAGAAAAGCCGTGAGATCAATTTCAAAATAGGCGGTTAGACACTTGAAGAATATTAGTTGAGTCAATAAAAAAAAACAGTTTTTGTTAAAGATTAATTTTTCGATATATTCCACTCTGTAAAAAAAAACAACAATAGACATTTTACAGTTCTTGTGAAACACTACTCAACTGTTGACGAAAATCTTCGGATTATGTCAGAACATATTTTCAGATGTGCTTTTTCCTAGAACAGCTGTCTTTTATTGAAGACATTAACAATGGAAATACAAATTACAACAGTCAGAGTAGAGAAGAACCCTGAATGACTATAATAAATCTCTGGTTAAGTCATTAATAAATAATTCTTTCTTTATCCTAGAGGAGTACAATCCTATTGGATTCAATATGTATCAGAATCTTTTCCGAATCGCATTCGAGACATACGTATTCGATGGGTGCTGCATTAAAATCTTTTCTAATCGAAGGTTTTTTCTTAATCATAAATGTAGCTTACCGTTATAAGATAAATCAAGTTCAACCAATGAATTTGATGGATGCAATGTTAATGATGATATTGTTGATTGTATGTTTAAATGATGAATTTTATTTTTACTTAAAATTAAAATCTTTAGTTTTTTCAATGATAATATTAATGGAATATTAAAATATTCCATGTGATTTTCTGATAGATCTAATCGTTCTAAATTTGGAAATAAACTAACAAATTTATCAATATCATCAATTTGTTTAATTGAACATGACTGTAATGAAAGTTGAGTTAATTTTCTTGCTGTTAAAGCAATTTTTGCATTCGAAATACTAAACGAATTCGATAAATCGAATGAGCGTAGAAATAAACGTTTTAAATTTGGTAATTCAGATAAAATTTCTATAAATGTACTTGACTTTAATTCGGACGATAATAGTGTTGTCGATAAAATGAGTTCTTCTAAATAATTTGATAAATCAATAAAAGCATTTCTTTCAATTGAATTTAGTGGATTTAATTGAAATTCAAGTTTACGCAATTTTAATCCATTGAAAGCATTTTTATGTACAGTGGATATTCGATTACCGGATAAAACTAATTCATCGAAAATTATATTGCCTGGAAAAGAAAAATATTAAAGTAGAGTTATTTACATCTTGTCTTTTAACTTACTATTATCAAAATCAGGTACAGCAATTAATTGTTTTCGTGCACAATAAATATAAACACGTCCTATTTCAGTTATTGCGCATCGGCATTTTGATTGAATATTAAATGGAATAGGGCAACTAGAAGTTTGTTTAATTAAACTAAATACTTGTATTAATATGAGTAATGAATAATAAATATGCCGAATAATCATGATTATCTAAAAAAAGGAAATGGCAAGTTGAATCCAATGAATGGAGAACTAAAAGAGAAATGAAAGAGTGAAAGAAGAAAGCTTCTGATTGTTCAAGGATTTTTTTTATTCTCTCTTTATACTGATGTTTATTACAATGTATTTTATGTTGTCATATCCTGTTCATCTCTTGCTTACTTGTATTCTTTCTCTCTCTCTCTCTCTCTCTCTCCTCCCTGTTCGTTACGTGTTCGCTACTGATTATGAAACAAGCAGTTACTGCTAAGAGTGCTTATTTGCATTAGCGATAGATGAATTTTGACACCCCCAGCCTTGGCAGTATGAGCTTGTTACTGATCTTATTCTTTTATTCTGGAGAGACTCATCAGAGAATGATTGTTGCGGAAATCGAAGATGACAGTACCTTTGCTAAAGCAAATATATGCTTGTATGCGGACGTTTATGATTGTGTTCAATTAGAACAATGATACATAATTCACTATCTACATAAATGAGAGGGTAAGACGCGAGTGAATGCATGCGCAATGTCCATCGAACTGAGTAAACGGTCAGCGAATGATTATGTCATATGCACTTCGATAGATAAGCATACATTATTTCCTTTCTATTTTTAACGAAAACTATAGTTTCTGTCTAATTATTCTCCGGGAAAAGAAGAAACCTGGTAATTATATCTTTTTTACTCTCAGTAAGAAAGTAAATGATAGATCAATCTTTATATGTGACATCTTTATGTTCGTGGTCAAGCGATTAGTTTTCTTGTGCTTAACAAGGATGTGTCGATTAATGATGGCATTTTCGTACGAAACGGAAGAAGTGCTCGTATACAGACATGAATACATTGCGAATGACATTACATATCAAGAAGAAGAAGAAGAAGAAGAAGAAGAAAACGACGACGAAGAGAACACATCTTTACTTGTTCTCTAGGGGAAACGAAGAAGAAACAGCTGGAAATCAACTAAACTCATCTTGATGTTGATGAGCTCCGATTCACTAGAGAAAAAAGAGAGAGAATCAAGAAACAAGAAAAAAAGAAGCGTACTGGTGGTTTTTATTATTATTGTTATGCTTCTGCTCTTTTTTTTCTCTTAGCAGGTGATCAATTTTTTTCTCTTCAGTATCATATCATTTTTTAACGCCTAAATTAATGAGCCGTTACGTGTTAGCATTAACTCTTCTTTTTTTTTACAGTAGATGAAGGCCCTTTTCAAAACAATAGGTTACATGATGTGATCAGTTGAACAAAAGAGACAAACATCGGTCTCTTCTAATTCGTCTGATCATTGTTCGCCATAGCATACTATCAAGAGATTACAATTCAAGTAAACAGTATATGCGAATTAATGAATAATGAAGGTTACTTCTATGTGTCTTGCATACACTCTCTGTCGGATTGTATCATAAAGGGGATTGCTAATCTAAAATGTTTCCATGATGTGCGTCTTTACCCTGCTGCTATAGAAGCATGCAGTCCACGACCACTCATAGTCAATCAGTGACAAGTGCCTGCTGATTGTGTATGTATAAGAATGAATAAGGTGGCCATTTGAGCGAAAGGTTGCATCACATTAATCGAACTTAACAACGATTAAACCTCGAAAGTGTGAAAGAACGATAGATGCTTAGACATGTTTTTTTGTATCCATATATGTAAGACTGAAGAATAATAAGAGAAAAATGATGTTTTCATTATCGCTGTATGTGTCTCTTTGTTTTCCATTGAATTAAGTAGAAATGCATGCTTCTGCTCATTTATACCTAGAGACACTCTACTTACCTCTATTGTCATGTGACAAGAGAATGTATTTCCGTTAATGGTGACAAGTGATGATCTATGCACATACATATAAATGTGTATATGTGCGAGAACTCTTAATAACGTTAGTCATTTATTCTTTCATTTCCTTTTTATAATCATGCTAATAGAAATAAACATTCATTTGTATGTGATTTTACTGTCTAGCCATACATAGATTTTTCTAATAAAAAAAAGATGCAATGTAAGATGATGATTGACCAACGTCCTTATTCTAATCAAGTTCGGAGAAGAGTCTTTAATCCTACTTTGTTTTGACTCAAGTTATTGAATACTTACAAGTACACGCAAAATAACAAAATAAAGTCGGTCAGTTTTGATTTAATGAAGCATAGATATGCATACAGAGATATAAGAAAAAATATAAAGCGAGGGACAACAAATATTCAATATGTATATACAAAGATATGAATATAGACGAAAATTATAGTGCACGTGTCATCTTCGCGTCTTTTGAGTAAAAAAATAATCAATAACCTACTATAATATATACAACTATGATATAGGTCGGTCAATATATCGGCTTTCTCTCTCTCTCTCTCTCACTCACTCTCGCTGCTCTCTTTCATTCATTCGATACAGTCCTTGATTCTAAATAGGTTTTTCATCGACTATTATTATAGTTCTTTTACACATAAACAAGCATATTCTTTGTTTCTTTCTATAGAATCATTCAATATGTTTCACGTCTGTGTGTCTTTTTCTCACACACACGCACACATTCACAGATTGCCTCGTTTTCTCAATGGTGCGCGCAATCTGTTTCAACTCTGACTACTTTTTCTTTCAAGTTTTCCTTTTGTCATTGTCATACTATTTGATTATTATTATTTTTTATTTCATTCCCTAATAGCTACCGTTAAAAAAGAAGAGAAAAGGAGGAGAGTTGACAATTATTTTATATTATACGTGGGAGTATATATATATATATATGCTCAGGCGATGAAGATTGCCTAATTATCAATTTTTTTTTGTGCTTTGCAACCATTATGCATTTTTGATGGCGTTTATAACAACATACGATTCATTAAATAAGATTTCAAAGAAAAACATATAAAAAGAATGAATTATTGACCTTCGCATTTGGAGACTATTTTCTTATTCTATGTTTATATTTATAAAAGATACTTTTTATAATTGTAAGCATATACGCATACACACACACATATATATATATATATATACATACATATGATCATCTTCTCATTATAATTATAAGCACGTTTAGACGATTGAATGTTAACTTTTTTTCTTAAGAGAAAAAGGGAGTAGAAGAAGAAGAAACATAAAAATATGTTGCACACTAAAGTATACTAATTTGCATCGATTAGAAACTCCTTGAGACATTCGTTTCACGCGTAAATAGCAGCAACTTGCCTGAACGATCTGTTGCCATCATCTTCTATGCATAATTGCTCATTTAATATCTACCTTAGCCTTGTATTCTTAATTTTTTTTCCTTTTATACCCTAAAGAAATAGAAGTAATCAAAAGATGTTTGTTAGCCTGTTGACGTCTGTTTTATTTTTCATCGATACATATCGAAGAAGAAGAAAACAAAAAAAAAATTTGTCGGCATGAAAAAACAGATGTGTACGTGCGTGCGATTACTCAATTCTACTCATCTGTTTTGTCAATAGACAAATAAGCACACATATAAACTTTCTTTGAAACAACGAATATCTATCTAAATCTTCGCTATGAATAACATAGAATCAAAATCAATTTAACTTTTAGAGTTTTTTTTCTTTTGAACATATTTCGATCGTATACAATCGAAAAGTAAACAGGCCTAGTTTCGATTTCACACATTCGTGTAAATTGGAAGCCGACACTCGATAGAAAAGGAAAGTATTCGCATGTATGTTTGTATATTGAAGACGATGAAAGAAAAGTATTCTCTGTTTATACACAGATCAATTACAAGTAATTCATCTCGATGTGATGATGATGATTATTTCAAAGAAAACAAAACTTACTTAATTATAATGAAAATCCGTTTAAGATCCTTTCAATGATAATGTTGATAGTTCTTTCTTATTCTTCAAGTATTGGTCTAATCGATTCGTTTGAATCTACATAAAGATGTCACACAAATGTAAACCATTTTACTGATTCTTTCTTTCAATGTTGTTTGCTTATGTAACAATTATTAATATCAAATAGAATAGAATAGAATAGAATAAAAAGAAAAAGTTTCGGCTCGTCATAAGCAAACTAATCGTCACATTCAATTGTTTTCAGAGTTCTCTTCTTTCCGACGTTGAGAACAAATAGTTTCTTTTTTTTATCGGATTCAGAGAGTAGTTGACCGGAGTGAACACTTGATTTTTCTTTTCTAAGGTTTGCATCATACATGCACACGTATACAAACTCATAAGTTGACATATGGTTACTACTTGAGACGTACATTGCACGCGCGCTATGTAATATATTTATGTATGTATATCTTTCTGTTTGTCGGATTTATTAAAAATTTAAAAGAAATATAAGGTAGTCATCAAAAGAGAGGAAATCTTTTTCCTCTCTCGCTCTCGTCTTCAATCGGACGAGAATAAAATAGCACTTAAAATCAATTACTGTATAAGATTAAAAAACGAGGTCAACATAAAAATCTTCTATTCTAATCTTCGCTATTGTTTTATGAACTTACTTTCTCAAGAGTTTACGGGACTTAATGAATGCATCAATGATGATGGTCAGATTCGTAGTAAAACAAAAGAACGATAAGTATGCATCGAGTGTACACACGTCAAATCGAATGCCGTTCATTCATCGTTTGTTTCTTCGATTTGATCAATGAATAGAGAAGTGCATATACAACTGATTAAATGCATTCGTTCAACTTGTTTTACATCTACATATATCATTAAATTTGAATATATCAAAAAAGAAACACAAAGAAATTTTTCTATATTATTTTTAGACAAGATTTAAAAAAGAAAGAAACAAAGAAAGATGTCAAAACGTAAAGAATCTATGCCAATGGGGAAGAAGAAGCGTGTTAAAAGAACAAGTGAATCCGATTGTAATACAACTGAAAAAGAAGATGAATTTGAAGAAGAAGAACAACAACAACAACAACAACAAAAGGATGAATTAGCTAGTAAAATAACTAATACAAAAGCAAATACAACTGTAATTGATTATTTTACTATAAAACCTCTTCAATCAGCTATTGATCATATTCGAAAAAGTATATGTTCAAGTATTACCGAATTTAAATTTAATAAAACTCGTGTTCGACCAATAAATAAAATTAATGAAATTCCCCAGGATTCACAAACAATACTCTACTGGATGTCACGTGATCAACGCCTACAAGATAATTGGGCTATGCTATATGCACAGAGACTTGCCATCAAACAACAACTTCCATTACATGTTGCATTTTGTTTAGTACCGACATTTTTAGCTGCATCATTACGTGCTTATCGTTTTATGCTTAAAGGTTTACGTGAAGTTGAAAAAGAATGTCAACAATTAAATATTATATTTCATTTATTATTGGGAAAAGCAGAAAATGTTTTACCGAAATTTGTTGAAGATAATAAAGTTGGCACAATTATTACTGATTTTTCACCATTACGTGTACCACGTCAATGGGTAGATAATGTAGGAAAAAAAATTACAAAAATACCAGTTGTACAAGTAATTATAAAGTGCACAAAAGTCTATGGATCAATATTGAAAGAAAAAATAAAACTCTATCCTAGGTTGATGCCCATAATGTTGTACCTTGTTGGCATGCATCACCTAAACTAGAGTATGGTGCACGTACAATACGAACTAAACTTCATAAACATATGAATGAATTTTTTACTGAATATCCTCCAGTTATTAAACATCCACATACATCAACTACTCATTCGGAAATGAAAACAATTGATTGGGAAACTGTTGACGATAGTTTACAAGTTGATCGAACTGTAAATGAAGTTTCTTGGGCTACACCTGGTAAAAAAAATTTTATTTTTCTTAAAAATTTCGAAGTAATTCATAAAGAATTTCTTTAAAAGGTTATACTGGTGGCATAGCACAATTAGAATCTTTTATTAATGAACGCATTATGAGTTTTGGCACTTCACGTAACGATCCAACTAAAAACGTTTTATCGAACCTGTCACCATGGTTACATTATGGGCAAATAAGTCCACAACGTGCATTACTTATCGTAGCAAAATTACGATCGAAATATAAGGAAGCTTGCGATGAATATATTGAAGAAACATTTGTACGAAGAGAACTAAGTGATAACTATTGTTTTTATCAAGATAATTGTAAGTTTGAAATAAAATTATTACGAAAAAATTGATTTATTTCGTGTAAATTTTTAAGATGATAATATTAACGGTGCATGGGATTGGGCCAAGAAAACTTTAAATGATCATCGAAAAGATAAACGAACTTATGAATATAGTCGCGATGATCTTGAATATGCCCGTACAACAGATAAATTATGGAATGCAGCACAAATTCAAATGATTAAAGAAGGTAAAATGCATGGATTTCTACGTATGTATTGGGCAAAAAAGATTCTTGAATGGACAAAAACACCGGAAGAAGCTATCGAAATAACGATTTATTTAAATGATAAATATAATCTCGATGGACGTGATCCAAATGGTTACGTTGGTATTATGTGGAGCATGTAGGAATAATTTAAATATTTCTTTTTTTCTATTATCAAGGTAATTTATCCTATTGTTTAAGTTGTGGAATTCATGATCAAGGTTGGCGAGAAAGACCCGTTTTTGGTAAAATTCGTTACATGAATTATGATGGATGTAAACGAAAATTCGATGTAAAACAATTTGAAAACAAGTACTCATGTTTATAGTCATTTAGCAAATATGAAAACTAAAGTATATCTAGTCATGTATTGTTTTTGAAATGATTGACAACGTTATATGCATATACATAATTCTTATTGATGAATAGAACGACGAAACTATTATTTTCTCTTTTTGTTTTTATCGGTATATTTTCTTATGCAATTAGGCGTATATGTGTATTGTCTGACTCTTTCGGCAATCTATTGGGCTAACTTAAGAAGATAGACTAGTCGGCTACTGTGTCTGACTATGTGTTATATTAGTAGCAGTATGTCATCTAAAACTGATTAGCACATCGAATGATTGTTTATTATTATGTTTTGTTATTTTGGATAAAACATGCCAAGTGTAGCATCCTAACATTTCTAATCATTATGACCATCATCAGTTTCGTCTGTTGATAAATGATGTTTGGCTGGCATAACAATGATTTTTTTCTTCTTCTTCAGAATGAATGTTTGACGTAGCAGAAAATGTATTTTCTATGATAGGAGGAGACGGATGAAGCTATTCAGATAAAACATAGATTAAAAACGAATATTTCATTTTCTATAGTTAACTGATGAGCATTTTTCATGTGGTGAACAACGATGAGATAGACAAAATAAGCTCATTAATGAACTTTGACATTCTCGCATTGTTGTTTTTAGCTCATTTATAACTTGACAATCATCAGTCTATTGTTTCTACATAGTAAAATGAATTAATTCTAGTTAGTTGTTGCTTGTAAAAGTAAAACAACGAGATGAATTATTGCTTTCAATCTCTTCCGATTTTAAAATGATCCTTCCTATAAACATACGTGTATGTATATGTATACTAAGTTGAATGTTTTTCCCTGAGGTAACCTTCATAAAGAGGTAAACGGAAGAATAACATGCATATAAAGTGAGAATTAGAAAAGGTCACTTTTGTATACATTCAAACAACGATCGCCTTCTAATCACTAGTTCACACTTTTCATCGTTTGTTCTAATATTTAGACAGAACTAGAAAAATAGATACCTATATTACGATAGATTATAAAAGTCGAACTTGTTAATACTTATAAGTAATTTCATCATCTAATCTATATATAGACTATTGTTATACGATGGTGATAGATTGATTAAAAAACAGTCTGACACTTTTTGACATTGGCACGCATATATGTACAAAAAAAAACCAACTTCAAAAAAAAACGAGAATTAAAAAGACAATGAAACATACCTTAATTGTGCATCTATGTGTTGTAATTTCAAAGGATAATTGAATTGTACGACAACAGTAGTAATCGATCGATTCTAGTTACTACTTGTGAATTATCGTCTATTCTCTTTTCTCTCTCTCTCTTCTTATCAATCTTTTCTCTACTTGTTTTCTCTCTGCCTGTTTGCGCGTCTCTCTATTGGACATTGGCCATCGATTGAACTAGCAAAGCAACAAAACGATACTTTTCTCTTTCTCCTGTTTCTCTTCTTCTTCTTATCCGTATCAATATACAACACGTGTCAGTTAATGACCAACAATACATTTGAATGTTTTGAACAATTTACAATTGTCTAAACAATAAAATAAAATCATTTCTCCATAGAAGATTATTCCTATCTTTTAATAATGAGCATTCATTTACCTATATCGCCGGAAAGACAATATGCACTTTACATATACATACAGATATATTCTCTTTCTTAATTTCCATAAACAAACATCATGTACACTGTTGTTATTGTTGTTGTTTTCATTGTAAGCTTGAATTTCAAAAAAAGTTCATTCAAGCATTAAACGAGTCTCAAGTTGATTAGTATACTGATAAGTTCAAGACAACATTTATGATTGATCAAAAATAATAGAAATAAAACGATATTTTTAATCGTTTGTGGATTAAACTTTCTGCATCGTTGAATACTGTGTTTTTCTTCTTCTTCTTCTTCGTTGTTATTATATAAGATTAAAATAGATTTCATTAAATTTTGTCTACCAAAATAAGAAAATTGGTCATCTTCTCTTTCAAGGATACAAGTACTTTCCTTTCTGATTCTCTAAATGGATGTTCAAGTAGTTCGAACATATGTTTAGCCAATGGGCATAACCAACTAATTCTCTTTTTCTAGATCATAATGTCTGTAGATAATCATGAAGAATTACAGAAATTTATTGATTTAAATGAACACTATCGAACATACCTTGATGAACATAGTAATTCACGTCCGGATGGACGAAAATTTCATGAAAATCGATCTATACAAGTTCTTGAAAAATTTCTTCAACATTCCTATGGTTCATCAATGATCCGTTTTGGTAATACGACTGTGATATGTTCAGTAACTGGTCAATTAGCAAAACCATCTTTAAAATCTTTACGATCAGGTTTTATTCAAACAGTTGTTCTATTACCACGTACGCAAGCATGGTCAACATATGGTCGACGGCAACAGATTATTAATGAAAATTTAACATTAAGTCAACATCTACTAGATATTATTCATAAATCAAAATTAATTAATCTAGAAGATTTATGTATTGAAGAAGGTTAGTAGACGAAGTTTTAATTGTAAAAATAAAACTAAAAACGAATCATTAATTTTTTTTAATGATTTCTTTTCAGGTAAATGGGTATGGTGTTTACAAATTGATTTTCAATGTTTAAATAATGATGGAAATCTATTTGATAGTTGTTTATTTGCTCTTAATGTAGCCCTACGTCATACATATTTACCAACAATTAAAATTGATATTGATACACAAAAACCTTTAGTTTATACAAAAGAATTAAAACGTTTTGAATATAATCAACAACAAGAACCTTTATGTTGTACAATAGCTATCTACGAACATGAACAAGAATATAAATATCTAATTGATCCAACATTAGAAGAAGAAAATATTGCCAAAAGTATTTTACATTATGTTCTATTAAAAAATGATCAAATATGTTTGATACATAAAACAAGTGGGACACCTTTTTCAATAGAAAAATTTCATGAATGTTACTCACTTGCTCGACAATATATTGTTGGATTGCGTAGTAACTTAATCAATGAGCTGATTGACAACGATTGAACTCTTTCTTTTCTTTTTTTTTTTGTTCTTCTTCATTTTTTTCCTGCTTTTTGTTACTGTTCTAACTTTGCGTGATTATGCATCAGACCGATACCGTGACACATGTTCACATTTGAACACCTACCGCATGTCTCGACGGTTGTCATCTCTCTTTCGATTTATTCACTAATGAGAAGAAAATTTTCTGTTGCGAGAATTGAAAGACGAGACAGATGTATTGAAAAATTAATCGTTTGACAGTCACTAAACCGTTAAGTTTAATACAGATATTATATAACTTAATGGATGATTATTTAAAAAGCAAACATAGATATTGGTTTGATGAACAAAAAAGAAAGAGAGCTATCTCGCAAATTATTTCTTAGACATGATTAAACAAGAATGAAATTTTTTCTTCTAGATCAATGTTAACAGTTGTCTGTGCTTTATTTGTTGTCGGAACCATTTTATTGGTCAGTAAATTACGTCGACCAAATATTTCAACTCAAAAATGTGTTCATGTTGTGGTTCTGGGTGATCTTGGCAGAAGCCCACGCATGTGCAATCATGCTATTGAGTTTGATAAACACAAATTCAATGTACAATTGATTGGTTATGCAGGTTGGTCATTTATAGAATATATTTTTGGCAAACAAAAAAGAAAAAAGAAAAGAAAAACATCTATTTGTAAAAAGAAAAGGAATAATGAATGAATACTTAATGAAGAATAGATAGATAAGAGACTACCAGTCTGGTCTGTATTGTGTCAATAAACACATGCAAATGAGCTGATAGAAAGATTGACACATGAATGTGACAAGGCAGTGATGGAATCAGTATTACTATTCTTACTATATCTCTGGATAGTGTTATTTGATATCATTGACTTTGATTATCTATTCTCGAACAGTTACTATTAAGATCTAATAAAAATAAAAATAAATTAACTGGCACCGGTTTTATTTCTACTATCAAGATATTCAAATACTATTGAGTCTATATTACTTTTTTTTTAGAATCTAAACTTGGCCAAACTATTTCTAATAATAACAATATTCAAATATCAAATTTGAAATCTTTTCCCAACTTGAAAGGTAAATTGAAATTCCTTTAAAAAATTTCATATTGAATTATTGCGTTTTTAAAATTTAAGGCTTACCTGAAGTCGTAGTCTATGCTTTAAAAATTTTATGGCAATTCGGTACACTTCTTGTCTGCCTTTGTCAATTACCCAAACCTGATTTCGTTTGTGTTCAAGTTAGATTGATTTTCTTTCTTTTTGATTCATTTATACAGGTTTTTGTTCTGTTAGAATCCACCATCAATTCCAGCGATATTTACAACATTTTTAATAGCAAAACTACGTGGAGCACGTCTAATAATTGATTGGCATAACTATGGATATTCAATGTTAGCATTGAAACATGGTTTGAAACATTGGATTGTTCATTTGTGTCAGCGATATGAGTTTTTACTTGGTCAATTCGCGGATATCAATATATGTGTATCGGATACGTTTGCAAAAAATTTGAATGTTCATCTGATTAAGTAAGTTACTGGTCCTTTTGTTTTGGTTTTAATAAAAAATAAATTAATACTTTCACTTGGCCTATGGTAGAGCATCGGTACTTTATGATAAAGCTACGAATCAATTTCATATTCCTACCATTGAAGAAAAACATAAAATTTTGATGAAAATGGTTGCACAATATTCTTATAAACAATTTGAAGGAAAGTACGTAAAAAAAAGACACAAGTTTGTAATTGTGAAAATTCAAATAATTCGTTTTTCTTTTGTATAAATAATTAGATCGGCTAATTCAACTCGATTTACAACTGAAGATGAAAAAAAAAATATTGTATATTTACCAGACAGACCAGTCATTCTTGTAAGTAGTACCAGTTGGAGTGAAGATGAAAATTTTGCACTATTATTTGATGCATTAAAAAGTATGCTAGAAACGAATAGTTCTATTGCTTATACTTAAATTAAGATTTTGATTTTTTCACGTTTTAGATTATGCTACACATGAAACATCTAATTTACCGTCGATTGTTTGTATTGTTACTGGTAAGTAATGATGATTCATATATTTGAATAATCGTTGTGCTTTTCAAACAACACAAAATTGAGATAATTGCATGAGTCAATAGCTTGAGATTAGATCTTTCACTAACAGGATGGTTTTATTTTAGCACTTCGTTTTTGTCGAAAAATTTGATTATTTTCATTGATTTTCGAATAGAAGAGTATGCTATTTTTATGTTTCTGCTACATCGTAAGATTCTTTGGAAAAGTTTTTTTTATGATTTTTCTATTATGAAAAGGATTTCTATAAATAGATGTCTATGTTTCTGAGAGCATTTCGAAGTATGAAACCTTTTATGTTTTTTGTGCACAACAGACGTAGTTATAATAACAGGAAGCTGTAGTTTAACATGCCTTTTGAAATTAAAAAAAAAGCAGAAATCTATAGAAGAGGAATAGCGTCAAGTAAAATGAATATTTCTTAAATGAAATTTTCCGATTAACTCTTATTTGTTGTAAGGTATTACCACTTTTTGAAGAGATGATCTTGAAATGAAATGTATTCTATCATATTTCGAAGAATACTATTATTTTTTTATTGTGTCACAGGAAAAGGTCCATTGAAGGAACAATTTATTGAACAAGTTGAACATGAACGTGATCAATACCGAAATGTTGAATTTTGTTTTCCATGGCTTGATGCTGACGACTATCCATTATTATTAGGTAGGAATCTTTATATCAAACGATGAACCCTAGATATTTCTAACTAGGTTGTGCTGATATTGGTGTAAGTCTTCATGAATCCTCTAGTGGTTTTGATTTACCAATGAAAGTTGTTGATATGTTTGCTGTTGGCGTTCCGGTTTGTTCAGTTCATTATGATTGGTATGACTGATAAGAAGATCTAAGCTGTCTTGACATAGTATGTCTTTTTCTTTTGCTTCTGCTTAAAATAGTATTGGTGAATTAATTAAACGTGATCAGAATGGAATTATTTTTCAAGATGCTCATGATTTATGTGATCGACTACAGGTGTGAAGAATTTATTGAAAACTTTAATATTATTGTATTTTTTGCTTTAAAAGAGCTTAATTCACGGTTTTCCTGATCGCTGTTCAAAATTGAATAATTTAAAAGCCAATTTAATTGCTAATCGCTCGAGTGAAAATTGGTCAAAAGAATGGGAATCAGTTATGAAACCGTTACTTCGTTTACAGTCTAGTTAAAAAGAAAATATTTGTTTGTCGGTTTTTATTTTAATTGATATTGCTGTTAAAGTTCATTGTGTACTGTTTTCTTATAAATTTCGAACTACATGTTGTGGTGTAATTCTAAAACCGATATTTAATACTATCTATCCACTATTTTTCATCATGTTGTGACGATCTTACAAAAAATAAAACATTATGATTTATTCATTAGAAAATTTTTGATCACTGATAGGATTGTTTTTCGCACTAACTTAGTCAATAGAAGTTCATTGAGCGACTAAAACTATGAATTGAATTTATTCATAGAGTTATGGTAATATTGACGTTAAATAAGACTTTTCTCTATAGGAACTTCAAATATTTGCTTAAGAAAGTTCAAATAGTACATGGGTCATTTGTATTAATTAAGAAATAAACGAGAACAAACGATCAAAAATTATTCATTTTCGGGCATGATAGAAATCAGACAGAAATCTTTCGTGTTTGGAAAATGATTAAATTTCATGATTCATGAGTTTGCTCGATGTTTCAGTTTTTTTTTGGTAAACATACGAACTAGTTAGTCGTCTGTTCATCTATGAGTATTAGGTAAACTGAAAGTACTTCTTACAATAAGAAGCATATTAATCTTTGCTAAAACGTTACAAATAATTTCAAGTGAAACATGTTTTTAATAATATCCTGTAGATGTCATTGTTCTTCAAGTAAATCGTTCGTTAGTTTTGCATTTCTATGTAATCCTATTGCGGAAAAGGTAGAGTTCAGGTAACAACATCAATAATGAAGCAGCCCATCCGCTACATGACAGTTCAATAAATTAGCTAAAGAATAAAGTTTTATCTTAGTGAAATGTTTTCCTCCTGAATAAACAGATATACGCCCAACTAAAAGTTTTATTAGCAAAGACCTTTTTGTATTCTATTTCTAAGCATTTGAATAATATTTTTATCCAATCATGGAAAAATATAAAATACAAAAACAACTTGGTGATGGTACATATGGAAGTGTACTACTTGCTCATCTTAAAGATTCACCACAAGAAAAATTTGCTGTTAAACGGTAACTTTATTTTTTAAGTTTACACTGTTATAATTTTTATATTTTTAATCATATTTATTTATTTATTTAGAATGAAAAAGAAATATTGTAAGTAATATTTAAATAGATTTACATATGAAATAAATCTTTTGTAGATTCATGGCAAGAATGTATGGATTTAAGGGAAATTAAAGTATGAATACTATTGATTTATGAGTGAAATAAACTTATTGTTTTGTTTTTGTTAGGCTTTACAAAAAATTCGTCATGCAAATGTGATTAAACTAAAAGAAGTTATACGAGAAGACAATAATTTATATATGGTTTTTGAGGTAACTTTCTTCGCATGATTATTTTCCTATCAAAGAAATCTTTTCATTTTATATTAGTATATGAATGAAAATCTTTATGAATTAATGAAAAAACGGTAAGCATATCTTATTTTAGTTATGATTTTCTATACACAATTGTATATGTCTACAGTGATCGATTGTTTCCTGAAACGAATGTTCGTAATATTATATTTCAAATTCTTCAAGGTTTATCTTATATGCATAAAGTTGGTAAGATTGATAATCTTGTCATGAAGATTAAACTATTCGAAAATCGTGAAAAATTTATCTTGTTATCCTTTCTCAAGGATTTTTTCATCGTGATCTAAAACCTGAAAATATACTATGCAAAGGTGTTGAATTGGTTAAAATTGCTGATTTTGGTCTAGCTCGTGAACTTCGTTCAAGACCTCCCTATACTGATTAGTAAATAATTATTGTTTATTGATAAAAAAAATAAAGTAATTTCAAATCTGTTAGTGTATCTACCCGATGGTACCGTGCTCCCGAGGTGCTACTTCGCTCAACTTCATATGCATCTCCCATCGATACATGGGCAGGTAAAAATAAAACAAAATCGCATTGCAAATTTACATGTACGCGTATGTCATACTAAATTCATTCTTTTAGTTGGATGTATTGCTGCAGAATTATACACATTACGACCATTGTTTCCTGGAAGTAGTGAAATCGACCAAATGTTTAAAATTTGTGCTGTTATGGGCACACCAACCAAAGTCAGTTGATTTTTCTAGGATTAATATGTTTTTTTTTTGCGTTATTAAAATGTCTTTGTTTTTAAATACAGGAAGACTGGGCTGAAGGTTTTATGTTAGCAGCCAAATTATCATTCCGTTGGCCGCAATGTGTGCGGACAGATTTGAAAAAAATAGTTCATAGTGCAAATAATGATGGTATTGATTTGATTAGAGGAACACTTGAATGGGATCCAAAACGACGACCAAGTCCAGTTCAAGTATAAACTATTTTCTGTAAAAATAAACATATTTTTAAAATGCTATCATTTGTTTAGTGCTTGAAACATCCATATTTTAAAGTAAGCCAAGATCTACGAGCAAGCTCATCACATATGTCAGCCGTTAATGATTCAGTATCTGTAAGTTCAGCAAGATCTCGTGATTCAAAACAAATATTTGCAGACGATTGGCAAACAGAAGGGGTAAGGAAAATATTCAAACATTCTAAACTAAATTTTTATTTATTTTCAATTGCCCTAAAAGAACATAATCTCTTTATTATACAAATGAATTGTTAATAATTTTTAAAATTTTTTAATCAAGAAAAGATTTTGTCTTTTATTGTTAAACAATCAATTATTATCATACATTTTGTAACTTTTCATTCAGAAAGTATGAAAATCTATTCTTACAGTATACTTTTAATCGAACTAATTTGAACCTAAAGCTTTTTTTCCAAACAAATTTCCTTATCATTCCAATGAATTGTGTTTTAATAAAAGAATGTTCTTTTTCTGTCGTTTTAAGAACAAGACTCCAGATAGTCCCGATGATATGAATGATTTCGAGGAATCATTAAAAATTTTTGAACAATCGAAAAAATCTACTGTCAAAGAAGATCTTTCTCATAAAATACAACCAGCAGTGATACCAAATTTATCAACGGATTCAAAAAGAGATTCGTCTCTCTCAGATAATCGAAAAGGAAACATTCCGAATTCACATTTTTCTCTTGCTCACGACCAATATCGACCGTCAATTCTTAAACAACCACTAAAACCAGCAGTTGAAAAATCGTTTGATATCGATTCTATACTACATGGCCATGCACATCAATTACACAAACCATCGGAATACAAACATCCAATACATCAAACGAAAACTTCAGCTGTCTCAGCAAGAAGAGACAGTTTATCAGATTGGTTTAATGAAGATCGAACAAAACCAACAGAATATAGTCCTACTCAACCATCACTGCTATTTCAGCCAAAAGTAAAAACAAATGTACGTGGCAAACCAGTCATAGATATGAATCTAGATGATCTTTTTTCCAATAAAAGTACTCGAGATCAAAGTGCAACAAAATCACCATTATCAACAACAAAATCTTCCGCTAGCCACTATTATTTAGGAAATTCAAGATATAAGCCAGGTAAAATTTTAATTATTTTACTAAAACAGAAGCACTTTATTTCTTCATTATTTTAGGTATTAATCCTAAACAAACAGTGCGTGGTGATGGATTGAATTGGCTTACGGAACTATCAAATAATAGTAATGCAGCATGTATGAATGTTTCTGTTTTTTCTTTAGATTTTCTACGAAATAATTTTATTATTATTTGATATGATTTAGCTTCTGCTTCAAAATCACGATCCTATGTACCAACATTCGGCGATCAGAGAAAGCGTAAGCTAGAAAACTTTGTTTTTGCTTTACATTTTTTTATCTTTTATGCATTGTTTAGCACCAGCTCCACCAATTTTTGGTGATCGGAATAATCGGTAAAAATTTATTTTTTATTAATTTTAAATTTACACTTTTACTTTTTGCAGCTTTGGTCAATAATCGTATTCAATTCAAGATCTTTTTTTGTATTCAACTGGAATATTTGTTTTCTCCATTTTTTTGGATACTAAAAACATATAAATGGCTCTTTCTTTATTTCAACATACTTATGCTTTTCATGTTTGCACATATATACATACATATATATATATCTTGTTGAAGTTTTAACTAACTCTTCTATATTATGATCTCTCAAATCGTGTAACAGTGAGCTAAATATACCAATGGCAGATAGCCTCTCTGTTAGATTATTTATTAATAATACGCCAAAAATCAAAAATCAATATGTCTGTAAAAAATCAAACACGAAATGCTCTTCTACTTTGTTTGTTTTTCCTCTCGTATGTTATCACACTATGTTCGTGATAACAAGTAGAAGTATAGAAAACTAATGAGTGAATTTTGTTTGTTTAATAAAGAATAATTCATATTTTTTTTGTCATGTTTAATAAATGTTTATAGTAGCTCAAAGTTGACTTTTATGATTGGCATTTGATGAACACTTTTCGGAAGAGTTAAACGTCTAGTTCAATGATATAGTAGATTTCAGATGTTTATGAAATATTTATTATTTGACTAGACTGATAATTAATCTTAAAAGAAATAATCTTCTCAATTTATCTTCTAACGAATAGTTTGATTGATGCATAGTAACTTCTTTTAATCGGATTTAGCGGAAAACATCTAATTGAAAACTGTCGACAAAAGAATAACGGTAAGAAAAGTGCACAAAAGTAAACTAGAGAAATCACCGCCTTCAAATCGATAAAACTACTAAAGAAAACATTGAAAATTCGAATCTTGAAAAAAAGAAACATGAATGTTGAAGTAATAAAAGATCTGAACACATTAGCCTACAGTTATAACAACATTAGCATTGAACAGTATTTTGAAGCGTAAAATTTTCTAAATTTCCTGCATACATTTTGGTTTGTTTTTATTGAGTACATGAACCTCGTCGGCATTTTCCTGTTTTTTTATGATGTTTTTCTTTTCTACTATTTACGCCAATGAATTGTGACATTTGTTAGAATAAAATACCTGAGTTTATTTATGTTAAAGAAAAAGCGAGAATATATTTTTAGAATAAATAAAATATTTAGTTAATTGTCATGCTTCATAAAAGCATCGACCGTCAGTTCATTCGGCTCATACGATGTAATCACAAGTAAATTTAAAAATAAAAATTTGTAGACACATGCTATAAGTTTAATCTCAACTTTTTTTATTGTGAAATTTCGTCAAGATTAGCTTCAAATATCAAGAATGGTCATATTATTTAAAGGAAAGAATGTGAAGATATTTTTTGTTCAAAAAATATTTAGTCTGTCTCTTGTTTATCGAAAATATAATATTTTTGACGTAACGTCATATATACATGTATTATTAAAAACAATTTTTAAGATGAAATCTTCATTATTTTAAAGAGCCTCTATAGATCCTTCCCACGTTGTTACTATTCCATCTAGCTAAGTAACCTTACTAGAACAACTTTTAAATAATTTAATAATATAATTGATTCATCAAGATAGTCTATATAAAATAATAAATTATAAAAATTAAAATAAATATATCATATAAAAACGTGTCTTATTTTCTTAAAGAGACGTGAGTATAATTCAAATTAAAACAACCAAGAAAAAATAAATAAATAGCCATCAATACAACTGAGACTCACTCAAAAAATACTGGGGGCTGATCAGTATTTATCGGATGCTGATATATGACTGCTGCGGATTGATATGATGTAGCTTGTTGATGAAGATCAAATGGCGCCAATGAATGTTGTCGTACTTTAGCTGGTCGAGTTGACATCGAACCTTTATGTGCAGAATTTTGCGAACGTCCTCGCGCCATTGTTACATTTTGTTGATTTATTGGTAGAGCATTAAGACTGACAGCATTTCGATGAATGCCATGTCGAGCTGCTGGAGGTGGTAATGGTGTTGGACGATTTCGTCCAACAATTAAAGGGTCAAGCATTGAACCAACTTGTGTAATGAACTGTGGTGATGAAGATGATTGACGTTGTATATGTTGTAAACGACTAGGAGATGATAGTTGCTGTTGAAGTACAAGACGAGCTGATGGCGATTGAGCTACTTCAATTCGAGATAATGTTTGTGCTACTTTTGAATTTGAATTCATTGTAGGTTGTACAGGTCGTTTATACGGTGTTTGAACGTTTGAATAACGGCGACTATCATAAGTTGTTTTGAAACGTGAGGATGGTTGCTGATTAGCATTCGCTATTGATGTACGTTGTAGTTGACTGTTTGACATCATTCGAGATGCCACCGTACTTGGTGGAGCACTAGCTATGGTAGGAAATGCAGATGTCATTCTAAAGTAAAATAATGGACAAATAGTTTGAAAAATAGCATTCTATTAAATCAATTTTTACTGTTGTTGCTGCTGTTGTTGCTGTTGTTGCTGTGTAACGGACGATAAATTATTTGGATTGCTGTTTGTTCGATAGGTTTGCGTCACTCTTGCCATATATTGTTGTTGTTTAACGCGATTTGTTGCTGTTGGTGGTGGTGGGATTGTTGATGAAATGTTGCGAGAATTTGCTACACGATTGCGTTGTTGTCTTATTTGATGTTTAAGAAAATCACGTAATGTATGCAGAGTTTTAAATGTTGATTGACTAACACGTGTAAATGGATTTCGTCCCGGTAAAATATCAATAGCTGCTAAGGCACATGCCTTACCAACATCACGATAATTTTCAATTGAGAATTTCGGTGGCAATGAAAATGGTGTTCCAGGTGATATTCGACCTCCATGAGATTCATTTTCAGCGGGTGCTATCGAATTACATGATTTACCAACAGCATATGAACATTCAAGTGTATAAGAATGAAGTATACCAAAATGTTTATTAAGAGCAACACGACCGCTGCCTTCTTTCGATAAGCCTTCACGTTTATCTTTCATATACATATTTTTTATTGTAAAATTACAATTTTCAAAATCGAAATGCGGAGAATTAAGTGAAATCAATTTTGGAAACAGAACATTATCAGTATGTTGCTCATCATCTGGCAGATGATTACCATAAATAAAACAGCCTTAAGATAGATTTTAAAGACATCATTTTATTTATATTTTTGATTTAATAAAATCAATAAAATTGGTACCTTTCTTGGATGCATGACCATGTAAATCTATATAATAGGCAATGCCACTTTCGTAAGGAGATATTTTAAGAAGATCAGGATTTGCTAGATGTGGCGATTTAACTTCATTGGCTCCATTTTCATTATTTTGGCCTGCTGGAACGGTATCATCATCGTCGTCAGAACCTTCGTTACCTTTTAAAAAAATAAATGGAGCACAGTGTAATTCTATATTTTATGAGATTGAAGAAAGGTTTTTGTTTTTGTAATTTAAAACAAGTTATTGATTTACTGCGTGTGGTAAAATAGTTGTCAAAGATTGGTCATAGTACTCAATAGCTTGCATTATGTGAAAATCAAGAGAATATTATCTCGACGACAAATAGCCTAAATGCACATACTTGTGTTTTTACTGGTCCGTAGTGTTCTTTTTTTGTTATCTGTCCTAATGGAAAAACTCTGATGAAAACTTTCGATATTTCCCATATTCTATACGGAAAGATGAGTACTGTTTCTAAATATAAATGATTCATTATTATTATATAGAAGAAAAGAAAACAGTGCAGCTTTTTTTTTATATAAAGTATTTACTTAAAATAAAATTGCAATATTCACATAAACCAAAAGAAAATTAAAGAAAGTAGTAGGACTAAAAATATTAGGATAAAAGTCGATGGTAAGTTTTCTTCTCGATGGTAATGAGTAACAAAAATTTTTCTATCACAATTAATAGATCTCAACTTCAAAACAGCTACAATTAAATTTTTGGTTTCTATTCGAAAGTGTTAGAGTAAGATTTCATTTGATGAAGTAAAAAAATTCTAAGTAAAATTAAACTTTCTGATCTCTCCATGAATGAACTTCATTGAAAATACTTCCCTGTTGTTGTTCATCCAAACAGTTTGATGGGGGTCTTTATGTACGCATACATTAAATAGAGAATCCTTCCAATTAGAAAAAAAACTCTTTTATTTTACATCCTTAATTTTCTATCACCATTGAGAGAAAAACTTTTAAATAGGCCTGATCTAAACTGATGTCCACTACTCACAAGAATGTTATTTATTTACATTTTATTTCATCAATTGGTACATACTATTATTACAAAATACTGAATAACATGTTTGCTTTTAGTCCTAAATAACAAAATATGCTACAGTTAGAATAGTATGTTGAAAAAAAGAATTGGTAGGTACGGATTTTTGTTTTTAAATGTTACAGAATCATTCAAGTCTTTCTATCTTTGATACTTTTATTACATAATATTCAGATGTTAAAAATAAATTTTACACTCTATTTTTGATTTATTAAAGATGACCTGAAAACCTAATTTCTATAATTTTCTCGAAAACAATTTTCAAGTTAGATCAAGTGCGCATGCTAGATAAAAGCTTACTATTTACCTTTCATTTGATTTCGGAGATTTCCATCATCGTCATCATCATTATCATCAACCATGAATAAATCTCGATGAAGTTCTAGATTTTCATTGATAAAATGAAAAGTATACGGCGAGCCACGCTGACTTTCTGAATCATCAATTTCTGCTGTAACCGTTGGAATTAAACCATTTTCACTGCGTTCGATAAAAAATGGCCCATTTTCATCATTATTCATTTGTTCTTGTAAACATAAATTCTCAAATGCATTATTATTTAGTTGTGTTGAATTTGTCATCGTTGTTTCATAAAGAATTTCCTGTTGAAAATGTGCTCGTCTTGGTGTCGATTTTCCCTATTGTTTTATAGAGAAAAAAAAGAAAAAAAAGGTTTCAATAACATTCAAATTAGAGTTAAACATGAGTTTAATCTCTACTTGATATTGATTATCATTTATTACTTGTTCATTATTTTGTATGATCGGTATGCATGGTATCGGTGGTGGAATATCTTTAAATACATCATAAACACTTATTGGTAGTCTTGGCGATATACAATTATTGACATGATGATAGGCAATTAAACTTTTAGCTGCATAAATTGATGGATGCTTTTCAAAATCAGGATCAAGATACATACGATTTAAATTAACTCCAAATTGATCTGTACGATAATGCCCACGTTGTACACCATCGGGATTAAGAATTGGTATAAGTTTAAAAATATATAAATCACGTAATAGTCTAGCACGTGGATCGTCAGCTTTAAGAATGAAATCCAAAAATCCAAGAAACACAAATGCGGCTGGTGTTTCACCGGGATGTACTCGACTGGAAAGGAAAAAAATACGTTTATTACGAAATTGATGTGGACGTTGTGTTATGGTTGATACATCAGGAAATAATTTTTTATCAAAATGATGTTCACGTTCTTTTGTTATACCTAAGATAAATTTATAATATTAATTTAAAAAAACATCTGTATTTCATTTAAAATTTATTTTAACTATAACATTATCATTAATAAAACCCTGTATGATTTTTTTCATGCTGTCTCACTATTAAATATTGATTCGATTGATCTGTTGCATGATCATCTTTCCAATTGATAAATTCTATGTAACTCTAATGTTATCTGATTTTTCTCTCAAATGAAATATTGATGAATGTAAACTATTGAAATAAATACAATTACCTTTATAAGAAGTTATCGTTATTAAATCAAGTCTATTTGAATCACATGAATAGCATAATGTTTCACGATGATAGTAAATATCTGCACCATTCACTGGCATCGATGGATGTTCTAAGTAATAATCAGCTAATCGAGAATGATATAAATTATCATATGTATTGAGTAATAATTGCATATCTTCATACGAATGTGGAAAACAAAATGCAAAATATGTTATAGAACTTTTCAAATCTGGCATGCGATGAATAAATGATAATTTAAAATCTTCGTTGACTATTTCCCAACAAGGTCGTACATATACTCTTGCCCACTTTTCATGTCCAGGCACAGTTCGAAAAACTGGTAACATGCCCATTTCAAATAGTTTACCTTGTCGGTTTAAATTCATTATATTAAAACGAATGCATTTACCGTGACCACCTCTAACACCGAAATAAAACCATGAACGATTTCCATTGACTTTAGCTGTTCCTTCGCAATCACGTTTTGTCCAAACATTAAATTCAACATCATGTTTAGGTAATGGATGACTCATAGAATTTAATCCATTATCTGCTCCCGCATTATTATTATTATTAATATTATTATTATTCGAGTCTGGTTCAATTGAATTCGTTGGTGCTTGAGAGGAAACCATTGATGACATCACACGTTCATATCGAAGCATATTGCCAGAATCGAAATTTGCGAATAACTGAATAGAAGACGAAGAAGTACTAACATCGTTTGAAATCATCTTCGCTTCTTTTTTTTCTACTAAAGACAATGAAAATATTCAAATGGGATCTTCCATTCTGGTGTGATTTTTCTATGGAAACAACCTCCATTAAGATGCTATTCAAGTAAATAGTCTTGTTTATTTGATTTTTCTCATTATTGAATCTATAAATAAAAATTGAAATATATTATTTTAATTTTAAGTACTTTTCTCATAGAGGGCAATAGAGGACATTCAAAGAAATATATTTCGAAATCAGCAGCCAACCACAAACACGTGTGGGAGTGTCCGACATGACATGACATCATGTGATAACATTTTGAGAGTAAAATATTCTCTATACTAGATCTTCTCTAAGAATTTAGGGAAAGCAGCATTAACATTTCTTCAGTTTCTTATATGATTTGTTGTTTTCCGACAACTCTCATCATTAGTAATTATATGCTAAATCATCATTTCAAATCGATTTATAAGTCATCGTCAAAAAATTAGTCGCTATTATTGAACGTAAACAAAATAATTAATTAAAATGAAATTACTCGAAAATTCTAAATTGGAAGCTATTAGTTCGACACTTTCTATTCATACACCAGTTTGTGACATCACAACTCGGTAATTAAATAAAAAACATTCTGTTGGTTTAAATATATTGCTATTCTTTCGATAAATTTAGTGTGGAAAGTTATTCATGTAAAATGGCCGGTGACTCAAAAAAATTATATAAACAATTAAGAAATGAACCCGGTACATCACCGCATGATTTGGAAATTCTTGGGCCATCTCAAACACAATCTCCAACATATAATTCAAGTTTCTTAATAACACCACCACCACAAATTTTACATGCTCATCCAATAGCAAGATCTATGTCAAGTGATGATGAATCAACAATAGCTAAAACTATCCCACGAAAAACACTTATTTTTCTAATATCAACATTAAATGCAGCATTTGAACCTGATTATGAATTTAGTTCTTGCACAAGTCATGATTTTAGCCGTGAGACAAACTTTGAAGTATGCCAATTTTGAAAGAAAAATCATTTCAAATTCAACTTTTTGTATAAATTCTGATATAGCTGTTGAAAACTGAAATCGACACTCGATTTCTTTCAAGTATAGGTGATCATTATCGATCATTGTCATCGGAATTATGGTCAACAGTTGATGAAGAAATAAATGTAAAAGAAAGTGAAATATTTAGGTTCGAATCAACAATAATTTCAAGAAACAAAAAAAATTATTTTGTTTTTTATTTTCAAATTAGTTATTGTCCCGATGGTACATCTGATCCATTTTCTGAAAGTGGAATTATTTGGTCATTCAATTTCTTTTTCTATAATCGAAAGCTCCGTCGAATTCTTTATCTAACATGTCGTGCCGATTCGAAGACATCAACAAATGAGGCCGACAATGATGATGAACGTTTAGAAACTAATAATTACTTAACATTTGACGAGTAAAAAATTTAAAATTTAAAATTAAAATTAAATTTTTCTCTTGTTTTTAGTGTTATGGATTGATAGAATTATGTATTGATTATTCATCCGGTTCTGTACACAAGAGATTATGTTTGTATTTTAAGCTAGTGATGTCTTTTTTGTTCTGTTAGATATTACCTGTTTATAGTTTCTTTTTGTTTAATATTATTCTCGTTTACCTTTGTTCTGTACATCATATTCTCTATTGCTCATAAGTTAAAACGAAACTTCATTCTTCCTCTTGTAAACTAGTTCAGTATTCTTTCTTTTTCTTTTGATTATTTAGACACTCAAGATTGTATATAAGCTGTCAAAGCGGCGAACAAAAAAAAATATCCCTGTTTATAGAAAGTTTACATGTGCTTTTATATTTAGATGGGATATGAATAAATATAACTAAAGAAAAATTAATTTATACGCGTTGGAAAATCGAAGATTGTATGAACAGTGCACATAACATTCGCACAAGACAAAATTAAAAGACTACTGAATCATAGCAAATATTGATGCCAGAGATTTCTTTCGATCAACAGCATCTAGCTTTATATAAACAATATATAATTGTCCTTTGAGTTACTTCTACAAGTATGATCAGGTGACTATCAATAGAAAAAGAACTCACTTATCTAAATAGATATATTCGTGGTAAATTTATCGTCGACACAGAGAATATCATAGTAGACTTATTCATTTTAATTCGATGTGTGTGAGACAAAAAAAGTGGCAGTAAGTTATACAAAGGGGAAACAGCAGACTTTTGAACTTCAAGTTACTGTCAGCTACTTTAAGCTACTTCAAGTAGTTTACTTTGAAGTACTTTTCAATTTCAGATTTACCTGAAGTACTTGAGATCACTTCAAGCTACTTGGTCCTACTTTGAACTACTTCAAGCAGTCTACTTTGACGTACTTTTCTACTTCAAGTCTGCCGTTTCCCCCTTGAAGTTATTTCATAATCATTTTCAAAGATGACATTGTATCAATATCATTTATAAAGTCATGATTCATTGGTCAATCTGGCAATTTTCTTATACATACAATAAAGGATTTAGAAACATCTGCTGTGATTTTGGTCAACAACTAACTTATCATATTCGATATTTTAATATATTGCATGATACTAAAACCTGAATTCAATGTTGGCTAGTTCGAGGTTTGTAAAGAGCTACTTTATAAAAGGTATCGCTATCATTATTAGGTTGTAATAGTTAAATGACTGAATCTTACTATTCATATTTTAAAAACGATTCTTAACAGAAAATTCTCCGGTATACTGATTCTTGTTTCTTTTTTCTTATTATACTAATAATAGTCCGATAAATGGTAAAATCAAATAATTATTGATCTAAAGAAGGCGTACTCCAATATTGTGATAGAGCACACCAGAAGTGATTCAATGAATAATAACTGACAAAGAAAAATCATAATCGTTCATAGAACTATAGTTACTTCGTAATTAGGACGATACATTGATTTTTAAGCACACAGATTTTATTAATATCATTTATGATATAAGTAGAAAAATTCAATACATTCTAATATAAAAAAAGAAACATTTAAATTACGATTATATATTATCACTAAAACAAATTCCAGACACTAAATCAACCAAAATTCATATAGTTACCGTCTTTATTATTGTATTCAAGCAGATTTCGTACGTAATAATATTTGAAAGAGTAACTGAGGACATAAACGTCGTAAATAAATCACCACGGATGCTAAATGACCGACATAAATTTCATGTTTTCTAGCAGCAATACCACAAAGTATATCATATGCACATACAGTTGGATCCGTGCCTTTTTCAGTTTTTGGGTCCATTTTTTTATGTAATTTGCCAGAACCTTCGAAAGCATTTATTGAAATATCTGTTTTAACAAAACCTGGACATGCTATTGTTACATCTATATGGTCTCTTGCATGTTCTAACCGAAGAGAATCGAAAAATGCATGTAAAGCATTTTTAGAAGCACCATATGATGACCGTAATGCTGTAGCAGCATAACCAGCTACTGATGTAACAGCAATAAAATGTCCTTTTTGACGTTCAATGAAATGCTAAAATAAAATAGTAGATTTGAATTAAAATCAAAACATACAGCTTATTATTATTTTTTTCTATATACCGGTAGAACAGCTTTAGTTAGTGTGATTGTACCGAGAAAATTAATACTGATTAGTCGTGAATCAACTCCATACGTTGTTTCTTTGATTAAACTTCGTTGTGATACGCCAGCATTGTTAATTAAAACATCAATACGATTGAATCGATCAAGAATAAGATCGACTTTTGATTCAAAACCATAAACGTGTGTTTCAAGATCAAGTGGTAAAATAAGACAATGATCTGAATCAAGATGAAGTTGACCAGCCAATGAATTTAATTCATCTTCACGTCTTGCTGATAAAACAAGACGTGTTGAAGGTGAAAGACGAACTAATTCTTTTGCTAGTTCACGACCAATACCTGATGATGCACCTAAGTAAGAGGACAGTGTAATTAAAACAAAATAGGAACAAATTTCACAGTACAAAATCTGAATTGAAACATTTAATACAGCTTTTACTATTTTAAGGTATGTAAAAATTATTTTTTAAAATTAGATATGACAAAACAAGCATATAGACATTTGAAACAAAAGTAAATACATCAGATTTACAAAAGTTTCATTGCAATAGATCTAGCAATTGTTTGCAAGTACTCACCAGTTATCCAGACAACTTTATTTTTAAAATAATTCTCAATATTATCATTTATAGGATATATAAAACAGGCAACAATTACGACAATACCGATATAAAGAGTAACTTGAAAAAGTATTCCGAAAAATTCGTACATCGTTCTAGAAATACGGGAATGGCATTAATAGAATTATTTACTATATTATTACAAATCACAATAAACATGAAATCATTGTATATTTTTTCTTTTCTTTTTGATTTTGAAATAGTTTGAATAAAATAGTTTTTCTATTAGTGTACAAGGATAAATATGTATATCAATCTGTCTAAATATCGAGCATCGATGTTATGATAATGTTTATTATTATCTCGTATAGATTCTGTAAACAGCTAGATATATCTCAATCTTAATACTAGACGTTGAATCTAAAATAGTTATGAATATTAATATGTTACATTTAAATAGAACTATTTCAGTTATGTATTAGAAAGGAAAAATTCACTGTAATTTAACAAAAATTAAGGTATTTCAAGCAGATAGAAGTGACAATTTTTCATAGCTTAAAAACATTTGTAGAACTGGAACTAGAAATACCTATGAATGAATCGTAAAATCGGTCTTTGAATAACGAAACAAGAAATCAACTTATAGTTCTAATCTATTAAAATTTACAGCAGTAATTCAATCTTTAGTAGAGGAAAAAACTTCAAACTTCAACGTGTTCGATTGGTTATAAAAAATAGCCAGTACTATTTAATTGTTTTAACATTCTTTCCATCAATTTTACAAAGAAATCAAGAAAATATTTTGATGGCTTTTCAATTTTTTCAAAATTAATATTGGTTTATTATTCTTTGTCTAACTGATTACCTATAGTATTCAAATTGCTAGTTTCTTTAGAAGCTATTTGTTTCATATAATCATCGAAAGATCTGTGACAGCACTCAATTGTATGAATTTTGGTTCTTGCTTTTTTTTTTGAAACGTAACCATGATAACTAGTTCTTTTTTTCATGAATTCGATTTAAGAACAGTTTCTTTTTCATTGGACTTCTTGTTTCCATTTTACTGGTTATCGATTCCACTCAGTTATTAGTCCTGTTCACGCGCTGCCATCAGTCTCGTAGCTACGAGTTGTAGACAACAATTTTTGTTTTGCAAATAACCGACCAATGCATTGATGACATATACTTTTAAGCATTCTAGTAAGATTCAAAGTACAGAGTTCTCCTTTGGTTCGTAAAAGTACTTGATCTAAGCGTTTCACTCATGATCAGAATAGAACTCGAGGAGCTCTATTCAATGTGATGTCCTGAGATTTTTCATAGCTCAAAGTAGGATTTTATGAGGTTTCTTTGACATTATCTATGAGCACTGAAGTCTGATTTTGAGCTATTGAAAATATGAGGACACCGCTGGATAGAGTTCGTCGAGTTTCATTTAGAATATTGACGGAAGTGAATAAGGCCTGATTTTACAAAAAATGATTCCTTGATTTTTCGAAATTTTAGAAGAATTTTTCGCGATCTAATTAATCCAAATATACCATTCGATAGATCATGTGAGATTCTATTAGGAACATGAGCATGGAGAGGTTTTACTCGAATACGGTGCAAATTTCATCTGCACAATGATTACTTAGTACTTTCCACTAAGATAGCTTGTGTAAACTATAATCCAAAAAATTCTACTATACTTTCAGCGAGCAGCTAGCCACCACAAATGACCGGATATGATATAAACAAGACGGTGGTTTTCTAAACCATTTACGAGCATGTGTTAATATACTGAGGGTCAGAATGAATGTTTTTTTTCTAATAAAATTGCAGGTAAAATCTTCACCATACTGAAATGCTATCACACGATGATTAGATATTCATCTTTTCATTTATTCACAATCAAACTTAGAATGTCTCGATCAATCTGAATGAATGATCTTTCCCTTAAGAAAATTTATTTTTCTTCAGCTAAAATTCAACAATATTATTCGTGTTTGTACTAAGTAATCCTCAAAGAATGGCTCGATCCCTTCATAGTTTGGTCGATCTTAGCAAAAAGCTCTCACTCGATCGTTTAAGCCATCAACACATCCAATCAGACTACTTAAGAGAAAAAATTCATTTAATGATTTACATAGGCTTATAGATTCAATTCAATGATGTCTTCTATAATTTCATGTATATACGGAAAGTGTAAAATCTTTTTCAATTGATGATAGTTTGCTATAGTTTTATTAAAAATTCTATCTAAACTTGATTCAACGCAAATAGAAAGCAACGTATCAATATTCTGTAGTATATCTTTTTCTATTCGTGCTTCAAATCGATGTTATAATTGTATAAATCCTCTATTTTGAAATGTATTAAATTGATGATGAATTTAATAGGATTTCAACAAAAACTAATTTTTCATAGCTACTTGAAGATATAGTACAAATTTTTCGCATACTTCGAATATATATATAAGGTGCAGCTAAAGCAGAATTGGAGTAAATTTTGTTTCTCGTTTATTTACATATGGTTTGATAGAGCTTGAAAAGCTGATCAAGAATTTGTACTTTTTATTTCGATTTCATCTTTTTTTGGCTGAGAAAATCTTCAAAAACAAGAACGACTGAAAAAATGCTGTTTTTATGTTAAATTTAAATTTTTTACAAAAACTACCAAATTTCTT